CATATCTGCCATGTTATTGACTACAACACCCAGTCATGCCACACACACACACACACAACCGGTTCCAGATCAACACTGATTGCACTCTCACAGCTGAAGCCACTTACACAATTATTGTTTGGACTATTTATACCCCTTTTGTTCCACACACATGTTGCCGAGTCTTGTTTACTGTTTGGTGACATTACAACGCGTTATCCTGGTCTTGTTTTCCCGTGTTTTGGTTCTTAGCCCTGTTTATCCTTGTCATCCTGTTTAGCCGCCTGCCTTACGACCTATTGCCTGTTTATTGACTTCGACTCTGGATTTGCCCAAACATACCTGTTCATTCCTGTATTGACCACTGCTTGCCTGACTAAAGAATAAACCTGCATATTGGATCCTACCTTCTGTTGTGGTGTCACTCCCCGGCGTTACAGAAGACTCGGCCACACAATGGATTCAGCGGGTATCAAGATCATGTGTCTGCGTCAGGAAGCCCGGTCTATAGAGGAATACGTGGAGGACTTCATCCAGGTAGCCCATTTAACATCTTTGGATGATTTATGCCTGATGATATTTTTTCGTGGTGGTCTAGCTGAGCCCCTTTATTCATGTATGCCACTACATGAGCCCCACTGGACAATAAGGCATTACGTAGATTTGGCACTACAAATGAGTGGGTCCCCCTTCACTGTAGGAGAGGTGGAGGACACCCCTAAATATTTTTTGGGGGGGGGCAAAGGACAGCAAGACCCGCTGGCAACGGGGCTTGCTGCTCATTCCATCACCACACTCCCAGCTCACAAGATGGCCGACTCCAGTCCTCCAGCTCACAAGATGGCCGACTCCAGTCCTCCAGCTCACAAGATGGCCGACTCCAGTCCTCCAGCTCACAAGATGGCCGACTCCAGTCCTCCAGCTCACAAGATGGCCGACTCCAGTCCTCCAGCTCACAAGATGGCCGACTCCAGTCCTCCAGCTCACAAGATGGCAGACTCCAGTCCTCCAGCTCACAAGATGGCCGACTCCAGTCCTCCAGCTCACAATGTGGTCACAACCAGCCCTCCAGCTCACAATGTGGTAAGCGCCAATCTGCCACCTGCTCACAAGATGGTTTCCTGTTCCTTGTCCGTTCCTGCCATAGTTCCTGTTTCAGTTCCTGAAATACCATCACCTGAGCCACCAGAATGGCCACCACCACCTGAGTTACAAGAGCTGATGCCACCACCAGAACTGTTACTGCCAGAGCTGCCACCACCAGAGCTGTTACTGCCAGAGCTGCCACTGCCACCTCCAGAGCTGCCACTGCCACCTCCAGTGCTGCCAGACCCTCCAGTGCTGCCAGACCCTCCAGTGCTGCCAGACCCTCCAGTGCTGCCAGACCCTCCAGTGCTGCCAGACCCTCCAGAGCTGCCAGACCCTCCAGAGCTGCCAGACCCTCCAGAGCTGCCAGACCCTCCAGAGCTGCCAGACCCTCCAGAGCTGCCAGACCCTCCAGAGCTGCCAGACCCTCCAGAGCTGCCAGACCCTCCAGTGCTGCCAAAGCTGCCAGATCCTCCAGAGCTGCCGCCTCCTGAGCTCCCTGAATGGCCGCCGCCTCCTGAGCTCGCTGAATGGCCGCCGCCTGAGCTCGCTGAATGGCCGCCGCCTCCTGAGCTCGCTGAATGGCCGCCGCCGCCTGAGCTCCCTGAATGGCCGCCGCCGCCTGAGCTCCCTGAATGGCGGCCGCCGCCTGAGCTCCCTGAATGGCCGCCGCCGCCTGAGCTCCCTGAATGGCCGCCGCCTGAGCTTCCTGAATGGCCGCCGCCGCCTGAGCTTCCTGAATGGCCGCCGCCGCCTGAGCTTCCTGAATGGCCGCCGCCTCCTGAGCTTCCTGAATGGCCGCCGCCTCCTGAGCTTCCTGAATGGCCGCCGCCTCCTGAGCTTCCTGAATGGCCGCCGCCTCCTGAGCTTCCTGAATGGCCGCCGCCTCCTGAGCTTCCTGAATGGCCGCCGCCTCCTGAGCTCCCTGAATGGTCGCCTCCTAAGCTTCCTCAATGGCCACAGCCTCATGATCCAGGGCCACTGCAGCTCCACGCTCCAGGCCCTCCGCTGTTCCACGCTCCAGGCCCTCCGCTGTTCCACGCTCCGGGCCCTCCGCTGCTCCACGCTCCGGGCCCTCCGCTGCTCCACGCTCCGGGCCCTCCGCTGCTCCACGCTCCGGGCCCTCCGCTGCTCCACGCTCCGGGCCCTCCGCTGCTCCACGCTCCGGGCCCTCCGCAGTTCCACGCTCCGGGCCCTCCGCTGCTCCACGCTCCGGGCCCTCCGCTGCTCCACGCTCCGGGCCCTCCGCAGTTCCACGCTCCGGGCCCTCCGCAGCTCCACGCTCCGGGCCCTCCGCAGCTCCACGCTCCAGGCCCTCCGCAGCTCCACGCTCCAGGCCCTCCGCAGCTCCACGCTCCAGGCCCTCCGCAGCTCCACGCTCCAGGCCCTCCGCAGCTCCACGCTCCAGTCCTGCCCCCGCTGCAGGGTCCTGGCCCTCCATCCCTCCCCCAGTTCGGCCTCCGCTCCACCTCCCGCCTGAACAGTATTAGGAGTGTCTGGAAGCCACTCCTTAGAGGGGGGGCTCTGTCATGTTCACCAGCGAACAACCACCAGATGTCGCTGGTAAACATTCACACACAAACATTCACACTCATTGAACTACATATCTGCCATGTTATTGACTACAACACCCAGTCATGCCACACACACACACACACAACCGGTTCCAGATCAACACTGATTGCACTCTCACAGCTGAAGCCACTTACACAATTATTGTTTGGACTATTTATACCCCTTTTGTTCCACACACATGTTGCCGAGTCTTGTTTACTGTTTGGTGACATTACAACGCGTTATCCTGGTCTTGTTTTCCCGTGTTTTGGTTCTTAGCCCTGTTTATCCTTGTCATCCTGTTTAGCCGCCTGCCTTACGACCTATTGCCTGTTTATTGACTTCGACTCTGGATTTGCCCAAACATACCTGTTCATTCCTGTATTGACCACTGCTTGCCTGACTAAAGAATAAACCTGCATATTGGATCCTACCTTCTGTTGTGGTGTCACTCCCCGGCGTTACAATCTGGAATATTAGCAGACATATGATGAAGTTTCACAGGGGTTATATACATTTTCATTAACCATTTATATTGAAGTAGTTTAAACCTGGTATTTATTGCTTGCGTTTGAGCTTTTAAGCAAACATATTTCCAGTCTGCCTCATCTATCTCCTCTTGCATATCTGCTTTCCAGGCATTTAATTTATAAATAGGGCTTGATTAATAATGATGTAAAGGATTTGTGCCTTGTAAAATGTTTTACACTGAAGGCACATTTAAGAAATAAAAGCAAAACACACCAAATGACACATTTTATTAAACAAATATACACTGTAAAACCCAAAAGTCAACTTTATCAAATGAAATGAGTGTAGTTAACTCTACTCATTTGAACAGAGTTTTGATCTCAGTGCTGAAGGTAATGAGTTCATTAAATATCTCATTGCTTCAACTTAAATGTAGTAAGTTCACAGCACTCATATAGATTCGTTTTTAAAGTTAAACGGTTTATAGCAATCGGCTTCCTCAAATGGTTTGAGTTGGCTTCACTTATTGGGTTTTACAGTACTCAGCTGGTTTGCTTTCACTTCATTTAGCGGGTTTTACTGTGCTCAAATTGCTTCGTTTACTCAAATGGATTAAGTTCAAAGTATCTTAAATGTTAAATTACAATCAGAGTCCTCAAATGGTTTGAGTTGCCTTACCTTCTTGAGTTTACAGTGTAGGAAACTGAAAAAATTATTCATTGGATTTACTAATTTATTAGGTGGTTGCAAACATATCATATGTGCTGGATTTAAACAAATCAAGTTGAACATTACTACATATTTGTTTGTTTAATATCACTCTTAAAATGGTTTGCAAAATCATTTGCTTAAAAATAAATGAATAAACCCACTGAATCTTTTCTTTAGTGATTACAGCACTGTGCTAAGAAAGGTCCTGAACAAATGTGCAAGATCCTGTGAGATGTAGATGTTTGACCGTTTCTTATCAGCAGGAGCGTCTGGTGCTTCCTGCAGTTTTATTGCCTAATTTATTTCCATGAGGTGTTCTTCTGTTAACTGCTGTGCAGTGCACGACTGGTCTTTTATTTATGTAAACTTATTTAACTTAAATTCTCAACATTACTTTTGTGGGGTTATAGAGTACCTAAATGGTCTTAAACTAAATTGTTAGTTATTTATTTGAAGTGTTACAGCATATACTTTAGATTAACCTGAAGCTGATTTTTAGTTTAAGTTGCCTGAATAACAAATGATTCAGAATCAGATCCATCACTTACATTTATATTGTATAATTATACAGATACAGATACTGTAAAAGCTGGATTATTTTCAACAGACCGAGTTCATCTAAGAATTAATAGTGCAACTCGTGTTGTTGTTCAATCAGTGATGTTTGGTCATAAAAAATGCCTAAATAATGTTTTATTACAAAACAAGTTTAATAATGATGTCATTTACTAAATAAAATGTTTTGTAACCAAGAAATAAAAAGCAAACCAGATTACATGAGTCATATACTAAACAAATGTACACAAAGGTTTTGTACTCACGTTATACATAGGCTACTATTTAACAAAGGACATTGTTGACTGTATAACAAAGACAGTTATTGAAGCTATTGAACAGTTTAATCAAATGAAATTAATGTACCATCAAAACATATTTAATGTGTTTTAAATTATTAATATCATCTGTTTTAGTATTAAGTTAGACAATAGTTTATCTAGATTAACCTACATAGCTACATACCCAAACTGACTTCATCAGTCTAACGATAAATTATGACACGAAACTAAGATAATTAACAAAATATTGCCTCTGAAACATTTGTCAACGTAAATTGTCTGGCTTATAGACATGATTTCATACCGAATTATGAAGTTTAGACGATGTTTACGATGGCATCGGGTTTCCGCCAGTAGTGGCGCTCGAGCTCCGGACACGATGACCAACATCCGAGTCTACATGAAGAAGAAGAGAGCGCAAGAACGTAAACAAAAGGAGTGAAACAGCTGTTTGAGATTCTCAAAATCTGTTGTTTTATCTCACTATTGTAAGTATATTCAATTTATTATTATTTTAGGAGAGATCCACAACTAAAAAGGTCAGCTTATTTTGAGTATATGGCACAGGTGATTATTGTTGCTGAAAGCGATCAATTAATGTCATGTTTGTGGGGCTGCAATAATAAATCAGACCGTCAAAAAACATTAAAAGTACTATAAACAGCTATACTTGTTACAATTTAAGCAGAAGAGACGAGAATGAAAGAAACTCTCTGGAACAAAGGGTGTTTGTGGTTGGCTAATGTGAATCATTATTTCCAGGGCAAGAATCTTGACAATTGTTTTTGTTTTTTAATTATTTCCTGACTGTGTAAGTATAATATTAGGCTAATATCTTTATTTTGCCCATAGATATTTTTATCACCTTTTAAGTAAACAAATTGGTCAAAATAGTGCATAATTTTCTGCTTTCTTTATCAGCTCACAACCCTCAAACTGACTAGTTCAGTTTAATGAGGAATTATGCAAGAATCTTTAGCAGCTATTAAAGTAAAACAATTGGATTGATTGTTTGGTTTCTGAATGGTAATTTGAGCACTCATTCAGCACTAGATGATGGAGAGTGAATGTAAAGTGTGTGAAGTATCTGCTAAATGAGCTCAGTTCACAGACAGTCGTTACACTGATGAAATAAAAACAATCTTTATCTACATCTATTGTCTTCAATCACCATCAGCTGAAGAAGCAAACAGGAGGAATTACTGCAGGAGAAACCACTGACATACTATAGTAAAGATGGAGATTAAGGAAGAACCCTGCAGAATAAAGGAGGAAGAGACAGAGGAGGCAATAGGTTTGTGTTTTTATTCATTCTGTTTATTTGACTGATGAAAGCTGACATATAACACATTGTAGATTATTTCTTATGAATTCCTTTTTGTTTATGTTTATTAAATATTATAATTGAATTACTTGATTTTGCATTGAATTAAGACAAACACCCATGATTTAATAACCTAATCTCTTCACAGATGAAGATGGAAATGCAGTCGGCTCACAGACTGAACAAACCTTCAGACAAACTGAAAAGACTGAAGTCGAAGAATCGTTCAGCTGCTCTGAGTGTGGGAAGACTTACTCAGATGAATACACGTTCAGCGATCATCAGCTCTCTCACTCTGAAATAAAGACGTTCAGCTGTGATCAGTGCGGTAAAACATTTGTGTTGGAAAAACACTTGAGACAGCATCTTCAAGATCATGCTCCTGTGAAGCCTCACGTGTGTTTCTGCGGGAAAAGTTACACAACGATATACAAGTTAAGAGAGCATCAGGTTATTCATACTGAACCTCATGTGTGCTCCGACTGTGGGAACACCTTCAGTTCACTAACCAACTTAAAAAGACACCAGAATATCCACACTGGAGAGAAACCCTATCAGTGTTCACACTGTGAGAGGAGTTTCACACAACCAGGAGGCCTGAAAGCTCACGAGAAAGTTCACACTGGAGAGAAACCCTACGTGTGTTCAGACTGCGGGAAGAGTTTTGGTACGACTAGTAACTTAAACACACACATGAGGATTCACACCGGAGAGAAACCGTACACCTGCACTCAATGTGGAAAGAGTTACTCCGATAAAGGAAATCTGAACGTGCACATGAAGATCCACACAGGAGAAAAAGCGTTCTCATGCAGTGAATGTGGAAAGAGTTTCGCACACAAAAACACTCTCAAAGATCATCAGCTCTCTCACTCTGGAGTAAAGCTCTTCAGCTGTGATCAGTGCGATAAAGCATTTATAAATGCAGCATATTTAAAGCGACACCTTCCTGTTCACGCTGATGTGAAGCCTCACTTGTGTTTCTGTGGGAAAAGCTATGGAACAATGGCTAAGTTAAAAAGACACCAGCGGGTTCACTCGGGAGAGAGACCGTACACATGTTCATACTGTGCAAAGAGTTTCCCTTATTCAGAATCACTGAAAGCTCACGAGAGAACTCACACTTGAGAATAGCCATATTAGTGCTCATCATGTGAGAAGTTTTACTATTACAAAATCTTTGGAAGTCCATCAGAAAGTTCACACTGGAGGAAAGCAGCAGCAATGCTTTTAATGCAGCAGGAGTTTTGCTCAAATATCTAATCTATGAACTCATAAAATTAGCTTAAAGTTACCTGAATAAGACCTGCTTCAGAATCAGATCCATCACTCGCATGTAAACTGTGTAATTTTCAGATATACTGTAAAAGCTGGATTATCTCCATCAGACTGAGCTCATCTAAGAATTAATTGTGTATTTGAGCATTTCTGAATTCAATTCAATTCAATTCAATTCAGCTTTATTTGTACAGCACTTTTACAATGTAGATTGTGTCAAAGCAGCTTCACATAAATGGTCATAGTAACTGGAACAGTGTGGTTCAGTAACTGGAACAGTGTGGTTCAGGTTTTAGTGTTTAAGTTCAGTTCAGTTCAGTTTAGCTCAGTTCAGTGTGATTTAATCATTACTGAGAGTTCAAACACTGAAGAGCAAATTCATCGATGCGTAGCTCTACCAATCCTGAACCATGCGAGGCAGTGGCGACAGCGGAGAGGGAAAAAAAACTACACCTGATGGGAGTGAAGAAAAAAAACCTTGAGAGAACCAGACTCAGTCGGGCACGACCATTTTAATTTCTCCGCTGGCCAAAAGTCTAGTGCAGAGCTTCAGTCACTGCGGTGGAGGCTGGAAGATGGCCTCAGCGAAGACTCGTCTGTCTCTGGAGCGTCGCTGGAATCAGACTCATGTTCTCCACTCCCCACGACCATCAGCGCAGCAGCAGCTCAGGATATGGCCTGGTCCCGGATATGGAATCCTTGGGATCATCACGTCGCTGGTCTTGGATCCAATCAGTGACTCCGCATAATCTGAGGACCTCGGGAAGAGTATCCCCCTGGTGAAAATAGAGAATAAAGAGAATAATTAGCGTAGCTGCTGTTCATAGTGTATAAGCAAGATGCAGAAGCCTGTGTGGAACCCGCTAGGTGATGCATTGAGTGTATGCTTTACTAAACAGATAGGTCTTTAATCTAGTTTTGAACTGGGAGAGTGTGTCTGAGCCTCGGACGTTATCAGGAAGGCTATTCCAGAGTGTAGGAGCCATGAAAGAGAAGGCTCGACCTCCTTTACTTGATTTTGCTATTCTAGGTACTACCAGAAGCCCTGAGTTTTGAGATCTTAAAGAGCGAGTTGGTTTGTAGCGAGACAGAAGGTTGGTTAGATATACAGGAGCTGGATTATTTAGAGCTTTATAGGTGAGAAGTAATATTTTGAATCAATGGCAGCATCTGTTTCTTCAGTCTGTCTGTGGATTTGTTACTGTATGTCATGTGTTGGTGTTCAGCTGCTCAATTCAATTCAACTGTTTATTGTCATTGTGCACAGTAAGGAAACACGTTTCCCTGTACAATCAGATTCTTACTTTGCCGTCCACAGGGAAGTCAAACACACAACATAAACGACATACACATAAACACACATATATACACAGAAGTGACTGAAGTATGATTATAAAATGTAGGTATATGAATATCTATGAAAGTAAACAATATATAAAACTGATTTAAGTAATGAAACAGATGTAAACAATGTACAGTGGTTTCTAAATTGTGCTTATTATGCAAAAAGTGCCTAGTGCAATTGGCTTATGTGCAAAAAAAATAGTGCAAACTGGGATGGAGAATGTAGTGTTGTGCTAAGCAGAAAAAGAGACTGTTAATGTGCATTGGTTATCTGTCTAGAAGTCTGATAGCTGATGGGAGGAAAGAGTTCTTGAGTCTGGCAGTCCCTCCGCCCTGATGGTAGGAGTGTGAATAATCCGTGTTGTGGGTGAGTGGGGTCTTTCAGGATGGAGGCAGTTCTCTTGTGAACTCTGTGATGGTAGATAGCCTGCAGAGAGGGCAGTGGGGACCTGATGATCTTCTCTGCAGTCCTCAACACTCTCTGCAGACGTTTGCGGTCCTTTACAGTAGTGTTGCCATACCATACAGTAATGCAGTTGGTCAGGATGCTCTCAACCACACAGCTGTAAAAGTTGCTGAGGATCTTAGATGACAGACCATATTTGTTAAAATATCAGTGAAGTTTGGTCATGAAAAGAGCTTACATTATTACAAAACAAGCTTATTAATGATGTCATTGACTAAATGTCTTGTTAAAATGTTTTTTTTTTACACTGACTGTAAATTTTATAACTGAGATATAAGTAAACTATATCACATGAGTCATTGGCAGTGGTGAAAAGTCATACTCAAGTAAAAGTACAATTACTTGCCTAAACATGTAGTGCAAGTACACTAAAAGTGTCTGCTGTGATTATTAATCACTAGCCCCTTTCACACAGTGATACCGGTAAATTTCTGGAAAATTTCCGGAAAGACTTTACCGGTATATTGAAAAAAGCGCTGTTCACACAGGCGAGGACGTTACGGAAATTTTCCGGAAAAGAGCATTCACACATCCATTCCAAAATACCGGTAAATTCTGACATCATTCACCACAAATGAGCTTTAAACGGCTGCACTTGTATTTGTAAACATTTGACTAAATTACAAACTCTGTGGATGATCAATATTGTGAACAACTTTCACAGGATCACTTTCGCATGTCGAGATGTTCATAATATGTGCGTGTGCAGGCGCTCACAGGCTGTTTCACAGGCACACGAACGTAAACAAACAACGGCTTATCATAAGCATCTCATCGATGATTATTTACACAGTTGGCATTAAGAAGAACATATAAACGTGATCTGACTAACTTCTAGCAGCTAAATGTGTCTGGAAAAATATTCAAAGGCTTTTATTCTCACAAACCGCGCGGACGTAAATGCATCTGACTGTTGTGATTGGCTTAAGCAGACGTTTCACGGCAGCACGTTCTAGATGTGCACGCGCTTATTACGGCAATCTTCCATCTGCATTCACACAGCGCAGCATTCCGGCAAATTGCCGGTAATGTTACAACTTCTCTTTCCGGAAAATAGCCAGAACGAATTTACCGGTATTTTCAAAAAGGACCTGTTCACACAGACAGACCTTCCCGGAAAATTGCCGGCAATTTTCCGGAAAGGTCTGTATGTGTGAAAGGGGCAAAAGTATGAGTAAAAAGACCTTTCAAAAGTACTCAAGAGAAGTGTGTATTAAGGCTTGTACACACTGTGTTTATCGTTTCACTGGGGTCGAGCAGAAAAGTATACGAAATCACTCCTTGACGTTAGATGGCGCTACACAACTTTAAGCTTCTGACACCTGCTTGTAACACAGAAGAAGAAAACAGAAAGTTCACACACTTGGGCTGCGTCTGAAACCGCCTACTACTTAGTAGGTACTGCATTTGAATTTAAACGTACTACGGGGCCGTTAGAAAAGTACGTTCTATACAGTAGGAATGTGAAAAGTATGAATGGATTTCGGACGTACTACATCCGCCATTTTGTCATGGTCACGTGACCTACCTGCGTCAGTTGCATCGCCTCACTTCCATTCATGAATTCTCTCACGGGGCATTATGGGATAGCGCAGCGTGCATGGGATGCGCACTTCAGAATCTCGCCGGAAGTAGTAAGTCGTCCGGGTACTTCTCGCCTACGTATTTTCGAATTCTATGAATTCGGACATACTACTCGGCTCGCATACTGATTTTAGCGTACCATATAGTATGGAAGTATGCGGTTTCGGACGCAGCCTTGTTGAAGTTACTGGCGATTCGAACAAGCATGGGTGGTTCAAGTAGCAGCTCTAGCGATGAAGAAATGATTATTGTTCACCGGTGCAATAAGCAGCTCCACGGTCATATCGCCTCTGGGCATCTTCTTCAATGTGCGCTTGCATTGACAGTTTTCTGCTTGAGCGCCTCCAAGTGCTGTTTACTGTAATTGCAGCAGCTCTGTACACGTGAGGAAAAGTGCCAATCTGATTGGTGGAGAAGGCTTTGATGAGGCGCCTCAAAAATAAAAAACGAGCATGAGACGTTTTTTTAAAAATGCTGCTTTTACGCCTGCCGTTTTGTGTGTTGGTGTGCAAAATCACATTGGCGGCTTTTATTAATTCACGAGGCGTTAAACGTTGACGGAAAACAGCGCGTGCAAAAAGCATCCTTTATGCTGGGCCTTTACGCTGTTAAAAGCTGCTGCTTTTGCATGTAATTTGTGGATGTGTGTAAACGTAACATTCTGTAGTGCATCTGGTTATTGTCCAGCATGTACACAACATCATAAGACGTTAATATTAGGTTAGATTTAGGTTGTGATGTCAGGTGACCAAAATTCAATGTCTAGCACCGGGTTATTTTGATGACCAATAACGACATCAAATGACGTTTATATTTGGTCGACTTTAGGTTGTGTTAGAAAGTGACCAAAATCTAACGTCGAGCCTACATCTTATTGACGTCACATATGGACATTTTTTCATTAACACAAATACAACATCTGTTAGTGGTAACATCCGCACAACGTCAAGCTGTAACATCATTAGATGTTGATATTTGGTTGATTTGGGTTGGACGTTAGACATTGACGTAGGCCTGCATTGGGTTCTGATGTCAACCCGATTTTCATTTCCAAACAAAATGCAATGCCCATGACATTAAGGTACTACATTAATCTGACGTCATGTTTATGTCTTATGCCTGTTGGGTGTTTAACCCTCTTAAGGCAGGCGTTGCTGATTTGCAACAGTTAAAAGCATAGATTTTGCCTGTTTCTAAAATTTTATTTGAGCCTGAAAGGGTTAAGGCCATTTTGGTCATCATACATTAAACAGTGACCTGCATCTAAATAGTTTCTGGGTCAATGCATGTAAATATTCAGGACATCTTGGACACTTTTAATGCTTCCTAACAGTTTGCTGCAATTATAAATCGCCCGTGTCTTGAGATTGATCATTGTGATGCGATTTACCTTCTATGTGCAATTCGATTGGACAGGAATCACATGATGGATTTTTCTAATCTAGAAAGATACAATAAAGTAGTGACTGCAGGCTGAAGGAAAATAGTGGAGTAAAAGTACTGATACTGCACTAAAAATGTACTCAAGGAAAAGTAAAAGTACACATTTTTAACACTACTTGGTAAATTACAATTCCTGAGGAAAAACTACTCAATTACAGTCATTTGAGTGTTTGTATTTAGTTACTTTACACCACTGGTCATTGGTAAGACTTTATTTTGATGGTCCCTATTAGAGATGCGCGGATGGGCTATTATTTCATCCGCAACCGCATCACAAAACTCATCATCCGTCCGCGTCTTGTTTATTTGCGTCTTTTCCTCGCATCATATAGGGGTGGAAAGACGAGGAAAGAAAGCAAGGAAAGGAAACGAGGATACACAAATAAGAAATGAGAAGCACCCCTATAAAGCTCTCAGAATATCAGCAGTGAACTCCGTCTCCAATTGGCGCACAGGGACAAAAATAAATAAATAGCCTAAATTAAACGCACTGTACTGTACAATTTATTATTATTATTATTATTGTAGCCTAGAAAACGCATTTTGACACATCATTTCAACATTCAGACGAGAGCGCCTGGCCTCAATGCGCCCTGCTGCACTGAAGGAGCGCTCGCTCGCAGCACTTGTTGCTGGAATGCATAGAATTCTCAAGGTGCTGTAGACGTGGGAATGACTGCCTTGTTTCTCCCAAAAGGAAAGTAGATTTTCCTCTGCTGATCCGTCTATTCTTAATTTTGTAGAGGAAGACTTCTGTACTTCATCCAGAATTAGTGCATCCGATTCCTCCTCCCATTCTGTGAAGTCAGTCGTAGGCTTTTTCGTTGGTGCGCCAGCTATGAGTACAAAAACAGTACAACCGCCCACCACCCGCCCGAATTTAATTAAAATATTATTTTTCATCACGTCATCCGCCCGATCCGCGGCTGTAACCACCATCCGCGCATCTCTAGTCCCTATTACTATTACCTGATACTGCTCCTTCATTTAACTGACTATAAGAAACTTTGCAAGTACATGTCAACTTACTTACACTAACCCCAACCTAACAGTCTACCTATAAAGTAATGAGAATTATTCAACAAAATGTGCTAAAGGGATCATCAAAATAAAGTGAGTGAAATTAAACAAATGTAAACAAAAGTTTTTAACATTGTACTCAACATTATACAGTGCTGTTTAACAAAGACATTGCAGCTATTGAACAGTTTGGTAAAATACAATTATTATACCATCAAAATATATTTAATGTTCTTGAAATCATTAATATCATCTGTTTCAGTATGAAGTTTGACAATAGCTTATCAAGACTGCTGTTTATGTTTAATTCAGCCACATTTGGATCTCTTGTGGTTCATGAAATGTGTCAAAGAATGAAATCTGTGGATTGGCTCCCGCAGGTATCACTGAAGTTTGGTTATAAAAAGAGTTTAATAAATAGTTTATTATAAAACAGGTTTATTATTGATTTAATTTACATAATGCCTTGTGAAATGTTTTTTACACACTGTAAATTTTGAAAAAAAGAGAAATCAGCAAACCATATTACATGAGTCATTGGTAACACTTTATTTTGGTCCCAATTGCACATTTTGTTGACTAAAAGTTGCATTGCAACTACATGCCAATAATTCTCCTTTGAGTATTAGACTGTCTGTTTAATATGTGCTGACATGCTCCTTCAACACATTTAACTGACTATAAGAAACTTTGCAAGTATATGTCAATTTACACTAACCCCAACCTAACAGTCTACCTCTAATTTAAAGTGAATTATTTGGCATGTAGATGCAATGTAAGCTAAATTCAACAAAATGTGTTAAAGGGATCATCAAAATAAAGCGAGTCATTTATTGAACAAATGTAAACAAAGGTTTTTTTAACATTGTACTCAACATTATAGTGCTGTTTAACAAAGAAAGTTATTGAAGATATTGAACTGTTCCTTTGGTAAAATAAAATAATTATACCATGAAAACATATTTCATGTTCCTGAAATCATTCGTTACAGTATGAAGTTTGACAATAGTTTATCCAGATTGCTGTTTATGTTTATTTCAGCCACATGGGGATCCCTTGTGGTTCACGAAATGTGTCAAAAAATAAAATAGACACAGTGAAGTCTATTGATAAATATCGCAATGAAACACCTCCCTACAGAAAAATCCAGCTTAAACCAGCCTAGGCTGGTTGGCTGGTCGACCAGCCTGGTTTTAGAGGGGTTTTGGCCATTTCCATGCTGGTTTCCAGCCATTTCCAGCCTGGTCTTAGCTGGTCAGGCTGAAAAATGACCAGCTTAATCCAGCTAAAACCAGCTTGACCAGCCTGGTTTAAGCTGGACATGCTGGTTTCCAGCCATTTCCAGCCTGGTCTTAGCTGGTCAGGCTGGGAGATGACCAGCTAAAACCAGCTTGACCAGCCTAGCCAGGCTGGAAATAGCTGGAAACCGGCAGGGAAATGGCCAAAACCCCTCTAAAACCAGGCTGGTCGACCAGTCAACCTAGGCCTAGAGCTCTGTAATAATAAAAAAAATATTTATGAACATTTGGGAACGAAGTAAGTTTCTGGTTAAAACTTATATATACGAAATATGAAGTTTAGACGATTTACGATGGTATCGGGTTGCGCCAGTGGCTCGGGGGGAGATGGCGGCACCCATCTTTGGGCAGACCGAAATAAACAGTAACACTACAGGATCCAAACAAGCTGAAAGAAGATCTTACGAGAATGCAAACTCGTAGGAAAGGGGAAGGCATGGACTGGTTAGTGAATGGGTCAGATGAAAATGACCATGGTATGAGGAGAAGGATGATATTGAAAGAGAAGAACGGATAGTGGTAGGTGATGGAAGCCACGAAGACGAAGGTTCCGCCAGTGGTGGCGCTCAAGCACCGGAGTGTGACGAGCATTCGAGTCTACGAGAAGAAGAAGAGAGCGCAAGAGCGTAAACAAAAGGAGTGTAACAAACGTTTCTGATTATCTAAATCAGCTGTTTTTATCACACTATTGTAAGTATGTTCAATTTATTATTTGATTTAGGAGCCATCTACATCTTAAAGGGTCAGCTTATTTTAGTGAGTGCATAGCGGTAGATTATTGCTGCAGAAAACGACCAGTTAGTGTCATGTTGTGGGGTGTGATAATAGATCAGACTGTCAAAAACACTCAAGATTAATATAAACAGACAAAACTCATTACAATTGAAGCAGAAGAGATTTATAGAAACAAAAGGTGCAGCATTATTTCCAGGGCTGGAATCTTGACAACGTTTATGATTTCTGGTTATGTAGGTGAAAGATTAGGCTGATATCTTACATATCTTTTACCACCTAAACAACATAGTCAAAATATTGCATCATTTTCTGCTTTGTTTATTAGTTCATAACCCCAAAACCGACTAATTCAGTTTAATGAGAAATTATGCAGAAATCTTTAGCAGCTATTAAAGTAAAACAATTGGATTGACTCAATTTCAGGATTCTGAATGACTGTTTCAACATTAGATGATGGAGAGTGAATGTAAAGTGTGTGAAGTATTTGCTAAATGAGGTCAATTCACATACAGTCGTTACATTGATGAAGTAAACAACAATCTTTGGCACACCTATTGTCTACAGTCACGTCCCACAGCTGAAGAAGAAGAAGAAGCAGCAGCGAACAGGAGGAATTACTGCAGGAGGAACAATTGACATACTATAGTGAAGATGGAGATTAAGGAAGAACCCTGCAGAATAAAGGAGGAAGAGACAGAGGAGGCAATAGGTTTGTGTTTTAATTTATTCTGTTTATTTGACTGATGAAAAACATTATGGGCACTATCATACATCTGGCGCAACAGGATGAACACCAACACACAAATATCTTTACAGATGAAAACAATTAAAGGATTAAAATGATACAAAAAATTTTATTTAATAATTTTATCAATATAAACAGCACTGCCTCCATGCATCATCTCGGGGGGCTTTTTCAGTTTATTCATGACCATCTGCATCTGTATCATGTTAATATTATTAGCAGTATTATTTATTATATGCAGATTTATATTTATTCTAATAAACACAAGCTTAGATTTGTCCGCTTGTCAGGGTTTTGGAGACGTTTGGACATAACTCAGTTTTCTCACTACACTTCATTATTATCGTTAATTTATTCCTTTGTTGGAGATTAAAACTAAATTTAGAAATAGTTTTGAAGCAAATCTTTGTGCTTAACAAAGAGAATTAAATATGTGGGCTAATGGATGCGTTCAGTGGAGTGAATTTCCACCGTTTCCTCACTCCGCTAAAGTAAAGAGAAAGTGGCTGAATGGAGGAGGCTCGTTCTTTATCATCGCGCTGCAGATGCTCTGTTTAACTGTTTTCTCGCTAGTGAAGCGTTCAGTTTTTACACAAGTCGCCAGTAAATAGCAAATGCACAATGGAGCGACTCTTAAGAGGAATGAGAGACGAGACTCTGATTGGTTTAATGCACGTTAAGCTTAAAATACACCCAGAAGTCTTTAAGAGAATAAGCACAACCCTGTTAGACCATGCGCCCGTTGCACAGTGCCTATATATATGTCTTTAAAGTAGATAAAGTGGATTCAGACACAGCCTTAATGCTTTTGCGCCATGTGCTTTAGACTTTGAGCTTAGATCATTAAAATAAAGCCCTGAGATATAACAAACTATATTAATTTGTTTTAAAGTACATTTTATTTCTCGTTATCCTTAATGTTGTCAATTGAATAACAGACTTTGGAATTAAGACAAGCACCACTGATTTAATAATCTAATCTTTTCACAGATGAAGATGGAAATGCAGTCGGCTCACAGACTGAACAAACGTTCGCACAAGCTCTAAAGACTAAACACGAAGAATCGTTCAGCTGCACTGAATGTGGGAAGACTTACAAACATAAAGACAGCCTTTACAAACACAAAAGGGTTCACGGTGAAAAAGTTTTATTCATATGCACCGAGTGTGGGAAGAGCTACTCGGATAAATACACGTTCAGAGATCATCAGCTCTCTCACGCTGCAGTAAAGCCGTTCAGCTGTGATCAGTGCGATAAAACATTTGTGTTGGAAAAACACTTGAGACAACATCTTCAAGTTCATTCTGCTGTGAAGCCTCACGCGTGTTTCTGCGGGAAACGTTACACAACGATATACAAGTTAAGAGAGCATCAGGTTATTCATACTGAACCTCATGTGTGCTCCGACTGTGGGAACACCTTCAGTTCACTAACCAACTTAAAAAGACACCAGAATATCCACACTGGAGAGAAACCCTATCAGTGTTCACACTGTGAGAGGAGTTTCAGTCAGCCAGGAGGCCTGAAAGCTCATGAGAAAGTTCACACTGGAGAGAAACCCTACGTGTGTTCAGACTGCGGGAAGAGATTTGGTACGACCAGTAACTTAATTACACACCGGAGGATTCACACTGGAGAGAAACCGTATCAGTGTTCACACTGTGGAAAGAGCTTCTCTCATTCAGATTCTTTGAAAGCTCATGAGATTATTCACACTGGAGTGAAACCTCATGTGTGCTCCGACTGCGGGAAGAGCTTTAGTACATCAAGCAAATTAAGAAAACACGAGAGGATTCACACTGGAGAGAGACCGTATCAGTGTTCACACTGTGGAAAATGTTTTGGTCAGTCAGAAACCTTGAGAGTACATGAGAGAACTCACACTGGAGTCAAACCATATATATGTTTGACCGTGGGCGGAGATTTAGTTCATCAAGAAGCTTAGAAACTCATAATAAACAGTTTAAACAAAGGAGTTAATGATAATGTGCCCCTTCAAGTAAAGTCATGACACAAACATTCATTGACAGATTATAGCTTCATGTTGGTTACATTTAGCTGAAACTAAAGTGTTAATTATTTATTCATTCATTCATTTTCTTGTCGGCTTAGTCCCTTTATTAATCTGGGGTCACCACAGCGGAATGAACCGCCAACTTATCCAGCATATGTTTACGCAGCGGATGTCCTTCCAGCTGCAACCCATCTCTGGGAAACATCCACATGCACACACACTCATACACTACGGATAATTTAGCCTACCCAATTCACCTGTACCGCATGTGTTTGGACTGTGGGGGAAACCGGAGCACCCGGAGGAAACCCATGCGAATGCAGGGAGAACATGCAAACTCCACACAGAAACGCCAACCAGCGACACAGCGACCTTCTTGCTGTGAGGCAACAGCACTACCTACTGTCTCCTCACAGCAAGAAGGTTGCTGGTTTGATTCCCAGCTGGGTCAGTTGGCATTTCTGTGTGGAGTTTGCATGGTCCCCCCGTGTTTGCGTGGGCTTCCTCCGGGTGCTCCGGTTTCTTCCTGAGTTCAAACACATGCGCTATGTGTGTGTAAATGACACTGTATGGGTGTTTCCATGTACTAGGTTGCAGCTTTAACGGCATGCGCTGCGTAAAACATATGCCGGAATAGTTGTCGGTTCATTCCGCTGTGTCGACCCCTGATGAATAAAGGACTAAGCCGAATACAAATCAATGAATAATAACTTATTAATTAAGGTTGGCATTATTCCCGCATGGACTGTTGTATCTCATCATTAGTTCTTAATAAAGTAACATTTAGTTTAGGTGATGTTTTATTAACGAATTTCGGGAGGAGCACCATCTGTCTTTGATGAAGCTAATTTATCACAAACAATCATTCTACCATCCAATCAGCTCAAGAGCAAACCCCTATAAATAGTTGACTTCAGCGTCCCTCCACCACCCCATCTCCACACTATTAAACCCGATACTCATTTAAATCTGAGGGGTGAGCATTCTAGTTTGACACTGCGCTCAGACCCTATCCCTCTCTAGCCTGCTAAAGGGAATAACACGAGTTAGGGTGTCTTCCCGAGCTCAGAGCCCTCTCCCCGTATAGTACGCCAAATATTCTATTCAGTCAAATATCTGTGAGTGTGAACTCGTGAAATATTAGTACATCATTATTCAGGTACTGTTATTACTGTTTCCATTATTATATAAGAAGATTCTTATTGTGTTGCAGACATTTGGACCAAATGTACATTTTCCCAAAAACTCTAAAAATAAAATGATGGTCTACATAGTTGAATGATTTTCTGTCTGTTTTGATGTGCTCACTGTGACGTTTTTGATTCATTCAAATAGTGTTTCATTAATCATTGAATGCAGAATATAATTTGATCTGTGCATTCTGTTGCTAGTGTTTTATAGTCATCATTCAAAGCTATAATAGAGTTCCAGTTATCGAGAGAAGATCCTATTTAGGTTTAGGGATAAAAGAAATAGGAGTCATATACGAGTGGTCTATTATCAATACTTTATTTATTTACTGTGGTTAAGATTGGAGATAATCGCTCAATAAAACAAAATCTACAGTTAAATCATTGTTTCGTGTGGTTTTTTAATTGTGATATAAGCTTCTGTGGTGATTTGACCTCACATAATGTTTTCTCATGGTCACTTAAGAGTTTTGAAATGATGATCAGAGTCGTAAAATGTCAGATTATAAATATTTCCAAACAAATTTGTGCAGTTTTCTGCTCTCTTTTTAGGGACATCTTTTGTGTTATGGTTAATCTTTAGTCAGCATATGGTTTGTTGAGCAGTTTTTCTCTAAACTAACTAAATAACAACAATTCTCTTCTCCTTTTTTCATCTATTTACTATAGGCAATCTCACAAAGGCACTTTCTGCCTCAAGTCATGCAATTTATTTTAAAGCCTATATGGTATTCACATTTGTCAAACAAGTTTGTTGTGATAAAGATGAACATTTTCGAATATAATTGTTGCCGATTTACTCCCACATTCTATTTATGAAGTTTAGTTTAATGTGCATTGGGTACTGCTAGTGTTGCTAGAAGGGATACAGCTGTGGCAAAAGTTAACAATTCTTGTATTATTTGTTAAATTATCCATTAATAGTATTTTAGTAACATCTACCCTGGCAGCACAGTGACTCAGTGGTTAGCACCGTGGCCTCACAGCAGGAAGGTCGCTGGTTTGAGCCCCGGCTGGGCCAGTTGGCATTTCTGTGTGGAGTTTGCATGTTCTCCCCGTGTAGGTGTGGGTTTCCTCCGGGTGCTCGGATTTCCCCACACAGTCCAAACACATGCGCTATAGGTGAATTGGATTAACTAAATTGGCTGTTGTGCACGAGTGTGTGTATATGTGTGTTTTCTAGCCAACACAGGGTTGCAGCTGGAAGCGCATATGCCAGAATAGTTGGTGGTCCATTTCACTGTGGCATCCCCTAAGAAATAAGGGACTAAGCTGAAGTAAAATGAATGAATAACGTCTACCCTTAATTCAACTATCACAGTAATGTAAAAACAATTAATTAAATAAATGGTAATTAGTTAAATTACCAATTAAATTGTATTTTACTAATGTCTACCATTATACCAACCTTCACTGTAATGTAAAAATATTAAATACAGTGCCTCAGCATCATGCTGTTTTGATGCAAGTATACGCAGCTGTATCCCTTCTAAGCTTTACCGGTTTCGCCAATGGTGGCGCTGTAGCACCAGAAACAATGCTGGCCATCCGAGTCTACGAGAAGAAGAAGGAAGCGCGAAAAATGTCAACACAGCCGTTTGTGATGCTCTAAATCTGCTGTATTTATCACACTGTAAGTATATTGATTGTATATTACTTATAAGAGAATACCTACACCTAATAGAGTCACTTTATTTTAGTGAGTTCAAAACACAGGGGATTAATGCCGCTAAAAACGATCAGTTGTCATGTTTTGGTCTGTACTAGTCGACCAGACCGTTAAAAAACACTTCAAAGTACTATACAAAAGCCAAAAGTTATAGAAAATTAAGGGACATTCTACTAGAAACGTATATTTTCACTTATAAAAATGTGAGGGCCTGACTTTATCCCCCTCTTACAAAAACAAGCAGAAAGCCTTGACGCTTGCTGTGTCTCATTTCAGAGGCTGCATCCTCTGAAGGAAGGTTAAAAAAACTATTAAAGCTGTAGGTTTAATTGGGCTGAGGACAATGACTGGGTTTGTAAATAGGTAAAGGGTTTTTTAATAAAGAAAAAAATCCGAGAACCAAATAAATGGCAGATTCTTTTAATGACCAACTCACAGAAATCAACCATCAGTCCATTTTTTTGGGGAATTAAATACTTTTTATTCACTGTATTTATGTTTTTTTTTTTTTATTCTAACTCAGATTTTTTTTTTTTTTTTTGCATTTCAACATTTTTTTCAGAAGAAATAAAGAGATAAAATCAATACAAAAATCTTGGCAGATTCTTGTTTATGTATGTGAAACTTTCCCATTATAATACGCAGGTTAACAGTAATTTCCTGCAGTGTAAATGTGAATGTGACGTATGTTCTAATGAAGCCTCTCCCACAGCTATATATGAGTTTAAATGCTGAAGAATATCACCATCTTCCCACAGCTGAAGAAGCAAACAGGTGGAATTACAGCAGGAGAAACAGCTGACATACTATAGTGAAGATGGAGATTAAGGAAGAACCCTGCAGAATAAAAGAGGAAGAGACTGAGGAACCAATAGGTTTGAGTTTTATTTCATTCTCTTTAATGACTGATGAGAAACATTAAGATGAAAGCTCTACAGTTGAATTCAGAATTATTAGCCCCCTGAATTATTAGTGCGCCTGTTTATTTTCCCCCCCCCCCAATTTCTGTTTAATGGAGAGCAGAATTTTTTCAAAACATTTCTAATCATAATAGTTTTAATAACTCATCTCTAATAACTGATTTATTTTATCTTTGCCGTGATGGCAGTAAATAATATTAGACTAGATATTCTTCAAGACACTTCTATACAGCTTAAAGTGACATTTAAAGGCTTAACTAGGTTAATTAGGTTAACTAGGCAGGTTAGGTAATTACCGGTACGCAAATTATTGTATAAAGATGGTTTGTTCTGTAGACTATTGAAAAAAAAATAGCTTAAATGGGCTAATAATTTTGTCCCAAAAATGTTTAAAAAAAATTAATATCTGCTTTTATTCTAGCCGAAATAAAACAAACAAGACTTTCTCCAGAAGAAAACATATTATTACTCTGTTAAAAATAATTTGGAAAATATATATACATACATGTAGCTCGCTGTTTCAATAAAGGATTGACTCTTTCACTGGTGTTTTCCCATGATTTATTTCAGTGCAGCATTCACTTTACTGACGCCGTCGTCAACATCAAACACCTTATACCATAGGCCAAACACCGTACACCTTGCACCGTACGGAAAACACCGTACACCTTGCACCGTACGGCAAACACCGTAAGAGCTTGTATACAAAGAGAAAATGAAACCAAATGTAAGCAAATATGAAAACCATATACAAACAAACAGACATCACTTAAACTCAATATACAAACTCAATACAAACAAACAAACAAACATATTAAACAAAGTGTCAGTACCTTGTTCTCCAATCAAACCAGAAGCTAAACCTTTAGTCCGTAGCAGACCGCACAGCTGGGACGCCATGATCATGTGCGATCTTTCCGTGTCTGTTTATATCCGTAATGGTAATTAATTCAAAATAAAAGACTTCTGGTTTCACACTGAACACTTCATACCATAAATACCAAAAATATCAAATATACATATAATAGAGAAGAGAGAGAGAGAGAGAGAGAGAGAGAAAGTATATACACACACAATATAAACATATTGTAGAAAAGATGCAATAACAAAGACACCATGTCAAAGTTATTAACAATATATATATATATATATATATATATATATATATGTATGTATGTGTGTATGTATGTATGTATTAGGGATGTAACGGTATCAGAATTTCACGGTACGGTAATACCTCGGTATGAATGTCACGGTACGGTATTTATTGAATCATTTACAGGAAAAAACAAAACTTATGAAAATACTCCAAAAAAGTGCCAAAAGTGTCAATGACATACAAATTAGCCATCTATCTGTAAGCTTTGAAACAGGAACTTCAATTTTAATAACAAAAAAATATTAAAGCATGTAAAAAAATAAAGTTTCAATTTAGTATTGTTGAAAACTCATCACATTCAACATTTAATCACTCACTCACTTAGATAGAGATGGGTTTAAAGGAAAATTATCATATAAATATAATCTGGTAAAAGCTGGTATCTCTGGGTATTTACAATGTCCCCTGCAACAGAAAAACCCCTCTCATTTGGGACTGAGGTTTCTGGGAGAGAGAGATATGACTTGGCCCAGGTTGACAGCAGTGGGTAACGTTGTGCATTGTCTTTCCCCCACTTGAGAAGACAAACCATGAGTGAGATAGAGATCTCATGTCTGCATCAATCTGAACAGTGTGCTGTGTTTCTGCAATCCCCATGACTGATTATTAGTCGTATTCCCCAACTTGCAGGCACGTGCACACACAGGGCTCAACCTGTGCAGTGCACATGCCCTTTTTAGTCTTGGATAGAAAGTTCCCTTCCAAAATGATTAAAAGTGCCCCCGCGATGCGACATACCCTCCGTCCCCGCTTTACAGTACGCGCGCGACAACACAGCTGATAAGAACTCGCACGACAACACCGCTATTCAGTACACGCGCGGCGACAACACCCGCTTTAGGGTTTTCCAGCTCTTTTTGATCCCCGCTTCTAGCAGCACACTCCATTTCCGCATTACTGGATCTGTAGCGACAACAGACCGCAAGGGATGATGGCCAACCCTGGGCTGATGGGAATTGTAGTTTTCGCTACCTCCCATTCGCTTCATTCGCCTGAGCAAATTTTCTCAGAAGACCTATAGTTTTACCGAGTCATGCGACTACGGTAATATCGGAAAAAATTAATATTGCGGTGTGACGGTATTTACAATACCGTTACATCCCTAGTATGTATGTATGCAGCCTTACACTATCGAGCGCGTATACACTCCGACTACTTCTATTTTGTTGATTAGCTGCTGGGCATTTCACTCTGTCTCTCACTGAAGACAGTCAGTGTCAACCATTGACAGACTGTCATTGGTCCAATCAGCGCAGATTAGTTTCGCATCAAGGAGGGGTTTGGGAACAAATGAATCACTGGACAATTCATATGGGAGTCGCTGGGATAATTAAGTAAAAATAAATGCAGAATTTAAAACCATGAAAGTGTTTTTTGACCATGCATGCATATTAGACTGTTGTTGGAGACCCTTACAACCAAAATATGACCCTATTTCATGTATAATATGGGCTCTTTAAATAAAATCATTGGGTTTTCCACCAAGGAAACCCGGAGTGCTGAATTATAATTGTCTGAGCTGGCAGTGGGCTGGTTATAGAGACCAAAACAAAGACATTCTGGCTCGTAACGCCACATTTTCAAAGCAGAATATCTGACTTAAGCATTGTTTTTCAGATCAACATGTTCACTTTGCATGCACATTTGCAAACATATTATGGTATTTCTATGATTTAAAAGAGTAAAAACGTACATAACGCACCTTTAACTAGAAATAATATGTATTAATAACATTATTAAAAAGAAAAACCTAATCTTTTCACAGAAGACGATGGAAATGCACAAACTTTCAGACATAAACAAGCTGGAAAAACTGCAGCCATAGGAGCTTTCAGGTGCTCTGAGTGCGGGAAGACCTACAAACATAAAATCAGTTTCAACACACACATGAGGACTCACACCAGAGGAATGTACACGTGCACTCACTGCGGAAAGGATTTCACTGTGAAAGGAGATCTGATCGTACACATGAGGACTCACACCGGAGAAAGACCTTTCACATGCACTCAGTGTAACAAGAGTTTCACAGATAAAAGAAAGCTGAAGTTACACATGAGACTTCACACGGGGATAAGACCACACACCTGCACTCAATGTGGGAGGAGTTTCATAGATAAAGGAAATCTGACAGTGCACATGAGGATTCACACCGGAGAGAAACCGTACACCTGCACTCAATGTGGAAAGAGTTTCACAGATAAAGCCAATCTGAATGTGCACATGAGGATTCACACTGGAGAAAGGCCGTATAAGTGCACTGAATGTGAAAAGAGTTTCGCACACAAAAACAGTTTAAAGATTCACCTGCTCTCTCACTCTGGAGAGAAGCCGTTCAGCTGTGATCAGTGCGGTAAAACATTCATATCAGCAGCATACTTAAAACAACACCTTCAAGTTCACGCTGCCGTAAAGCCTCACATGTGTTTCTGTGGGAAAAGCTATAAAAAAATGGAAAAGTTAAAAATACACCAGAGGAATCACACTGGGGAGAGGCCGTATGCATGCTCACACTGTGGAAAGAGTTTCGCTTCTTCAAAATCGTTAAAACGTCATGAGAGACGTCATACTGAGGAAAAGCCGCGGTAAGGAGTTAACGAATATTCAGAAAAAGACTCGACTTGATTTTCATGACTCGAGTCTTGACTCTGAACTGGATTAAATTACTTTTATTAACTACGTTTCAGATAATAAAGGGGCTGTTTACATATTTACATTATATATACAGTTGAAGCCAGAATTATTAACCCCCTTTTAAATTTTCTTTTCTTTTTTTAATATTTCCCAAATGATGTTTAACAGAGCAAGGAAATTTTCATTGTGTGTCTGATAATATTTTTTCTTCTGGAGAAAGTCTTATTTGTTTTGTTTCGGCTAGAATAAAAGCAGTTATTAATTTTTTAAATAAACATTAATTCATTCATTTTCTTGTCGGCTTAGTCCCTTTATTAATTCAGGGTCGCCACAGCGGAATGAACTGCCAACTTGTCCTGCAAGTTTTTACGCAGCGGATGCCCTTCCAGCCACAACCCATCTCTGGGAAACATCCACACACACTCATACACTACGGACAATTTAGCCTACCCAATTCACCTGTACCGCATGTCTTTGGACTGTGGGGGAAACCAGAGCACGGAGAACAGCAGGGAGAACATGCAAACTCCACACAGAAATGCCAACTAAGCCAACTCGAACCAGCAACCCAGCGATCTTCTTGTTGTGAGGTGACAGCACTACCTACTGCACCACTGCATCACCCTTAAATAAACATTTTAAGGTCAAAATGATTAGGGTCACGAAACACCAAAACACATGTTTTGAGCTGTTGACAGTCAGATATGTGTCTCACACTGCTAAAAACACTATTAGGACACCTATATTTCACTAAAAAGTGTAAATAGGTTGTTTTTGCGTTATTTCAAGCAAATTCGTACTTCCGGTTTGAAACGAACTTTTGAAGCTGCGTCACGGTCATGACATAATAGCGTGTATTCCAGCGTGCAGACTGGCTGTCTGTACCTGAGAGCACCGTATTACGGGTATGAGTGTGCTGCACTATTTCAGGAGTAAGACTTGGTTCAAACCAATCAGTGCGCTCTATTGTGCAACTTTATTAATGTTACAATGTTTAGACGGCAGAGAGACGCCACGTTGTGTTGGCAAAACAAGCGTGCAGTGTTGCTTTTATAATTTGCTGCAGTGAAGGTTTTGTTTTAATTTTCTCTCTATGAAAGCGCAGCTGGACTCACGTGTGTCTAAGGAACATTGCTTACCCGAGAGCTTTTCCCATCTGGTGAAATTCTGTCTCTACAGATTTGGTAAGTGAGCGATCAGTGCTCTTTGTTTATTCAGATGGCAAAGTTAGTTCATATCGAACTATTACACTGAGTGTAAACATGTTAGCACCGCAACAAAGCTATTACTGTCGTGTAGGATTTTCACCGCATTTTGTGACAGGAATAACACACACGGCTTTCGGACGCTACCTGCCGTGTGCATCTAAGTTTCCGGGAAATGCTGAGGTTTTTTTTCTCTCATACGCCGTGCGGTATCAAACATTGCATGAAAAATACACGCTTACAGCAGTTCCTCAAATTTTGTTTGTCACAAGGGGAATGAATGAAATTCCTGAATGAAAGAGCCAAACTGCAGCTAAAGTCCACCATTTAATAATTTGTCAAATAATTTGATGTCCGAGTAAACACAGTCACTTTCTCCCTTGTGTGTGTGTGTGTGTGTTTTGACTCTGAAAATCAGCGCGTGCCCAAATCGACACTCCCATGTTTATGCAAATTTTTACAGACCCTCCCTCTTTTGCTCCTCCGACACTCCCCCCTAAACAGAGCTGGACACGCCCACTTTCCTGACTTTTTCCAAAGTAGAGTTGTGAAAACACCCTGCTGAAACGAGGGGGTTTCATGGCCCTTTAAGCTAGTTTTGTTTTCTGATAGTCTACAGAACAAACCATTATCATTATACAATAAATTACCCTGATCTGCCTAGTTAACCTAATTCAGGGGTTTTCAAACTGTGGTCCACGTGGCAAAGGGGTCCACGAAAAACTTGGCAGAGACAAAAAATGATTTAAAAGATATTTTTTTCCATTCCTACAATTATTAATGACTATAAATTATTAATCTATATATAGTTTTATGATTTGTATAAGTGGATACCTAATTGTTATATGTTTATCCCAAATCCTTTTTGCTCTTTAAGGTTTTGCATACAGTTGAATGGAGCAATCAGTTCAGTTCAGTTCAGCTTTATTTGTATAGCTCTTTTACAGTGTAGATTGTGTCAAAGCAGCTTCACATCATAGTAAATTGGAACAGAGTTCAGTTTTTAGTGTTTCAGTTCAGTTCAGTGTGGTTTAATAATCACTACTGAGGGCCTAAACACTGGAGAGCAAATCCATCGATGCGCAGCTCTACCGATCCCAAACCATGCAAGCCAGTGGCGACAGTGGAGAGGAAAAAACTTCACTGATTGGTGAAAGTGAAGGAAAAAACCTTGAGAGAAACCAGACTCAGTTCGGCACGACCATTTTAATATCTCCGCTGGCCAAACGTCTTGTGCAGAGCTGCAGTCTCAGTGCCGGAGGCTGGAAGCTGGCCTCAGTGAAGACTCGTCTGTCCCTGGAGTGTCACAGGTATCAGTCTCATGCTCTCCACTCCCCCATGACCACCACAGCAGCTGCTCAGGATACGGCCTCGTCTATAGGGGAAATGGCCATGTCAAACTGAGCCTGGTTTCCCTCCAGGTTTTTTAATTCTTCACTTTCGTCAATTGGTGAAGTTTCTTCCTCGCCGCTGTTGCCACTGGCTTGCATGGTTCGGGATCTGTAGAGCTCCGCATCAATGGATTTGCTCTTCAGTGTTTGGACTCTTGGTAGTGATTATTAAATCACACTGAACTGAGCTGAACTGAACTGAACTTAAACACTGAAAACTGAACTGACACGGTTTCAATTCACTATGATCTTCTATGTGAAGCTGCTTTGACACAATCTACATTATAAAAGTGCTATACAAATAAAGGTGAATTGAATTGAATTGAAAAGTAATGACTTTATTGAATGATTTTAATAAATATTTTAACAATGTAATCAACAATATTCAGTACTGTATAACAAAGCAAGTTTTTGATTCCTTTAAAAAATATTTGAACTTTTTGTTAAACACTAAATTAGAAACATATATTTATTTCATCATCGTAACATTTAAGGTTTGCGAAATAATCAGAATAACTGCGTTTCAGTATAAAGTCTGCAATAGTTTGGCAGTAAGTCTGATGTTCCTCTAGATGTCGCTGTTTACTTTCATTTCAGCCGCATTTGGCTCCATTGTACTTCAGTGCAGATGGTCTGTGTACCTTCCATAGACTGTAAAGATACATTGATTGACCAGGTTTGTAAATGTTTTGAAAGACATAGATAATAGAAAGCATTAGATAATAGAAAGTGAGTGTAATGTGTGATACTATTGACCTTTAAGAACAATTAACATGTTTAAGTCGATTATAGGTCATCTGAATAAGTAAAGTAAAGTAAAGAACTTTATTGTCATTGTAGTTGTACAACGAAATTTGTTTGGTAACTCACAGAGACCAGCAGCAACATAAAAAGAGAGAAAAACAAACAATAGACATAATACTAAAATATAAGAGGCAAGATAAAGTATACTAAATGTAATAAGTCACATAAAAACCAACAATAGACATTATACTAAAAATATAAGATGTAAGATAAAAATATACTAAATGTAATAGTCACAGTATTTACATTATGGCAAATGAGTGCAAACATGAATATCCATAAAGTGTCTTTGTGCATTAGCAGCAGAACATCAGAAAGGTAGGGAGTGAGGGAGGGGGGGTGATTGTTAATGTGTACAAAGAGGAGGGGTGGCACAGGCTACAGCTCTGGGGAAGAGCTGTAGCCTAACTTGCACAAACTTGCACAAATCTTTAAAAAGTCAAGCTGCAATCGACTAACGTTTGTTTCTGAAACATTTATGGAGAGAATTTGTGTTTCAGAAAAAATATGTATATATTATAATTTACTATGTATCAGTTTCCGCCTGTGGTGGCGCTCGAGCGCTGGACACAGCGATAAGCATCCGAGTCTACCAGAAGAAGAAGAGCGCAAGAACATAAACATTAGAAGCGAAACAGTTGTTGGTTATGCCCTCCCTATGCTGTTTTTATCTCACTGTAAGTACATTCACATTATTATTATTATTTATTAGGAGATATTTAAAACGCAGTTTTTTTTCAATTAGTGTCAAACAAGTGATTATTGCTGATGAAAACATCCAGTTATTGTAGATTTTGACGTTGTAACTACTAATAATAATTTGTATATTCGCATTTACTACTTTCTTTTATTTTAAAAATATATTTATTATGTTTTTTGTCCTGTCTTTGTGATTCTGCTGCACTGTAGAAGCTCTGTCACGAAAACAAATTGCTCGTATGTGAGAACACCTGGCAATAAAGCGCTTTCTGAATCTGATTCTAAATCGGACCGTCAAAAATACACTAGACCAGTGGTTCTCAAACTGTGGTACGTGTACCACTAGTGGTACACAGGCTTCCTTCTGGTGGTACGCGGAGGAATGAAATATGTTATGTACATGCTACACACATTTAATAATTTATCAAAAATGATGTATATAATATGCCGTTATTGACATATAGCCTATATTTCTGAGGTAATCAGCCACGTTTTTTTAACTGTGCAGAGTTGTAGCTGCTTTACTGGGCCTACTATGGTACTGTATTTCAATGCTGCTAATTTTTGGTGGTACTTGGAGAGACTATTTTTTTCTGAGGTGGTACTTGATAAAATAAAGTTTGAGAACCACTGCACTAGACCGATAAACACTAGTACTGGACAGGCAAAAAAAATATAATGAATTAAACAGAGGAGAAGTTAACAGAAGATAAAGTTCTTGTAGAACAAAATGTGTTTCTGGTTGGTCAAACTGAAGCATTATTTCTAGAAGATGTTTGTTTGTTTTATAATTTCTGGTTGTGTAGGAGAAATATTAGCCTAATATCTTAATTAATGCTATTCAAGCATTTTTTAATCACCTTTTTATTTAATTTTTTAAGTATTGCCTCCTTTTCTGCTTTATTCATCGATACAGAACCCACAAACTGACATTTTAATTGAATATTTGGGCAGGTTTCTACATGACCATTTGAGCTTATTCAGCTCTAGGTGATTGAAAGTGAATGTAAAGTGTAAGAATTATCTGCTAAATGAGCTCAATTCACATGTTATGCAGGGTGTCGGTGGGGTCTTAAATTTAAAAAACTAAATTTTATGCCTTAAAAAGTCTTAAATTCACTGAAATATTGTGTTGTAGGTATTAAATCATTTTAAACGGGTCTTAATTTACCCATGTTCAAGTAAAGCTACCCAATCTGGCCAACACCCAATCACCTATAAACCATCTCAGAATTTCATTTTTTATTATTATTATTATTATTTAGGCTTTTTATTGCAAAGAGATACAGCTGTGAGACATTTTTAAAGCAAATTCTCTAAATTAAACCCCAAATCAGGGAAAGAAAACTAAAGCAACACATCCCTTTATAGTCTTTCATTAATACAAAAACTATTTACTGAAGTAACCAGGCATTACATAAAATCCTTAGGATTTAGCCCTGTATAAGTCCAAAATTTCATTTATATTTGTTTTAAAAGGGTCCTAAAAAGTCTTAAATTTGATTGGAGGAAACCTGCAGAAACCCTGGTTATAATACAAAGCAGTTGCACTGATGAAATGAAACCAATTTGGAGGACCATCTATGGCACAGGTATTGTCTGCAATTGGGTTCTGTCTTTTAAACAAACAACCATTTATGCTAAACAGATAAATCAGGATATTCCCATCTTCCCACAGCTGAAGAAGTCGCAAACTGGAGGAATTACTGCAGGAGAAACAGCTGACATACTATAGTGAAGATGGAGACTGAGGAAGAACCCTGCAGAATAAAGGAGGAAGAGACAGAGGAACAAATAGGTTTGTGTTTATAGTCTTTCTTATTAATGACTGAGTAACATTAAGGGTGCTTTCACACCTACACTTTTGTTTCGGAACGTGTCTCGTTTACCCAGTTCGTTTGGCATATGTAAACAGGGCAATCGCGCTCTGTTCCGCGCCAATGTAATCGCTCCGAGATCGCTTGAATGAGGTGGTCTCGGCTCGATTGAAACAAACCCTGGAGCGGTTCGATTGCAGTGAGAAAGCGATCCAATCCGAGCGCGGTTATATCACAGTGTTTTATGGATATGTAATAGGCTTACGGCTATATGAAGAGAGAATTATGAGCATGGCGGGAAGTTTCGCGAGTCTCCGGATGCCCGCAAACAAGTGATTATCTCCCAGGAAATCTCGCGCCTAACTCCCGGTCCTCAAATAGGCATCGTCGCGCACCCTTCTCACCCCTCCCCACCGCATCTCTCCTCAGACACGTCGCTCGCTCGCGCACCCTGTCAATCACCACCAAACCACCACCTCTTCTGACAGCTGAGCGGGACGCTGCAAAATAAACCCTGACACTCTGACCAATATGAGGAGAGTTTACTCGCACGTGACTTGTTTTAGCTCTTTTGCTTTGCAGTGTGAAAGCGAACCGCTCCAAGAGCAAAGAGCAACAATGTAACAATTGTAATCTCTGTTTCAGAACAACTAAATCGATTCACAGGTGTGAAAGCACGCTAAGATCAAAAACCACCTGTTACAATCTTTAGATAATATATTTGTTAAATTAAAATATTAAAATAGATCCTTTTTATGTAATTTTGTTAGTTTAAAAGTGAGAATTTTAACACAGATTTTAGACTGAATAAAAGCAAACACCACTGGTTTAATAACCTAATCTTTCCACAGATGCGGATGAAAATGCAGTCAGTTCACAGACTGAAGACACTTCCAGACCAAAACAAGCTGGAAGAACTGCAGTCGAAGGATCTTTCATCTGCTCCGAGTGCGGAAAGAGTTACAAAAGCAAAGACAGTCTTTACAGACACACAAGATTTCACTCTGGGCAAGGCCTGTTCACATGCACTCAGTGTGGCAAGGATTTTGTTCAGAAAGGACAGCTTGATAAACACATGAGGATTCACACCGGAGAAAGGCCGTATGCATGCTCTCAATGTGGAAAGAGTTACAATGACGCCGCTACATTGAAAATGCACACGAAGACGCACAGCGGAGAGAAACCGTTTACGTGCATTCAATGTGGAAAGAGTTTCATATATAGGAAGACTCTAAAGGATCATCAGCTCTCTCACAATGCGGTAAAGCCATTCAGCTGTGATCAGTGCAGCAAAGCATTTACATTAGAAAAATACTTAAGACAACATCTTCATGTGCACGCTGCCGTGAAGCCCTACGTCTGCTTCTGTGGGAAAAGTTATACGACAATGAACATGTTAAATGAGCACCAGAGGATTCACACCGGAGAGAAACTGTATCAGTGCTCACACTGTGCAAAGAACTTCACTTACTCAAACTCCTTGAAAGTTCACCAGAGGATTCACACTGGAGAAAAGCCCTATCGGTGCTCTTCATGCGGGAAGAGTTTCACTCAGTTAGCAAGCTTGAAAGCTCATCAGAGGATTCACACTGGAGTCAAACCCTATGTGTGTTCAGACTGCGGGAAGAGCTTTAGTACATCGAGCAGTTTAACTGCACACCGGAGGATTCACACTGGAGAGAAACCGTATCAGTGTTCACACTGTGGAAAGAGTTTCAATCGGACAGGAGGCCTGAAAGATCATCAGAAAGTTCACACTGGGGAGAAACCACACCAGTGCTCCTCGTGTGGAAAGAGTTTCACTCAAATGTCTAATCTGCGGGTTCATATTGAAAAAATTCACAGCCCAAAGTTGCTTGAATAAGAAATATTTAATCATGTAAAAAATGTAATCTGGATCACATTGATTCAGATTTGAAAATCCCATGTTTTGTTATCCAGGATTAACTGATCTATCTTACTTTTATGACAGTTTTTAAAAGGAACTTTGGGTTGGATCACTGTGATCCAAATACCAAATTTCAGGATTATCAAATCCCGTTTACCACAGCCTTAAATGGAACCAACAGCATAGCCGACTGGTTTAGCAAAGAACAACAAGTAGGCGAAAAACCAGCGGCCACAAACAACCATTGTTTGTTTTAATGGTAAGAACCTGGGGTCCGTTCTTCGTACGTGGATTACTCGGTTAGCTGGATTTGGATATTGACGATTTGACATGATCCAGGATCGTTTCGTTTTTCAAAGCTGATCCAAGAGTTGTTGTCATAGCAACAGTTCTGCTAGGTCAAACCTGATTGGGAGCAGGTTCAATTCATATAAACAGGATTAGATCGGCTCAGTTCAAGCAAAGATAATACAGAAAGTATGTTCCGAATTCTGATATTTTCTTACAGTAGTAGCTATATACACTTAGGAAAATGGTACATATTTTTTTAACTATATATATAAAGTTATAGTCATTAATAAAATAAATTAAGTTATACATATTAATAAACCTTATGCAATCTTCACCCTTGAAATGAAAGTACAAAGACTGCCACCTGGTGGTGCAAAGAGAAAACTTATTGATATGAACTTTTTAGATCGCTTTAGTACAAGTAGTGTATAATAGAAATGCACAATATGTGACTTTTTTAAAGCAATAATACATTTATGCAGTCATGAACATGTTTTGATAGTTAATATGACGGTGATTTGATGCTTCACAAAAGTTGCAGACGCCTTTACCAATATCAAAAAACTTTTGTAAACAACCAGTTATTCTTTACACCGATTAAAAAACGGCTACTATAATAAAGAAAATCTTCTCTAAATGTAGAACTAAATACACTGATTTGCATTGAAATACATGATGAATACTCTTGTCTTGACAAATGAAAGTGTAAAGCCTGCAGCTCACAACAAATGTGGAAGGTTATTGCGTGTCATATTTAACGCACCGTTTACTGCTAATTTGATGTAATTTTGCTCACATGGATAATTGAATATTAATCAGATGATGTCATTACGCTGCTGTGCCGTCAGCCAATCGCTGCATTGCTGATCATGATTTCGAGGATCGATAGATCTGTCCTTCACAACACACGCAGCGATCTCAGATCAGTTCATCCAGACATTCTAATCTGATTCGCGAACTCGTTTAAAGAACCAAATTAGCGAGAGATCAGTTATCAAGATTAAAAGATCCGGGATCTGCCAAATCATCTTAGATCATTTAAGCGAGGTACGAAGAACGGACCCCTGCTCATTAGTTGTGACATGCTTCATATAGGCTTCATACGGAGACCCGGAAGGGACGTAGTGGAGTAGAAAAAAATTGGCTGGATGAAAAAAAAATGGGTGAAAGAAAAAACTGGGTGGGAGGAAAATATAATTTTTAAGTTTTTGCGTTCTCTCGCAAAGTGTTATGTTCCCTCGCAAAAAATGTTTTGCGTTCTCTCTCAAAACTGTTTCTCCACAAACACTTCCTGTCCACTTCCCTCATGTAAACCCTCCCGTTTTTGCCAAAATTCTCCTGTATTTTACTATTCTATCCCACTTTCTTTACATTAAAGCTGTGCGTCGATCGTCGCCTTACATATGCTACCTCTGAACCAGTGAATGCATGTATAAGCGCTGACTGACAGAGGCGCTCCGTACAATAAACTGACACCAGATCAGCTTCTGTACACACAAAAGACAAATACACTGAATAAAATGTAAACATCTCCGTCCTTTATGTTTTATTTTAAACAGCTAATTTTCTCTTAAATGAGCACAAGCAGTTTCTAAAGTCATGGACTGCTTTTATTATAGATCTGTGCATTCTTACATAGACACCTCTGTTATCAAACTAAACAAAACGAGAGATTCATTTGCTGCTCACTTGTTTGATAACAGAGTTGTCACTTTAAATGGCTTTAAAATATATTAAAGATATTATTTTTATTTAATGTATTAAGTTTTTAGTTATGATACTTCATAACAAAAAATTCCGCATAAATCTGCAGAATTTTAATAAAATCTCTGCAGAAATGGCAAAAAAAGTCCGCAGACTCTGTCTGGCCCTACTAATGAAGAACAGTTAAACCGTGACACCGGAGTCCGGGGCTGTTGATGGGCGCTGCTGTCGCCTCTAGGTCAAGCTCTTTGTCCTGACGGCGCTAGCGGTTTCTCTTTTTCACACTTCCTGGTTCCGGTAAGCGAAACAGCGTATCACAACATCCGGTTTCAATGCAATAATGTAGTAAGGAGAAATGGCGTCGTCTCGTCGCTGTTATTGCAGCGTTCCCGGCTGCTCAAACTCAAAAAAACGTCACCCTTACCTCAGTTTCCACGATTTCCCGAAAGATGAAGGACAGAGGAAGTCATGGGTAAAATTTATTAGACGGGAGGAAGGTCCTTTCTTTCAAATTAAACGCGGGAGTACGTTCGTGTGCAGTATGCACTTCAAAGCGGACGATATTTACACAACCATAAGTGGAAGGAGGAAGATAAATCCCGGTGCTGCACCTCGCCTTTTTTCCTGGAATAACTGGAGTATTGACAAAGTTAGGGTGCTTTCACACCTACACTTTTGTTTCGGAACGTATCTCGTTTGCCCAGTTAGCGCGGTTCGATTGGCATATGTGAACAGGGTAATCGCGCTCTGTTCCGCGCCAAAGTAATCGCTCCGAGATCGCTTGAATGAGGTGGTCTCGGCTCGATTGAAACGAACCCTGGAGCGGTTCGATTGCAGTGAGAAAGCGATCCGATCCGAGCGCGGTTATATCACAGTGTTTTATGCATACGTAATAGGCTTACGGCTATATGAAGAGAGAGTTATGAGTATGGCGGGAAGTTTCGCGAGTCTCCGGATGCCCGCAAACGAGTGATGATCTCCCGGTAATCTTGCCTCTCCCTCCTTCAAATAGGCATCGTCGCGCACCCTTCTCACCCCTCCCCACCGCGTCTCTCCTCAGACATGTCGCGCGCGTGCACCCTGTCAATCACCACCAAACCACCACCTCTCCTGACAGCTGAGCGGGACGCTGCAAAATAAATCCTGACACTCTGACCAATGTAAGGAGAGTTTACTCGCACGTGACTTGTTTTAGCTCTTTTGGTCCGTTTAGAAACTTTGCAGTGTGAAAGCGAACCGCTCCAAGAGCAAAGAGCAACAATGTAACAATTGTAATCTCTGTTTCGGAACAACTGAATCGATTCACAGGTGTGAAAGCACCCTTACACGAGAGTCGGCTTTTCAACGGGCTAGTGCTCGGCTTGGTGTCGATGTTCGTGTTGACCCCACTGCTCCAGCCGTATCTGTGCCGATACTCCCTCAAGCAGACCACGACTATGCATGCCAACCATCACCTGGTATTTACTGCAGGAAACATTTCTATTTAAAAAGACAAGTTATTATATTTAAATTATGAACGTATATACTGTATTTATAGATAGTTTACATAGCCTACATGCATGCAGGGCTTGACATTAACTTTTTTGATCACCAGCCACTGTGGCTAGTAGATTTCCAACATTACCAGCCATTCCCCATTTTCACTAGCCACACTTGTTGTTTGTAAAATATATTTTATCTGCATAAATTTGACTTTGACATGCTAAAATTACTTAGTTTAGATGTTGTGTTGTCCACATGCCTACTCATTCATTTCATTTTTTGTGTGTGTGTTGTGTATAAGCTTGCTTAGTGTGCACGAGCAAATGGGTTGTTGTGTCGCATTGCAATTACTTTTTATTTCACATGACTTTTTTAGGGCTTAAAATGAAGCATTTACCAAATTTATCTCTGACCACACACACACACAAAAAAAAAAACCAATCATTTATTTGCCACAAATTTTAAATGTGTCCAAACAAGCAATAGCTGCACATGTACTTTTTATTCAAGAAAACTTTTATTTTTTAAATTGACGTTTAAAAAGGTCTATTGTCATGTATCTACAATATGCACAGTAATCTGTCCTGGCTAAAGGTCCCAGATCAGCAGTAACTACACATAAATGGGGAGTTAATGTCATATTAAAGCAATGTTATTGTAAAGGATGATAATTAAAATGTAACAAAAATAACTGTAAGCAAAAGAAAGCAGGTGAAATATACCGTGTGTGATAATAAAAGGATAATCACGTGCACACAAGTAATGTTAGGCCTGTTAATAATCTGTTCAAACAATAATTAAAACAAAAGCAGTTACTGCTGCTGCTTACAAAAGGATGTATGTAAATATATTTTTCAATCTTGAGCTCTGGTAAGCAGCAGGACTCCTGGTGCACGAGCATTATTGTCTGTTCTATTTCAAAAAGAACCGATCGCAGCAGTTGCGCTTCCTCTACCCACGGTTGATTGTGCAAGTTAACGGGAGCGCGCTCGCTTTTTAACAGTCGCGCGCATCACATCACCAGTGCGCGCGAGTAATCATCATCTCATAGTCACCTGCTTTTGCTCGCGCGAACACAGTTTTTTTTAGTCAGTCGTGCTGCTTCTTGATTCTAAGATAACATTTTGGGCCATCCTTATTGTCGAACCCAGCTTTAAGAAAACGACAATGTAACAATTATTTCCAACCAGCCAAAGTGGCAAGTGGGAGCGGCTCTCTTAAGCCTGGTTTATACTTCTGCGTCAAGTGACCGGCGTAACCCACGGCGCATGCAACGCATGCGGACGTGCAACAGCTTTAACTATGAGGTAAACACAGAACAAAACTTTCCATCCGGAGCTCCTTCATGGGACTCCACACTTGTAAACAATCGCTCCATCAGGTTTGCACCATTCACGCGGTTCTCGGTCCCGCCCAGACTCGTCAGCGCTACCAAGCCGACCAATCACAGAGCTTACGCTATGCGTCGTTGCGATGTGTAGTTACATTTTTTTGAGAGGTGAAGGGCTATGCGTCAGCGCTGTAGCATATGCCGGCGTTTGACACAGAAGTATAAAGCCTGGTTTATACTTCTGCGTCAGGTGACCGGCGTAACCCACGGCGCATGCAACGCGCGTGGCTGTGCATTTATACTTCTGCGCGCTGTCTCTGCCGGTCTGCATTAACACTTCCGAAACGCTAGTGTGCAGTGAGGTGTAAATGTTCCTCTGTGTCGAGTTTCTTCGCTACTTTTTTGCTTTTCCTGAACACTTCCGGGATGTACAAGTGGCTCAAACTCGCTCATTTTGAGGCAGGAATCGGCAAACGTGCCGATGCATGCGCCGTTGGTTACGCCAGTCACTTGACGCAGAAGTATAAACCAGGCTTTACTCAGTATCTATGGATGTCGCATCAAAGATTCAAATGTTACAACTCAGTGGGTTATGTCATGTGACTCGCGTAATAATATTGTGGCTTTGAGGGGTTGTTGCTAGAGCGGAAAAGTTTGCAGCCGGAAGTTAACGCAAATTATTTCTATTATTTATTAAATTTCTCATTTGTTGTATTTTATTAACGTCAACCCCACCCCAACCCTAAACCCAACCGTCACAGTAATGTAAAAACTGTAGTTGTACTACAGTTATGTACTATTAGTTATGTTATCTATTAAATTACCCAATAAAATGTATTTTTTAATGCCTACCCCCACCCCAACCCTAAACCCAACCCTCACAGTACTGTAAAAATATCAATTATTGTTATACAGTGTCATAAAAATATGCTGCTTTATTAATGTGCATATCGCACTTCCGGCCGGCCGCATATCCGATCTAGACTTTACCGCTTTGAGGCTCTATGGGATTCGAATAATTGGCCATAGTTACTTAAAATGACACTTTATTACAATATATATTGAATATAAATATATTATATTAATTGTATAGTAAATACATTATATAATATTAAATTAGATAAAATAATTAAAGGACAAATTCTGGACCTTTTGGCCGTGGGGGGTGGTTCATTCGAACCACCTGAACCCCCCCTGGCTACGGGCATGAAAGCTCTGTATGTATGTGTTATAATATATGAAATATATGTGTGTGTGTATATTCACATTTCATGTGTTTTGTACCTTTCAGGACATTTGGATGCTGCTGCTCAAAGAATCAGAGAGCTAGAGGCCAAGGTCAGACAGTTACAAGTCCAACTCCGTGATCTATCCGCCTCAAAATTACACATTAACAGATACTGCGCAACTGATGAGGACTTTAGATTTTACACTCGGTTCCCATCTGAGAAAGTATTCTGGATATTTTGGGAATCAGTTGCCCCATCAGCCTCCAGATTAGCGTACTGGAGTAAAGCACAGATAAACACTGGTGCTGTTGAAAATCCAGGTTCAAACCGTAAACTTGCGCTTGTGGATGAGCTGTTCCTGTACTGCTGTCGTGTTGCTGCTGGCCTAAAAGAGAAGGTTATAGCAGACATTTTTGGCATCAGCACCGCCACTGTTAGCAGAGTGATCATCACATGGGCCAACTATTTATACCTTGTCTTGGGGTCACTGCCTATCTGGATGTCAAGGGAACAGGTCAAAGCACTGATGCCAGCTAAATTCGCAGAACACTGTCCAGATCTGAGAGTGATTGTGGACTGCACAGAAATTAGATGCGAATCTCCATCATCGCTTGCATTACAGTCTGAAACGCTTTCAGTCTACAAAAATCACACCACTTTCAAGGCTCTCATAGGTATTGCCCCATGTGGTGTGATCACCTTCGTTTCCAAGCTCTTCACCGGGTCCATATCTGACCAAGAAATAACCAAGCAGTGTGGAATTCTCCAGTTACTTGAGCCTGGAGATGCATGCATGGCCAATAAAGGCTTCGACATCGATCAGATGCTGTCAGATGTTGGTGCATGCCTCATCATCCCTCCATTCGAAAGAGGTGCATGCTTCAGCAAGGAGAACACAGAAAAAACACAAAGCATTGCTCGTCTAAGAATACTGGTAGATAGAGCTATCAGGAGAATAAAGGAGTACCATATCTGGGACACAGCCGTTCCTCTTGCACTTTCAGGTTCTGTTAATCAGCTATGGACAACCTGCTGTTTAATGTCCAATTTCCAATATCCACTAGATACAGAAGACCACATCTGTGTGTAAATAATCAAGTGGACAAAGGTGAACTCCATTAAGAAATGTTTATTGGATTGTGTTTCACAATATAAATCAGTTGTGTAGAAGAATAGATTGTTTAATAGTTGCATTAAAAAATTTACACATATGCAATATCGTATATATACACTCACACACGAACGTGTCTACAATCTACATATGCACACACACTACAATAATATACAGCTCTGTCCCATTTTCAATGAATAAAACCAACTCAAATAGACAACAATACATGCATGCGCGTGGTGGCTTACGTGTGTGTTACTGGCTTTTCAGGTAAGTTCCCATGTATGTACTGAAATATAAAAGGTCAAGTTTTTTCTTTAAATCATTAATCAGGGACTCGTCTTTCCAAATTCTCTCCACTGTGAGATCACTTTAAGTAGATGTGATAAAATCACACCAAGGCAAACTGGTTATTGCCAACTGGCCTTAAACCTGCCAGAAATATTTGTGCTATCTTTTCAATTTAGTCTGACCCTCTGTAATTGTGATGTGTTTAGCTTCTAGGGATGACTGACGTTTTCGACACAGTGTCGAGATCCCGAAGCGTAAGTGTTTCGAAACACTGCACCGAAGCATGATCTGAAACACCCAGGTCATGTGACTAAAGTGTTTCAAAACACCTGGTCACATGACTTAAGCGATTTAAAACATCAATCAGTTCAGAAGCATTTCGAGATTTGGCGAATCTCCATTTGACTGACAAGGTCAGAAACTTCTCCGCCTCATATGGCCCAGTGGGCCGTGCGTGTGCACATTGTTACTGTGCTTCAAATTGATTTTGGGTTCGAATCCCAACTTGTGCAAATACTCCAAAATCATGAGTTTATGTATTTTATTCATGTTACAGTTTTATGGTGTAGTCTAGATAGGATACAGCTGCTGATACGCCATCAATTTAGCATCATTTTTGTAACACTGTAAAACAATAGGCAAGGCAGTGGCGCAGTAGGTACTGTCGCCTCACAGCAAGAAGGTCTCTGGTTCGAACCTCGCCTCAGTTGGCGTTTCTGTGTGGAGTTTGCATGTTCTCCCTGCCTTTGCATGGGTTTGCTCCGGGTGCTCCGGTTTCCCCCACAGTCCATAGACATGCGGTACTGGTGAATTGGGTAGGCTAAATTGTCCGTAGTGTGTGTATGTGTGTGGATGTTTCCCAGAGATGGGTTGTGGCTGAATGGGCATCCGCTGCGTAAAAACTTGCTGGATAGGTTGGTGGTTCATTCCGCTGGGGCAACCCCGGATTAATAAAGGGACTAAGAAAATACAAGAAAAGAAAATAAATGAATGAATGAATGTAAAACAATATTTTCTTTACAGTACTGTGATGGTTGCGTTTAGGTTTTGGGTAGACGTTAATAAAATACAATGTGAAATTTAATGAATAATATAAATAATTCCTGGTAACTTCAAGCAACAACCCTGTTTTATAACCAAAACAAGACCTATTTATTCACAAGGTGTGTATTCGGATGTCAGACCAATGTTGAAACAAAACGATACAAGAACAAAGCATTTAGAACAGATGTTGAAGCATTTAAATAAAGCTGTGTCAGCCTGGATTCGAACCCACTACTCCTGCACGGTAGTCAGGAACCTTAACCACTCCACTCCATCAGTTGTAGGTTCAATTATACAAAGTGGGGTTTAATACCTGTTTGCTCAACTGTTCTTAGCTGAAGCTGTTCCAGAGCAATACATTTAAAAATGACCACCAGGTGTCACTGTAGAGGCAGGTTTTGAAGCTTCGACACATTTGCTTCGACTGTTTCACGCCCCATTCACACGGGGCTTCAGCGTCAACGCTTGACTGAAGTTGGGGCTGAAACGATCGTCATAGAAGCGTCAGCCAATGAAATTCAGTCAGCAATAGGCCACTGTCTAGCTGGTGTATTTGCATACAGCGATCTGATTGGCTGACGCTTCCGTTGGTGCTTGAAAAGTTGAGCTAGTCCCAACTTCTGCAGCGAGCAACGCTTCTGAAGCGGCGCTGACGGATCCACAATGCAGTTCGGCAACGCCTGACGTCACCCATTCCAAGTGAATGGGAAGCGTTGACGCTGACGCCCCGTGTGATGCCCCTTGCTTTGCCCACCACTAGTAGCTTCTGCTATGTTTTTAACATTTGGGCATTTGGGCATTTCACTTCACCCAACCCAAAGGGTGGTTTTTCAGATGGATCACAAACTTTACCGTCAGGGATAGGGTTGGGTATCGTTTAGGTTTTTTCGATACCAGTGCTAAATCGATACTTTTAAAACGGTACCGGTGCCTGAACCATTACTTTTTAGCCACAAAATCAATCGACAAAAAATATATATATTTATCATTATGATTGAACAATATAAATATATATTTATAATAAGTTTAAAGTAAACATCAATTCATATTTTATTTATTTGAATCGCATTAATATATTTCTTTTGATCATTTGTTTGTTAGCATAAATGCAAGGTTTGCGTTATGCTATTAACACATTAGCTTACCACTAACCTGTGGAAAGGCTCTCATCAAAATCAGGGAACATCTTTTTTCTGGGTTTGGGGCTTGTGACTACTTTTACATGGACGTCAGTGATCTAATGATCTGAATAAGACATGATTCGGGTGTTTACATGAGCTGCTTTTTGAATGTTACGTTCATGATTCCCAGTTACATATTATAGCACATAGATCCATCAACGTCATTACGTCACCAGCCTATACATGTTTCCTCTGCAGTTTGTGTCTGTAGTCTTTTAAGATAATCAAAAATCACTGTTTACGTAGTAGACCCTTGATCAGAGTATTTTCCTAATTATAAAACCAGAGTATTGGTGTTCATGTAAATGTACTCAGATAAAGTGTCAGGTGATGTCACAAGCTGTTAAAGACAGTCCATTCCTCACCTTTAAGTTGATTCCATGAGCCCTCACATTTCATAAGTTTGACGTGTTTCTCCCTTTATACACTCAACTTTTGTAAAGCGTCTGCTGCACGTTTGTGTGTCAGAATCCTTGCTTGTAAATATATAGCCATACTGTAGAATGTTTAGTTTAAGCAAATTAGATGAACGCGATCTTGAATCGTTTTACGTGGGAAATAAATCTGTTTTGCTGTACGGTTGTACTAAAAGTTATACTGTGTGTATAACTTCCGCCAGTGGTGGTGCTCGAACACCGAAAACAGTGACGAACATCCGAGTCCACGAGAAGAAGAGAAGAAGAAGAAGAGGGAAAGCACATAAACATGAGAAGTGAAACAGCCGTTCATTATTCTCTAAATTAGCTGTTTTTAGCACATTGTAAGTACATTCGCCTTATTAAATACATTCAGAGATCTACATCTAAATAGTCAGTTTATTTTAATGAGTCCAAAACATGCGTGATTATCAGCTACTACTAAAACGATCAGTGATTGTCATGTTTTGGGCTGCAATAATCAGATTAGATCGTCAAAAAGACTTAAAAGTAGCTATAGACCGCCAAAAGTTATTACAAATTAAGCTGAATAGAGGAATACATCTATTTAGGAATCTCAAAAGGTGTTTGTCGTTTGCCAAACTAAAGCATTTTATACAGGGCTAGCATCTAAACATGCTTGTTTCTTGTTATTTCCAGTTGTGTGTTGGTGAAATATTAAGCTAATATCATAATTAATACTACTCAAATGTGTCTTTTGCCACATAATAGTATCAGTTTGTTTAAATTTTGCATCTTTTTCTGCTTTATTCATTGTTGTAGAAACCCTAAAATGACCTTTCCAGTCCAGACAAGCTATACATATCAGCTATTAAAGTAAAGCAATTGGATTGATCGTCTGGTTTCTCAATGACCATCCAAAGACCATATGCAGCACTAGATGATCGGTAGTGTGTAAAGTATCTGCAAATGCTGAATGAGCTCAATTCACTGAAACACAAGTTTTAATACAGAGTCGTTCCATGGATGAAATGGAAACAGTTTGGAGGAAATCTATTTGGTTTCCCATTTGTTAGCTAAATCACCATTACACTTTAAGCATAAATATGGACATTCTTATCTTCCCACAGCTGAAGAAAAAGCAACCAGGAGGATTTACTGCAGGAGAAACAACTGACATACTGTAGTGAAGATGGAGGTTGAGGATGAACCCTGCAGAATAAAAGAGGAAGAGACAGAGGAACTGATAGGTTTGTGTTTATAGTCTTTCTTATTAATGACTAATGAGGAACATTTAAGATTGTTAACAACACTGAATCTGAAACTAGATATGAAGAGGTTCGTTGCAAAACGAGATGTATCCATTTTGGTTGTTTGACATAATTATTTAAGACATCATCAGTCAAGTTCATTCACAATTTTTGTACATTAAACTATTACTTGAGCTCAGTGAAGGCCAGGAACACAATATTTTCAAATCCAGGATATTTTTTTTTACTTTATGTCCATAAATAGTTCATAAATAAGTCAAAAACCATGCCAAAATGCAACATATTATCTTAACATTGTCAAACATTTTAAATTGGTTAAAAAACTATACATCATAAATACAGTTGAAGTCAGAATTATTAGCCCCCCTGAATAATTTGCGCCCCTGTTTATTTCTTTCCCCAATTTCTGTTTAATGGAGGGAAGATTGTTTTAGCACATTTCTAAGCATAAAAGTTTTAAAAACTTATTTCTAATTACTGATTTATTTTATCATTGCCATGATGACAGTAAATAATATTTTACTTGATAATTTTGAAGACACTTCTATTTAGCTTAAAGTGACATTTAAAGGATTAACTAGGTTAATTAGGTAACTAGGCAGGTTAGGGTAATTAGGCAAGTTATTGTATAATGATGGTTTGTTCTGGAGGCTATCGAAAAAAAATAGCTTAAAGGGGCTAATAATTTTGTCCCAAAAATCGTTTTTAAAAAATTAATAACTGTTTTTATTCAAGCCGAAGTAAAGCAAATAAGACTTTTTCCATAAGAAAAAATATTATCATACATACTGTGAAAATTTCCTTGCTCTGTTAAACATAATTTGGGAAATATTTAAAAAAGAAGAAAAAAATTATTCTGACTTAATAATTCTAATAACTAATAATTCTAATAATAATAATTCTGATTTCAACTGTATATGGAATAGTATTTACAAAGACTGATTAATAACAACAAGATTCTGAGTTAGTTTTGGCTAGAATGTGCACAACACAACATTTATTGTTTTATTTTATTTTTTTGCAAAACGCTACATCCACCTCAGGCTGTATTCTACTACAGTAAGACCATTAAGAGAAAGTTATGTCAGAATAATTAAGATAATGAATCATCTAATTTTCATTGAGCAGGTGTAATATTCAATAATATTAATTATTCGATTTCTTATTTTCACTTAGTTGCCGCTGTTTGCGGTCAAATGATAGTTACGTCATCATTAACCTGAAGGCTGTATTGTGCTCACGGGGCATAAAGAAAATAAAGAAAAAGTGCTGAGCAGCTGCAAAATAATGAATAAAAAGAGTGAAGCTATGGTCAAATAAATAAATAAATGGAAAAAGCACGACTTCTGAGTGCAAGCAGCTAGGGACACCGGCCGTCACGGCCAAAAAACAGACCGGCCCACCTGGAATTCTCTTAATCCTTCCGATTAGCCAATCTGGGCCTGCTGTCATCATGCAAAGATAAAATAAATCACTTATTAGAAATGAGTTATGAAAACTATTATGATAGGGCTGCTCGATTTTGGGAAAAATCATAATCACGATTCTTTTGGTCATAATTGTAATCAAGATTATTCAAAACGATTACTGTTAAAGTAAAAATTTATTAGCGCTCCTGAGATTTTCTTTTTTAAATAAATATTTCCCAAATGATGTTTAACAGAGCAAGGAATTTTAACAGTATTTCCTCTAATATTTTTTCTTCTAGAGAAAGTTTTTTTTTCTTATTTTGGCCAGAATAAAAGGAGGTTTAAATATTTTGAAACCCATTTTAAAGTCTATAATATTAGCCCCCTTAAGCAATATATTTTTTGATTGTCTGCAGAAGAAACTACTGTTCTACAATGACCTGCCTAATTACACTTATTAAGCCTGTAAATCACACTTTGAATCTGAATGCTTGTATTTAAAAAAAATTCTAGTCAAATATTATGTGCTGTCATCATAGCAAAGATAAAAGAAATCAGTTATTAGAAATGAGTTATTAAAACTATTATGTTCAGAAATCTTCTTTCCATTAAACAGAAATTGGGGAGAAAAGGGCTGCTAATATTCAGGAGGGCTAATAATTCTGACTTCAACTGCACAGTTATTTTCCACCCTGCAAAGGAAAGAGAAATAAATACAATAGAATATAAATATGAAACAAACTGTGTTATAAGCATCCTTACAGTAAGAAAAACACTTTAGCTGCAGCAGTCTTTCAGTCAAGAGCAGAGAGGCAGGTTCTCCATTTATTGTTTGATTAATAATCATAAAAACAGGCGGCGGAAGGATTATCGCGCGCTGTCTCTTTAATGGTTTCTCTTTCACGTGTCTTTTGATTCTCAACTCGTTTGTTCATTACACAAATGAGGGCTAACATAAATAATCACCAAACACCGCGTTTTGACACCTATTTGACCATTAAAGCGCTTTAGATGTGGCGCTCTACTCGTCTCGGTGTGCGAGTGAGACAGAATGCTGACCGCATGCTTCTGTTGTGACTGTGTGTGCGCGCCGCACACACGCACAGAATCAAGGCTGATTTATACTTCTGCGTCAAACACCGGCGTATGCTACGGCGCTGACGCATAGCCCATCGCCGTGGCCGTCACTGACGTGCACCTCTCAAAAATTGTAACTACACGTCGCAACAACGCATAACACAAGCTCTGTGATTGGTCGGCTTGCTAGCGCCGATGAGTCTGGGCGGGACCGAGAGCCGTGCGAATGGCGCGAACGATTGTTTACAAGTGTGGAGTCCCGTGAAGGAGCTCCGGATGGAAAGTTTTGTTCTGTGTTTACCTCATGGTTAAAGTTGTTGCACGTCCGCCGGTTCCTGCCTCAAAATGAGCGAGTTTGAGTCACTTGTACATCCAGGAAGTGTTCAGAATAGCAAAACAGAAGCGAAGAAACTCGACACAGAGGAACATTTACACCTCACTGCCCACTAGCGTTTCGGAAGTGTTAATGCAGACCAACGGAGACAGCGTGCAGAAGTATAAATGCACAGCTACACGCGTTGCCTGCGCCGTGAGTTGCGCCGGTCACTTGACGCAGAAGTATAAACCAGGCTTCATGCGGTCTTTCGCGCTTTTAAGAGCAACACGTCTACAACTGGAAAGGGGGCGGTTTATGATGCAATAATCGTTTATCTTGATTAATAGTTTTTCATAATCGTTAGAAGCCAAAATCGAAATCAGATTTTCGATTAATTGCACAGCCCTATATTATGATTAGAAATGTGCTGAAAAAATCTTCTCTCTGTTAAACAAAAATGGGGGGAAGAAATAAACAGGGGGGGCTAATAATTCAGGGAGGCTAATAATTCTGACATTAACTGTATGTAAATTATGTATAACAGTTGTGTAAAAAAAAAAATTAAAAATCTGCAAAACCGCGAAAAGTAAACTTCAGTGTACAAATACAATTATTTCTTAAATAATTTTTATCAACAAAACATATTAACACTTGACAACCAACATTAGACTTCCCGGATGTTGGTTTAGCTGCAACTCCTTAATTTTTCACTGGATCAAATCAGCTTCCAACTCTGATAGTGTTCATTTATCAAACTTGATTCATTCATTCATTTTCTTTTCAGCTTAGTCCCTTTATTAATCTGGGGTCACCACAGCGGAATGGACCGCCAACTTATACAGCATATGTTTTACACAACAGGGGCCTCATGTACTAAGACTTGCGTGGAAATCATACTAAAACATTGCGTACGCACAAAGCTGTAAATGTGCGTACGCAGAAAAAAATTCAGATGTATGAAACACTGCCAACGCCGAATCCCACGCATATTCTTTAGTACATTTGAATGAACGTGAAACTGAGCGCAACATGCACAAGCACAAAACCCCTCCCTGCCTCCGCCCCCGTATGAATATGCAAATGACTCTACTTTGGCAAAACCCAACGAAAAAGCAACGGCAAAAGCAAGCAAGAAGAGAAACTTTCAACAGAATGTGAATTGTAGGTGCTCCTTTCAGAGGTAGACCGGAGAAAAGCCGTGTTATTTGCAAGTTTGTTCTCCGCAATTAACAACAAAAGAAAAAAATAGAGTGGGAGAGTTTAGCTGATGCAGTTAACACGGTTGGGTCTGAACATCGCACTGAGTGAATTAGAAAAAAAATTGTGTGATTTATAGGTGTAAAATGTTACAGTACCCATATCAGTCTCAGTGGCGCAGCTCGTAAAACGCATGTCAACATGTTTTTACACGTTCGAGCATGAACTCGGTTCGAATCCAGCGTCTTATGAACTCTTTCTTCTTTTTTCCCCCGCTACATATCAGATTTTGCCAACTATTTATCACGAGAAAGACAAGTAGGAATCATCAATAAGTTTGTGCATCATATTTTATTTGCACATCTATTGAATGGAAATGTTTCTGATTCACGCATGCAAATTCATCTTCAGATAGTGTCTTTATAGCAATGTGCGTGCGGAAGATCGCTCAGATTACATTGGGAAAACAGGCGACCGCTGCAAATTGTGCTTTAATGTTTGGCTGGTCAACTTTATGGTATGGAAACCTTATATACCTGCTAGATGAACCCGTCTCATACAGCTGCCAATGCAAGGCTCAGACACTTTGTAGAGAGGAATTTAACACAACTGCCTCTAGGAGTCGCCAATGGAAATAAACAGACACGCAAAAAATGTGCGTACGCCAGGCATAAAGCTGCCGTGAAGCTGCGCACATTCCCACGTTCAGTTTATTGTTAGTAAATCCAAACGTGAGCGATTCTGAGCGTGAAACCTGGCGTACGCAAAGATTTTGTGCGTACGCAGCGTTGATACATGAGGCCCCTGATGCCCTTCCAGCTGCAACCCATCACTGGGAAACACCAATAAATTCTTATTCACACACATACACTACAAATTATTTACCTAATTCCCTGATAGCGCATGTGTTTGTGGGGGAAACTGGAGCACCTGGAGGAAACCCACACCAACACGGGGAGAACATGCAAACTCGCACAGAAATGCCAACTGTCCCAGCCGAGGCTCAAACCAGCGACCTTCTTGCTGTGAGGCGATTGTGCTACCCACTGTGCCACTGCGTCGCCAATTTATCAATATATAACACTATAATGTCAGCATTTTATTCTGAAACTTTTTTAACACCGGTAATTTATCCCTGATGAATGTGCTGTGTACTAAGTGTGTGTTTCTTCAGTTGAAGTATGCTAATTTAATAATTCAATTTTAGATCGGACGGAAGCGAATGACGACAAACAGCATTCGTCTAAATGTCCTCAAAGTGAACATTACACACCGAAACAAGACCACGAAAATAGTGGAAGCAGCGTATCGTTCATCTGCTCCGAGTGTGGACGGAGTTACAAGCGTAAATCGACACTTAATGACCACATGAAGATGCACACGCAAGAAAAACAGTTCACCTGCTCCGAGTGTGGGAAGAGTTACAAATATAAAAACAGCCTTGCCAGACACGAGAAGTTCCACACCGGAGAAAAGCCATTCGCGTGCACCGAATGTGGAAAGAGCTTCGCAGACAAACACCGGCTAGATTCCCACATGATGATTCACCCTGGCGAAAAGCCATTCAACTGTGTTCAGTGCGGCAAGGGTTTTAAAAGTAAAGAGCATTTGGACGTTCACACGATGGTTCACACTGGAGAAAAACCCTTCAGCTGCTCTGAGTGTGGAAAGAGATTCAGGATCCGGAAAAACCTCAAGGATCATCAGCGTTTTCACACTGGAGTGAATCTCTTCAGCTGCGATCACTGCGATAAAACGTTTGTCTTTGAATCTCAGTTAAAGCAACACCTGAAAGTTCACACCGGAGCCAAGCCACATGTCTGCTCCTTTTGTGGAAAGGGCTTTTCCCGACTGGAGAACTTAAGGATCCACAACAGCGTTCACACTGGAATGAGACCTCACGTGTGTTTCGACTGCGGGAAGAGCTTTAGCACGTCGAGCCACTTGAAAACGCACCAGATGATTCACACCGGGGAGAAACCGTTTGCGTGCACTCAGTGTGGGAAGCGTTTCATTTATAACAGCGTCCTCAAAGATCATCTGGCCACTCACACCGGAGTGAAGTCCTTCAGCTGTGATCAGTGCGACAAAACATTCGTCTGCGCGTCGTATTTGAGAGCGCACCGCAAAGTTCACATCCCCGTGAAGCCTCACGTCTGCTCTTTCTGCGGAAAGAGGTTTCTACGACTGGACACTTTGGAGATTCACATGAGCGTTCACACCGGAGTGAGACCTCATGTGTGTTCGGACTGCGGGAAGAGCTTCAGTACGTCATATAACCTGAAGACGCACCAGAGGACTCACACCGGGGAGAAACCGTACAGCTGTTCGCACTGTGGGAAGAGCTTCGCTTTTTTAGGAGACCTGAAATCTCATAAGAAATCTCATAGTCGGTGCTCTTCAAATTAAAGGATCGTGGGCTACATTTTCTAAAACTTGTGAGTGTGTTAAATGTTTAACTAAGACAACGTTAGCACCTGTTACAGGGTTTTTCCTGCTTAGAGAATTACAAGGTGGACACAACCCTCACATTAAGTAAAAAGACAACGTTTATTTAGACCACAAGTGATGCTCAAGCACGGGTCGTATATTTAATTACATTTAGGGCTCTATTTTAACGAACTAAGCGCAAAGTCTAAAGCTCCTGGCGCAATAGCATTAAGGATGTGTCTGAATACACTTTTGCTATTTTAAGGAGGGATAAATACGCTCTGCACCTGGCGCATGGTCTAACAGGACTGTGCTTATTCTCTTAATGAGTTCTGGCTGTGTTTTGGGCATAACCTGCATTAAACCAATCAGAGTCTCGCCTCTCATTCCCTTTAGGAGTCAGTTGCATCGCTCCATGGTGCATTTGCTAATTATATGGCGACTTTATAAGTGTAAAAACTGAACGCTTCACTAGTGAGAAAACAGTTAAACAGAGCATCTGCAGCGCAAGGATAAAGAACGAGCCTCCTCCATTCAGCCTCTTTACTTTAGCCTCTACTTTTACTCCTTTACTTTGGGGTAAGGAAACAGAAACTCACTCCACTGAACACATCCATCAGCCCACATATTTAATTTTGTTTAATTTCAAAGATTTGTTTCAAAAGTATTTCTAAATTCAGTTCTAATCTCCAGCAAAGGAATAAATGAACAATAATAATGAAGTGTGGTCAGAAAACTGAGTTATGTTCAAACACACAGCCTGTTCTTATTCCCCATATGGTGATGCAGACGTCTCCAAAACCCCACAGCTGGACAAATCTACACTTGTGTTTATTAAAGCAAATATAAATATGCATATAATCAATAATACTGCTAATAATAATCACATTATACAGATCCAGATCTTCATGAACAAACTGAAAAAGCCCCCCGAGATGAGGCATGGAGGCAGTGCTGTTTATATTGATGTAGAAATTCATCATTTCTGGATCATTTTAATCCTTTAATTGTTTTCATCTGTAAATATATTTGCGTGTTGCTGATCATCTTGTGTGTATTCAGCAGTGTGTAAGCATTTGGATATGCAAAGGCGCATTACTAATGCGCTCTGCTCTGGACTTTGGACCAGTGGCATGGTTTATTTCAGTTCCTCAAAATAGCAATGCACCAACAATGCACCTTAACACACCTACTTTATAGATCAGAACACCCATGAGTCCTCAAAGGGGCACAAATGAATTATTAAAACAGTGAGGTGCAAAATGTGTAAATTGGAGTTGCGCTGGTCTGAAAATTGCAACAAGCTGCACCATACACATTTTGCGCCTTATTGTGTTGAGCCCTTAATGTTAGCCTTAAATATAAGATATTGATGTTTTACTTGATGATGTTACCAGTAGGCCTGTCACAATAATCAATATATTAACTTATCACACAACACGTGGACACGACCTCAATCATTTCTGTTGATGCAATATATATCGCCCATACATAAAAAACAATTCTCGCCACATTTTAGCTGATCTCTAGTAGAGGTGTCAGTGCCAGTATGGTTAATAAAACACTGTAGTATTTGCTATAAATGACTATAGGATATTTTCATGTGGGTGTCTGATGACTTAAATTAGATCTGGTAGCAGATATCGCAGATAATCTTTACCTTGCACTTTTTTTGTTGACATTTATTATTATTTGTTTAGGATATGCGTATTCACAGTCTAATTCCAATGCCTCATTATTAAATAGTTAAAATGTCTACAACTAAATGAAATTTTCTCAATAATAAAATATGATGTGTTCTGTGAAAGAGTGTACTTGCATTATGATGATATTATATATTCTCATCCTAGCATTATATAATGATTATAAGTGGCCTAAAAGGGTCTAAAAATGACAATAATAATTATTATAATAATATATAATTATTTGCAATATATCGTATAAAAAATACATATCATGACAGGCCTAATTAAGTACATTTTCTGTTATTTTACAGACTTATTTCTCTATATAATCATATTATTTTAAATGACTAAAATGTCAATAATATATATATATATATATATATATATATCGCCCATTCATGCAAACCAATTCTAGCAACATTTTAGCTGATCGTGCAACATCTCGATCTCTATTGGAGGTGTTAAACCTCTATTTTGATGGTCCATACGCAGGGCGCAAACGCTTTCGGGGCGTGTCAGGACACGTTTTTGCTAATTTAAGGACGGGAAAATGTGCTTTGCGTCATGGCGCATGGTCTAAAAGGGTTGAGCTTATTCTCTTAATGAGTTATAGGTGTGTTTTGAGAATAAACGAATCAGAGTCTCATCTCCCATTCCCTTTAAGAGCCAGCTGCGTCGCGCCAAAAGCGCATTCACTATTTACAGGACGTAAAGTAAGTCTAAGTGGAAAAACAGCATTTCACTAGCAAACAGTTCACAGTTTTTTAACAGAAAATTGTTAAACAGAGCATCTACTGCGCAAGAATGAGAGATAATTGATCTGCTTTCACTTTCGCTCTTGGATAGGAAAACCTTTACGCACAGACATCAATTAGCCTATAAATAATTAATTGCGTTTGTTAAGCGCAAATATTCGTTTCAAAACTATTTCTAAATTCAGTTCTAATTTCCAGCAAACGAATAAATGAACAATAATAACAAAATGTCTTCAAAAACCTGAGTTATATCCTAAAACACATGCTGTGTCCCATATGGTCTAAAACCTGACAGGTGGACAAATCTAAGCTTGTTTTTAATAAAACAAATATAAATATGGATATAATAAATAATACTGCTAATAATAATAACATTATACCAAAGCTAATTGTTATGAATGGACTGAAAAAGCCTCCCGAGATGAAGAAGGCATGAAGGCAGTGGTTTTTCATATTTATGTAGGCTAGAAAATAATATGTTTTATAATATTTTAATCCTTTATATTTATATCCTATATCTATTCTTATTATATCCTATATATATCCTTAATATTTACATTTTTTCATATGTAAAGATATTTGCCTATTGCTCTCTTGTGTGTATTAAGCAGTGTGTAAGCGAGGCGCAACTCTGCGCTGGAGTTTAGACCGGGTTAGTTTTGGTTTAATGAAAAATCTATTATAGTTTCTCAAAATAGCAACGCGCCAGCGGTCCGCCTCAGAACGCCTACCTTTTTAGACCAGAACGCCTATGGACGCACATATGAGCGCTAATGCATTTGCTATTTAAACAGCGTAGCGCAACGCCTCAAAACGACTCTTGCGCCAAGCTGAAACTACCAAAAGACTACTGCGCCACGCCTTGCGCCACACTGCGCCGGGTGTATGATAGGGCCCGTTAGTGTCAGTATGGTTAAAAACACTCTAGTATTCACTATTAATCACATTCTGGCATTATATAATGACAAGAGGCATGAAATGGTCTTAAATGACAATAATATTGTTTCTTGTGATATATTTTGGTGCAATATATCGTACAACATAAAAACAGATATCATGACAGGCCTAAATTACAGGAATAATTCGAGATGTGTTTGTTTCAAGTAGCCAAAATTTCATGATCATTTCAATTTCATGATATATTCCTCATATTGAGCCAGGAAAAACCCTGTGTTAGCTTTAATTGTTGGGAATAATTGCCTGATTTTCAGCTTTTATCTACTATTTTAATTTTCTGGGTTTAAAATCTACATGGAGGCGGCATCACTGTGTCAGTCATGTGACCTGTGCGGAGGCTGGCGGGCACAAAAACAATGAGCCGTAATGGCGGCTACACTAAATCTCCATAGAATCGCAGCACAAACCGCTCATATTTCAATCTGTTTTAAGCTACGTATATTTGGAGCACATATCAACACAACAAAACAGAGATACGATCACAAACTGTAAATCGTGGGCACTTTTCAGTCATTTTAACTCCGTTATGACCCTGTCAGAGCTATAATTCAGCAATGTTTACATTTATCTTGTGGGTATTCCTCAGTGATTTAGTCATTAGCGACGGTGTTGTAGCTCTGCTTTTATTTCTGGTGTCTGTTTCTTTGGATTAATATTTGCTGATGGGGAAAATCTGTTCACTTTTGCTGTTTATACTTTGACTTTGCAGTTTATAATTTAATTGCACTTAAACTGCTAATTAGACTAGACAAAGCACACAGACATACTGACAGTTATGCATACCATTAATTGTTATGGATCAGAAACCCTTATGTTCTAGAAACCCAAATGGTTTGTATCTGATGTCAGATTATGTTTAAAAATAGTAATTATTGCCATCTTCGTAGACTTCAGGCTGTAATTTACAATGCATAAATGTTATGTCTTGCTACTTATGTGTGTTTGAATGTCTATAAAACTTAAAATTAAAAGTTATTTGCTTAAATACTGTTGAATTGTGATTTGTGATATATAAATGTATAATTGTAAACATTCAGTGGAGGAAAACATGGTTATTACAATATAAATTCTGTATTCCTAATAAAATAAAAGAGGTGCACTTTAAAATTTGCACAATATTTACCCATGTAATGCACTTTTATCCAAATATTGTGATGTTACTGATATTTGCACATTTTGTAAAAAATGAGTGTGAAGACTTTTGTCACTTGTTTTTTTCATGCAATGTATTATTTACATTTACATTTAGTCATTTAGCAGATGCTTTTTTCCAAAGCGACTTACAAATGAGGACAAGGAAGCAATTTACACAACTATAAGAGCAACAATGAATAAGTGCTATAGGCAAGTTTCAGGTCTGTAAAGTGTAAGAAGCAAAACATTAGTAATTTTTTATTTTTTGTAGTTAGTGGAGGAGTCAGAGAGGCAATTGCAGATTAGTAAGGGAAGTGGAGACTAAATAGCTGAGTTTTTAGTCGTTTCTTGAAGACAGCGAGTGAGACTTAAAGACTTAGGGAGTTCATTCCACCAACTGGGCAGTTTGAATGTGAGAGTTCGGGAAAGTGTTTTCTTCCCTCTTTGGGATGGAACCACGAGGCGACGTTCATTCACAGAACGCAAGTTTCTGGAGGGCACATAGATCTGCAGAAGTGAGAGCAGATAAGAAGGAGCGCAGCCAGAAGTCGCTTTGTAAGCAAACATCAGAGCTTTGAATTTGATGCGAGCAGCAACTGGCAGCCAGTGCAAACGGATGAGCAGCGGAGTGACATGTGCTCTTTTAGGTTCATTAAAGACCACTCGTGCTGCTGCGTTCTGGAGCATCTGAAGAGGTTTGATAGAGTTAACCGGGAGCCCAGCTAGTAGAGAGTTGCAATAGTCCAGTCTGGAGAGAACAAGAGCTTTCATCATTGTTTTGGAATGATTTGAGCTCATGTTGCTTTTCCAAGGTTAATATGAGTGGTAATTTGCACCTTAAGGATGATATTTGTTATTTTGAAAACCAAAACAGGTCGTTAGAAGCCACTGTGAACTTTCTTATACTTGCTGGAAAATTTTACTTTCACAAACGGAGGTTCCTTAAAAAAATAACATTTTGTGTAGAAGTCCTATGTGAATTAAAACATTTATAAATCACTTAGATTAATTGATATTAAGAAATCTTTTTATGCTACTTATGCTATTTTTATGCTATTCTTTCATGCTACTTGAATATATATTTATATAGTTGAAGCCAGAATTATTAGCCCCCCTGTTTATTTTTTTCCAATTTCTGTTTAATGGAGAGAAGATTTTTTTCTAATCATAATAGTTTTAATAACTCATTCCTAGTAACTGATTTATTTTATCTTTGCCATGATGACAGTAAATAATATTAGACTAGATATTTTTCAAGACACTTCTATACAGCTTAAAGTGACATTTAAAAGCTTATCTAGGTTAACTAGGCAGGTTATGGTAATTAGGCAAGTTATTGTATAACGATGGTTGGAAAAAATATATACCTCAAAGGGGCTAATAATTTTGACCTTAAAATGGGTTTAAAAACTGCTTTTATTCTAGCCGAAATAAAACAAATAAGACTTTCTCCAAAGAAATGTATATCTCCAGATATTTTTATTGCATTATTTCTGCTAATTTTTTATATAATTTCTTTGGTTGTGCTCTTTATGTTGTGTATCTTATGTGAATATTGTGTAAAAGAAAGTTGTATTACACAGTTTCAGGAAAATTAAAAAATATATTGGGATCCGCCAGTGGTGGTGCTCGAGCACCGAAAACAATGACGGACATTCGAGTCGACGAGAAGAAGAAGAAGAAGAGTGCGGTAAGAGTGTAAACAGAAGCGTAACAGCCGCTTGTGATGCTCTAAATCAGCTCTATTTATCACACTATAATCCTGTAAGTACATTTACTTTAATATCCATCAGGATGAATCTATATCTAAAAAGCCCAGCTTATTTTAGTGCGTCAGAAACACTTAATCCAGTCGGAGTGTTTAATGAATTCATGCGCCTCAGATTTCAGATCCGAGATGAATAACGTAAATTAGGCTATTGTTTAATCAGAATTATATACATTTTGCGCATATATAGAAATGTTTAATACAGTTGTTTAATGTAAATAACAAACGATACTTAGCATAGCGTAATTTGGATAAACTATTAAAAAGACAGTCAGACAGTTGCATCTCATCCAGAACGCTTCAGCCAGGATTCTGACCTGAAGCACATCACACCTGGGGGGTATTCCAGAAAGCTGGGTTAACTTACCATCTGCTAAAACCTAAACTCTCGGTTGATTTACCCAAAACCTGCTTACCGCGAGTATGTTGGTTCCAAAACAGGTGACAAGAGTTAGTTAAATCAACCTCCTGAAGATAACCGCGGGTTAATGCGCGTGCACGGCACACACCTGAAGGCATTTTCAGTAGATCGCCGAATTCACGAGTCACCATAGAAAGTCACGGTAAGAAAAAAAGGGCAACGCACTTTACAGAGTCGAAGCTGGAGGTTTTAAACACAGAGGTTACACATCTGCTTCAACGAAGGAAAGAAATATAGAATAAGAAATAGATAAGAAAATAAAAAATAAATAATAAGAAAATGTATTAGTTCATTAAATTACACATGCCACCCTCCATTTTATTGTAATGATAAATTAAACTACTCTTTAACATCCTTTTTGAGTATGTTGTGTAACCATTCATGCATTTAATTTTCCTTCCATTAATTTCTTAAGGCCACAATATGTGTATTGACAAATAAGGCTTATAGAAATTGTAATCTTTCTGGAGCTAGAACTCTGTCCAAAGTCATTAAACACAGAAACATTATTATAAAAGGTAATATTTAATTACTGGAGCTCTTTATTTAACACTCTAGAATATGCTTTCTGACATGCAGCTAATAGAAAGAGGCCTGTCTAACTGCTGTGTCCTATAATAAAGGCTTTTCAGTGGTTGAGTTTTTGACTTAAACCACACACTCTGTCACTGTTGTAAGTGATTGTTGTCAGATAGCTTTAGGTTCTTTTTATTTTGCATGCAGACGAAGTTCCTTCTGCCTCAACTAACAAGCAGTGTAAGAATTTTCTGCACTTTTCCATATTTGAATATTACTCTTGGATCACAAAATCTTTTATCTACATATTTAAATTCTAAAGTAGCTGTATAGGGTCCATCTTCAAATATAAAGTCACATGAGCATCAACTTAAGGTGAGAAATGTATATGAAAAATATGTTACACGTTTAAAGGTGCGTGTGTAAAGCAGTGTACAAAATCATTCATTTTATTTCAGGAAATGAAGAAATGAACAGACCAAACTATTTGAGTAAACATAGTTTTTTGACTAATTATATATATTTTTTTAGCACTCTTCCATCTGTTTTGTCTGCTTGGGTCACTGAGATTTCCTCTGGGTCAGGCTGCAGGTACGTGTCATCGTTTAAGGCAGAAAAGGGTATCTTTTGTCCTCCAGCAAGTAACAATGTAGTGCCTATGATTCTATTGTATAATACAAATATAATAAAAATAAACATTGTGTTAAGCAACATTTGCTTTATAGTTTTTTTTTTTTTTTACTATATTTGTATTATTCACTTGAATTATTATTTCCTGAAAATCAGCCATTTAGCCTCAACATAGTGATGAGGTGGGGTGTGTGATGAGCTGCTAAGTGGAAGCAGTAATGAGTTTAATAGTTGAAACATCAAAAGATTAAGGATAGAAAATTAAGTTGTACCTGCACACTTATACTTTGGACAAATTTTATATTATCAGTGTCCTTTAGTGACTGATGGAGCTTTAAAATCGGCTGCAATTAATGCACACAATAGCATTTAGAAACCCTGAAAAAAAATTATATTAAAAAATGTAGGTGTGTGTGCGTGAATGTATATATATATAAGAACGACGTCCTACATCTTAAATTATAGATATATTTTCCTACAAAAGACAAAGCTGCCACTTATAATATTATACAGAAATGTGAGGGTGCAAAAGGAGAGAAAAAACACACAATCTTTATGTGAGATTCGAACTCACTCCGTTGTGCGCTCCGTTGTTCTTTATCGAAGCACTGTCCACTACTCTATTGCCGTGCTCTGAATCTTCTGTGTAATGATACGCAGAGATTTATGACCAAGGAACTGTACGAAAGTGTAAAAAACAGTTCAGTGCCAGGCATACTGTACAGGTGGTCATACTGCCACATGTACAGTTGCCTAAAATGCCCTGACGTGAATACAAAGAGCTGCACTGAATGTTTTTTATGGTAAGCGCAGACCCGGGGTTTGTCACATTTGATTTCAAAAAGGTTTGTTAAATACATTGACATTATGAATTTGGTTATGAAAAAAACTATGCACTTATAACCCTCTCACAACGAAAAAACTTGTATTTGTGTGTCCATATCCATAAATATTCCCATCAAAAGAGCATGCAATGCTCAGTAAACTCTCTAAAACAGACAAACTCTAAAACATAGCAACTTACTCTCTGAACATAACCTGCTCTGGAGCAGGTTATCTTCAGAGAGTAAGTTGCTATGGCTACTTAACATACCCAGAAGTTACCTCCGATTTTGGAACCAAAGTTGAGGTTATCCACCTACATACTCTCAAACTTACCCGGGTATGTCACATAACCTGCTTTCTGGAACAGCCCCCTGTCCTCAGGTCTCACTGGCTCCCAGTCACATTCAGAACAGATTTTAAAGTATCATTACTTGTCTATAAGTCACTAAATGGCCTAGGAGCTCAATACATTACATATATGCTCACTGAATACAAAACTAATAGCAGTGTTGGGCAAGCTAACTGAAAAATGTAGTGAGCTAAGTTATTAGTTACTCTAAATGTAGCTTAAATATACTAAAAGCTACCCCCTGGGAAATGTAGCAAGCTAAGCTAAAAGCTACATGGCAAAAGTGGTTTAGCTACATCTTAGCAATGTTTACAATTTTCATTTTTAAATCAAAGCAACTTAAATCCAAGTCAATCATCTTACTGATTAATACTGTCAATGAAACATATGAGGTAGAATAGTTCAGTTACTTACTTTATATGCTGTACTAAACAGAAACATATATAGTATATAACAGCTTAAAACAAAAAAAAACAATAGAACCAGATGTTACACATTTAAAATACTATAGTAATTTATAGTAAAAGGAAAATTTTGGAACAACGGTTATAGTGTATGTATATATATATATATATATATATATATATATATATATATATATATATATATATATATATATATATATATATATATATATATAGTATTTTTATTTTTTTGAGCACAGCATCAGAAATTAAGTTATTGTATTGTAACATCTAACATGTACTTCTCAAGGTATGGTCACGAGAAATCCTGGAGAGGCAGTTTTAACATGGAGTGACACGACTTCTGACGTACAGATGCCACTGGCACATGCCCATAGATATATACACTAGATGTCGCCTGGCCTATTGTTGTCTATTGGACGGAATGCATCTAAAGCGCCGCCATCTTGCTACAGGGTAGCGCTCCTTTGAAATGAATGCGGGACCAAGGTACAGTGGAGGACTGTGGGCATGCAAAGCCAGAGATATACACATATACACATATATCTATGATCGGGAGTTTTCCTGGATGTTAGTATGTAATTTTTCTTTTGTAATTACGAAAATTATAATTTTATATAACTTTTCTACATTTATGAATCAGTGACCGCACGGGCATTCCTGGCAAAAAGCTTGTGTTTGTGTGTACAGAAATGTACTATTCACCCTCCCTGTTAAATTTGATCTAATCATGTGCTGAAACACAGCTCCTCTCCTGCTTTCACTTCTCATACTGACGGAGGGAGCGATTCGTTTGTGAATGAATCCCCCGAACGACTCTTTCACTAACGTTAGCCGACAATAATACAAGTTTCTGGCAGCGCAGCATCTCGTTGTCATATTTCTTTTGCATTGTTTGCTGATTTTATTCAACAAAACTAGCATAAGCCGAGTGTTTAGTGTGAGTTGGAGCTGCTTTGCCGTATGGTGAATGCAGTAAGTGACTGTTATCATCAATAGCGTGACCTGATTAGCACAAAAGTTCAGAACATACAAAAACAGAAAAAAACTTAACATTACCTATGAAATGTTCTGCCTTTGTGCTTTGTTTTCTTTGTTTGCTCTTTACTACACCCGTAGACAGCGATAAAGTCCCGCATCTTCACGTAATAACACTGTCTTGACTAGTGCGGTTGAATGACACTTGTCCTGGGAGCACTGTACCAATGTGGCGGCGCTATTGACGCATGCTCAGGGTCCCTATGCGATATCTAGTGTATATATCTATGGCTAAGTGTAGTGACTAAGTGTAGTGGCACGTCCGGTTTCCACTGTCATGTGTCACTCGCCAGTGGCATGTTTAGTGTCATGTGTTACTCGCTAGTGGCATGTGTGGTGACCTGTGTCACTCCGAGTGTCGCGCTGCATGTCACTGCAGTGACATCGACTCCCGGCGAAGCTTTCAATATTTAATAACTACGCTACTTTTAACCTGATTTATGTGTCGCAAGTTAGTTTATATGCTGGACTACTCCACGATGTTTTAATTTAAAAGCATTTATTTTACGTATTCGTAGTCATACTTCCGTGCGTAATATAGTCATTTGACAGTACATGTCAGTCAAATTTATTGTGGCATGCTTATGTATGGGAGGGGTTACACCTATCTGTTGTACCGTATATTATTGCATCGTGGCAGTTTCTTCGTTGGCTACAATATGGACTTCTCTGTTTGTTAATTCATTCATTTATTTTGTTATTTAACTTATATATTTTCATTTTAAGGTATTTTAAATAATACGCTTTAAAAAGTTATAATAAAATGCATGTGTAAATTCATAACATATATGCATGTAAGATAATAGGTGTCATTTGCCTAATCATTTTTAATTAAAGCAAAGAGACTTATAAGATTAATAACGTGCTTATACTGGCACTTGTCACAAGATCACTGACACTGGCATGTAATATAATATAATGGAGAGCAGATTTTTTTCAACACATTTCTTAACATAATAGTTTTAATAACTCATCTCTAATAACTGATTTATTTTCTCTTTGCCATGATGACAGTAAATAATATTTGACTAGATATCCTTCAATACACTTTTATACAGCTTAAAGTGGCATTTAAAGGCTTAACTAGGTTAACTAGACAGGTTAGGGTAATTGGGAAAGTTATTGAATAACAATGATTTGTTTTATAGACTATCAAAAAAAAAAAAAGCTTAAAGGGGCTAATAATTTCGACCTTAAAATGGGTCTCAAAAATGTAAAACTGCTTTTATTCTAGCTGAAATAAAACAAATAAGACTTTCCCCAGAAGAAAAAATATTATCAGACATACTGTGAAAATTTCCTTGCTCAGTTAAACATCATTTGGGAAATATTAAAAAGAAGAAAGGTGGCTAATAATTCTGACTTCAACTCAACTTCAGCAATGATTTATAAGTGTGATGAAGCCATTCCTGCGAGTTTAAATGCTGAGGAATATTCTCATCTTCCCACAGCTGAGGAAGCAGCAAACAGGAGGAATTACAGCAGGAGAAAGAACTGACATACTGTAGTAAAGATGGAGATTGAGGAAGAACCCTGCAGAATAAAGGAGGAAGAGACAGAGGAACAAATAGGTTTGTGTTTATTTACTTCAATTAATGACTGATTAGGAACAATAATACACAAAGCTGACATATAACAATGGCTAATCTGAAATAAGACATTTACTTATTAGTAAACTCAATGTGTACTAAAGGAATGGTTATCTTATATCTAGTTTTGTTTTTTGAAAGTTTAATAATTTAATACTTTGATTTTAGACCAGGCGGAGGGGAATGAAGACAAACAGCACCTGTTTAATAATCCTCAACGATTCACAAGTGAACATTCACAAATGAAAACGGAACAGAAATACATACAGATCGAGCAAGATCGAAGAATTAGAGTCATAGGATCTTTCATCTGCTGCGAATGTGGGAAGAGTTTAAAAAGTGAACTATGGCTTAAAAAGCACACGATGATGGTTCACACTGGAGAAAAACTACTAACATGCACTCAGTGTGGAAAAGGTTTTGTAGACGAAGCCAAACTGGAGTCACACTTGAAGAGTCACACTAGAAACCGATCATTTACCTGCACTGAGTGTGGGAAGATGCTCAAAAGTGAAGACAAGTTAAACAACCACGTGAGGATTCACAATAAAGAAAGACCCTTCAGCTGCTCTGTGTGTGGAAAGAGCTTCAAGACTGAACACAACTTAAGCCAGCATCAGCGTGTTTACTGTGACGTGAAGCCGTTGAGCTGTGATCAGTGCCATAAAACATTTCTCTCCAGATCACGGTTAAAATCACACCTTAAATTTCACTCTGAAGTGAAGCCTCACGTTTGCTCTCTGTGTGGAAAGAGTTTCTTATATCTGAATATGTTAAAGGAGCACGAGCTTATTCATTCTGGAGTCAAACCTCATGTGTGTTCAGACTGCGGGAAGAGCTTTAGTTCATCAAACTACCTAAAAAAGCACCAGATCGTCCACACTGATGTGAATCCGTTCTCCTGCACTCAGTGTGGGAAGACTTTCAAGGAGAAAAGATCTCTGAAAGATCATCTGACCGCTCACGCCGGAGTGAAGCCGTTCAGCTGTGATCAGTGCGATAAAACATTTCTGTCTGCATCGTACCTTAGAAAACACTTGAAAGTTCACTCCGGACTCAAGCCTCATGTTTGCTCCTTTTGTGGAAAGAGTTTTCTGGCGCTGCAAGCTTTAAAGCTTCATCAGATGATTCACACCGGAGAGAGACCTTACGTGTGCTCTGAGTGCGGGGACAGCTTTCTCAGATCGAACTACTTAAAAAAGCACCAGCGGATTCACACCGGAGAGAAACCGTTCGCATGCGCTCAGTGTGGAAAGAGTTTCAGATATAAAAACAATCTAAAAGTGCATCTGGTCTCTCATACTGGAGTGAAGCCGTTCAGCTGTGATCAGTGCCATAAAACATTTGTTTGTTCAACAAACTTGAGAAACCACCTTAAAATGCATGCTTCTGTGAAGCCTCAAACATGATTCTGCCTTAATGAAGCTCTTTTTGTGATAGAAGCACAACTGCGACCTTTATAAGCCCATCAGATTCTTCATACCGGAGTGAAACCTCAGTTTTGGTGCATCAAGCTACTTAAGGAAACACCAGAGAATTCACACTTTAGAGAAACTGTACAAGTGTTCACATTAGCCCCGGCGCCAGGATGTCATAACTGAGGGGGCATGTTAATCCCATAGGGGGGCACGTAGACCTGGGGCCTCATGTATCAATGCTGCGTATGCACAAAAACTTTGTTTCACGCTCACGTTTGGATTTACTAATGATGAAATGAACGTGGGAATGTGCGCAGGTCCACGCTAACTTCATGCCTTCCACGCAAGTCTTCGTACATGAGGCCCCAGATCTCTGGACTACAGGCCTAACTTTAATCTCACAGTTTTCAAAATTTTATTGCTATTTCATATTATACAATATCTAAATGTGTGCTCTGAAGGTAGAAATGATGGGAGTGTTAGTAATTAATGACAGAAAGAATTTTCTGTTTTAAGTGCACAATCCTTTTTGAAAACTGGGCAGGCACAAATTCTTTCTGAGGGGGTATTGCCTCAGATGTTGCGGGAGTCCCCCGCAAACGCACAGAGACTCTCGAATGCCCACAAATAAGTGATAATCTCCCGGAAATCACGCGTCTCCCTCTTGGTCCTCAAATACGTTGCGCACCCTACTCACCCCTCCTCGCTCTACAGACAAATCGCGCGCACCCTGTCAGACACCACCAACCCCCCTCGTCTTCACGTACGTCATCAACACTCCCCATCTTCAGATATTTTACGTAGCATAAAGGCTGATTTATACTTCTGCGTCAAACACCGGCGTAGGCTACGGCGCTGACGCATAGCCCTTCGCCGTGGCCGTCGCCGTCACTGACGTGCACCTCTTAAAAATTGTAACTACACGTTGCAACAACGCGTAGCGCAAGCTCTGTGATTGGTCGGCTTGCTAACGCCGATGAGTTTGGGCGGGACCGAGAGCTGCGCGAATAGCGCGAGCGATTGCTTACAAGTGTGGAGTCCCGTGAAGGAGCTCCGGATGGAAAGTTTTGTTTTGTGTTTACCTCATGGTTAAAGTTGTTGCAAGTCCGCCGGTTCCTGCCTCAAAATGAGCGAGTTTGAGTCACTTGTACATCCAGGAAGTGTTCAGAATAGCAAAACAGAAGCGAAAAAACTCGACACAGAGGAACATTTACACCTCACTGCCCACTAGCGTTTCGGAAGTGTTAATGCAGACCAACGGAGACAGCGCGCAGAAGTATAAATGCACAGCTGCGCGCATTGCCTGCGCCGTGAGTTGCGCCGGTCACTTGACGCAGAAGTATAAACCAGGCTTAACTCCCGCAACCTCCTGCAAATAATCTCAGTCTCGCCGGGAATGACTAATCTCAATATGGGATGTCTGATATCACCACATGGTGGTTACCTTTGTCAAGTACCACAATACGTAGTTACGTCCTCAAATGCCAGTGCAAACTGTACTGTGCCAAAAGGAAGCCCTATGTTAACTGTGTCCAGAAGCGACATTGACTTTTCTGGGCTCGGAGGCATGTGGGATGGACCATCACACAGTGTAAACGTATACTGTGGTCAGATGAATCAGTATTTTAGATTTTTAGGGGAGAAATGGACGTTGTGTGCTCTGCACCAAAAAGAAAAGGATCATCCAGACGGTTACTGGTAACAAGTCTGAAAGCCAGGCTCTGTCATGGTATGTGGTTGAGTCTGCGCCCTTGGCAAAGTTAGCTTGCACTTCTGTGATGCACTATTAATGCTGAACAGTACAAAAAGATTTTGGAGCACAATATGCTGCCTTATTTCCCAGGGCTTAATTTGTTCCGGAACAAGCCGAATCCGGATCCGGCACCTCATTTTACAGACTGCCCACCCCACTCGTCACTTTCTTTTGCGACTCCCTAACTCTCTTCACTTTCGTCCTCCACACACCCCCCCCCCCCCCATTAAATTTTGTCCACAACACTCCTTCGCACCGCTCTTCACTTTCGTCCGTTACCCCGATCTGTTCCAGGGTTTTGCAATTTACAAATTAAGCACTGGGGACGGCCATGCATATTCCAACAAGACAATGCAAAACCACACTCTGCACACATTACAAAGTCCTGCTGCGGAGGAAGAGGATACAGGTAGTTTACTGGCCTGCCTGCAGTCCCGACCTGTCTCCAATAGAGAATGTGTGGCACATTTTGAAGCACAAAATGTGACAATGAAGACCTCGTACTGTTGCCCAGATTAAGACTTGTTTGCAGGAAGAATGGGACAAAATCACACGTGAAACACTTCAGCACTTCGTGTCGTCAGTCCCTAAACGCCTTTAAAGTGTTGTGAAAAAGAATTGCAACATTGTAAAGTGGTAAATGCTTTACTGATAGGACTCTTTCGAAATGTGTTGCAAGAATCAAAATTGGCATACGTGTTTATTTTGAGAGAAAAAAACGATACAAATCATGAGGAACACTCTAATCGATCACTACTATCTTATTTTATTTGCGTTTCCATACTGTCCAAACCTTTTCTGATTTAGAGTTGTCGATATTTATATGTTCTATGTTTGTATCACATATACATATTAAATATATATAATGATATGTACATATTTTGTCAAACTTTGCTGGAGGAACAAGTTGAAAATAAAGCTCTTTGTGTTCTTTAAAACATAAATAAAATAAAGTGGATTAGATGTCAGACATGTTTTCATGAAGCAACACACACATTTCTCATTCAGTACTTTATGTAACTGCTTAAAACAAGACTGTTTAAATAAATGCATGTAAAGTGGGTCTTTATTATTACTTTGTTTGATAAAATACACAAAACAATACAGTTGCATGAAAAGGATTTCACTGTTATAAATGCACTAATTTGAAAGCATCAGCTGAGGTATCTGATTTCAGTTGTCAAAAGTGTAATTAATAAATTATTTCAAATCAAACATCGTTGTGCAAAGAAACTGTTTCTACGTGACCATGCAACATTACATAGAGTTTACTTTGGTCGTTTTTTAGCTTACTGTATGTATCGGGTTCCACCATTGGTGGTGCTCGAGCACCAGAACCCAGTGACGAACATCCGAGTCGAGGAAGAGAAGAAGAAGAGCGCGGCGAAAGTATAAACAAGTGAAACAGCCGTCTGCTTTATTTATTGCTTTATGACAGTGTAAGTACGTTGACTTTATTAATAATTTGAGAATATCTACAACAAACTTAAAGTCAGTTAATTTGAGTAAATTATAACACGTTTATTCCAGTCAGAGACTCGAAGTGGTTACAGAATTAATCCAAATCTGAAATGAGTAACTATTTAGCCTGCTTTTGCTTCGTCTGATTAGGTGTAAATAAAGGTTGTTCGCTCGACAACGAGTAATAATAATTATGTTGAGCAAATTTAAAGTAATTATCCAACTAATCCTATTTTAAAAGCTAGATATGTTAGAAATCTAGTTTACATTGTACAAAGGACGTAAATGAACGTATTTGTTTGTCTAATTTGCATATATTCAGATGTTTAGCCGATGTCTGATTGCAGGAGAGGGCTGCTTGTCTTTTGTGCACCCCAAACAAAATGATTATAGTTGCTTTATATGTAATCAATGATGATTTTGTTTATTTTTCACTCTCAACTGCCAGAATTAAAGACAGACAGAAAGTGACTTTTATTTGAGTTGAGTTTGGTTACTGAAATGACTGAGAGTGATTTGTAGGTGTGATAAAGATAATCATGAGAGTTTAAATGTTGAGGATTATTCCCATCTTCCCACAGCTGAACAAGAAGCAAACAGGAGGAATTACTGCAGGAGAAACAACTGACATACTATAGGAAAGATGGAGATTAAGGAGGAACCCTGCAGAATAAAAGATGAAGAGACGGAGGAACTAATAGGTTTGTTTTTTTTTTCTTTCTCTTTAATGACTGATGAAGAACATGAAGATAAAAACTGACATGTAACAATGCTGAATCTGAAATGAGACGTTTACTTGTAAGTAAACTCTGTGTACAACCCCAAATAAGAAAAGGTTTGGACAGTATGGAAACACAACTAAAAAAATAAAGAGTGATTTCTAAATTTACTTTGACTTGTATTTCTTTTCAGGCAGCACAACAGACATTATTTAAGGTGTTCCTCATGATTTATATTGTTTTTTTTCTCTCAAAATAAACATGTATGCTAATTTTGGTTCTTGCAACACAATAAAAAAAAAGTTGGAACAGTGACGCATTTACCACTTTGTCATGTTGTCATTGCTTTTTACATCATCGAAAGCTGTTTAGGGACTGAAAACACCAAGTGCTGAAGTGTTTCAGGTGTCAGTTTGTCCCATTCTGCCAGCAAACAAGTCTTAAGGTGGGCAACAGTACAGAATATTCATTGTCACATTTTGCGCTTCAAAATGCGTCACACATTCTTTATTGGAGTGAGGTCAGGACTGCAGACAGGCCAGTCAAGTACCTGTATCCTCTTCCTCCTCAGCAGGACTTTGTAATGTGTGCAGAATGTGGTTTTGCATTGTCTTGTTGAAATATGCATGGGCGTCCCTAGAAAACAAGACAGTATAATGTGCTCCAAAATCTCTGTGTACATTTCAACATTAATGGTGCATCACAGAAGAGCAAATTACCTTTGCCAAGGGCACTGACGCTGCCCATTTCTTCTTTGGTTCGGAGCACACAGGGTCTATTTCTCCCAAAAAATACTTGAAACACTGGTTCATCTGACCACAGTACACGTTTACACCATGTGATGGTTCATCCCAGATGTCTCAGAGCCCAGAGAAGTCGACGGCGCTTTTGGACACTGTTAACATAGGGCTTCATTTTGGCACAGTACAGTTTTGACTGGCATTTGTAGATGTAACTACGTATTGTGGTACTTGACAAAGGTTTGCCGCAATAGTCCTGAGCCCATGTGCTGATCTGGCGTATAGATGAATGAGGATTCTTGATGCAGCACTGCCTGATGGACCGGAGATCACTGTTGTTCAGCTTAGGCTTGCGTCCTTGTACTTTATGCACTGAAATTCCTCCAGATTACTTAAATCTATTAATGATGTTCTGCACTGTTAAAGGTAAAATATGCAAATGCCTTTCTTTAAGAAACTTTGTGTTTAAACTTCTTAATTTTCTCACATATTTGTTGACAAACTGGCAATCCTCTGCTCATCTTAGCTCCTAAAGGACTAGACCTTTCTTGGATGCTGCTTTTGTACCAAATCATGATTACAATCATCATCACCTGTTTCACATCACATCATTATTTCACCAGTTTACCTGATTACTAGCCCTAAACTGAAGGTCGCAGGTCTGAATGACAGGAAAGGATGTATATTTACAAATGAAATAAAGTTAACCGGACAAAAAATCAAATATTTTGTGTTCATATAGTCTGTAATAAAATACAAAGTCAAAGTAAAGTTGGTGATCACTACTTTTTTTATTTGCGTTTTCCATAATGTCCTAGTTTTTTCTGATTTGTGGTTGTAGACTAAGGCCCTGTTTACACTAGTGCGTTTTATTTTTAAAACGGCGTTTTAGAATGAAAACGATCCGCGTCCACACTCGCGTTTCACCCAGCGTTTCTGAACAGCTCTCAGTCTACATCAAAACACTGAAAACGCACATCATGTGACCACACACACACACACTGGCATGCGCTGCAGCCTATCTAGCCAAATGAGAACTGTGCTCATCAAGCATCTCCCGCTGGATCTAATCTCACTGTATTTGTTAAATGTGATATTTAGTTTATCTTGTTGTCTATATCTAACGACATATTCCCTGACTTTGCTCTATTAAATCTATTAATTGTTCTCAGGTATCGTGTTTTGGCTGAGCACAAAGATAAGTTAATAATTAATGTAAGCACGTACATTATGTATATTGACTGATCGCTTGCCTTTATATCCTATAATGTATAAACTTATTGTACGTTATATTTTTATAATGGCCGTTATTGATTATTAAAACTGATATTCAGCAAAAGAGAGGCTGTGTTTTGCATTTGCAATGAAAATGAAAGGAGGCAGTGATGTTATATGCTCCATTTGTTGTGAATACGCATACAGTGAACATGACGCTCGTATGTGCTGCACAATGCCTCAACAGTTCTACTGTCGTTCGCGTGTATCGCGCCGCAGGATGTCTATTGGCACATTTGCATTGATTAACATGTTCAAAAGAAGGTAATGATTCGCACTCAATTGCTTCATACTGTTTTTATCCTTACTTTTTCTTACATTTTACGGGTGATAACAGACAAACAGACGTTTCGGCACAAAGCCTTCCTCAGTGTGTGACACATTCTCCAACTCCACCCTTTTATTCCATAGTCAATCACAATGTGCAATTAGTTAAACCGTCACTCTCATTTCATTATCAATTAATCACACAATAACTTATAATCTTCACAGCAATGACAATAAACATTCTTCCCATTCCGACCTCACTCCACAGAGATAAAGTGCATCAACCACCATCACTAATCAGGTGTACATCAATACAAAAAATTCTAACAGTTGACATTAAAAGTCACACACTGAGGAAGGCTTTGTGCCGAAACGTCTGTTTGTCTGTTATCACCCGTAAAATGTAAGAAAAAGTAAGAATAAAAACAGTATGAAGCAATTGAGTGCGAATCATTACCGTCTTTTGAATAATAGTAACGATCAGATTAACGCACCAAACCAAAGAAGTCACTAAAAAAACCGCAAGCGCGCAGGACAAACTTCAGTAACTCTGCACATTGATTAACATGTAAAACACTCGCGCTTGACGCGCGTTCCTCGTCTGGTGTAAACGCAGCATTATGAGCATCAGTGTAGGCATGAGGATTTCCCCCGGGACTCCAACAACAGATGTACGTCCCAATCACACCCCCACAAGAGCAAGCTCCTGATTGGTTAATGCGGCGCGAATGTCCGCTGAAGTTCAGACTTTCGAACTCAAGCAATTCGCGCGAAACGTGCGTCAAACGTGCAAAACGCTCAATTCGCGTGTATCGCGCAATTCACGTCATTTGTGCCGCGCCACTCGCGCTGCAGGATGTCTATTCGCGCATTTACATTGATTAACATGTTCAAAAAAAGGTATTGATTCGCACTCAATTGCTTCATACTGTTTTTATTCTTACTTTTTCTTACATTTTACGGGTGATAACAGACAAACAGACGTTTCGGCACAAAGCCTTCCTCAGTGTGTGACACATTCTCCAACTCCACCCTTTTATCCCATAGTCAATCACAATGTGCAATTAGTTAAACCGTCACTCTCATTTCATTATCAATTAATCACACAATAACTTATAATCTTCACAGCAATGACAATAAACATTCTTCCCATTCCGACCTCACTCCACAGAGATAAAGTGCATCAACCACCATCACTAATCAGGTGTACATCAATACAAAAAATTCTAACAGTTGACATTAAAAGTCACACACTGAGGAAGGCTTTGTGCCGAAACGTCTGTTTGTCTGTTATCACCCGTAAAATGTAAGAAAAAGTAAGAATAAAAACAGTATGAAGCAATTGAGTGCGAATCATTACCTTCTTTTGAATAATAGTAACGATCAGATTAACGCACCAAACCAAAGAAGTAACTAAAAAAACTGCAAGCGCACTGGACAAACTTCAGTAACTCTGCACATTGATTAACATGTAAAACACTCGCGCTTGACGCGCGTTCCTCGTCTGGTGTAAACGCAGCATTATGAGCATCAGTGTAGGCTTGAGGATTTCCCCCGGGACTCCAACAACAGATGTACGTCCCAATCACACCCCCACAAGAGCAAGCTCCTGATTGGTTAATGCGGCGCGAATGTCCGCTGAAGTTCAGACTTTCGAACTCAAGCAATTCGCGCGAAACGTGCGTCAAACGTGCAAAACGCTCAATTCGCGTGTATCGCGCAATTCACGTCATTTGTGCCGCGCCACTCGCGCTGCAGGATGTCTATTCGCGCATTTACATTGACTTAACATGTAAATCACTCGCGCTTGATGCGCGTTCCGCGTCTGGTGTAAACGCAGCATTAGAATAAAAACGGCCTCTTCAGCATTTCCAAAATGCTCTGTTTTCGGCACTGGAACATTCTGGCTTAGTTTGGACGGATGGCGTAACCGTAGCAAGACATATGCATTTTAAAACTGAAACGCATTTGTGTAAACGGGGCCTAAACTAATGCTTTATCTTTCTTTAAAGTATAATAATTGAATACTTTGATTTTAGACCAGACAGAGGTGAATGAAGACAAACAGCATCTGTTTAATAATCCGGAAGGATTCTCAGGTGAAAACCCACAAATAAAAACCGAACCGAACGCAAAGAAACGAGACCGAACAATTGGAGCCAAAGGATCTTTCACCTGCTCTGAATGCGGAAAGGTTTTCAGAATCGAATCATGGCTTAAACGACACACACTGATGGTGCACAATGGAGAAACACTGTTAACATGCAGTCCGTGTGGGAAGAGTTTCATAAACGAAGCCAAGCTGGACAAACACCTGAAGAGTCACACTAGAAACCGATCATTTACCTGCACTGAGTGTGGGAAGATCTTCAAAAGTGAAGACAAGTTAAACAACCACGTGAGGATTCACGATAAAGAAAGACCCTTCAGCTGCTCTGTGTGTGGAAAGAGCTTCAAGACTGAACACAACTTAAGCCAGCATCAGCGCGTTTACTGTGACGTGAAGCCGTTGAGCTGTGATCAGTGCCATAAAACATTTCTCTCCAGATCACTGCTGAAATTACACCTGGTAGTTCACTCTGGAGAGAGACCTTACGTTTGCTCTCTGTGTGGAAAGAGTTTCTTATATCTGAATAGGTTAAATGCGCACGAGCGTAATCATGCTGAAGTGAAGCCTCACGTTTGCTCTCTGTGTGGAAAGAGTTTCTTATATATGAATAGGTTAAAGGAGCACGAGCTCATTCATAGTGGAGTGAGATCTCATGTGTGTCCACACTGCGGGAAGAGCTTTAGTACGAAGAGGAACTTAAAAAAGCACCAGAGTGTTCACGTTGAGGTGAATCCGTTCTCCTGCACTCACTGCGGAAAGACGTTCAGGAATAAAAGATCTGTTCAAAATCATCTGATCGCTCACGCTGGAGTGAAGTCGTTCAGCTGTGATCAGTGCGATAAATCATTTATCCGTGCATCATACTTAAACCGACACCTTAAAGTTCACGCTGGACTCAAGCCTCATGTTTGCTCTACTTGTGGTAGGAGTTTTTCAATCCTGCAGTGTTTAAAGCGCCATCAGCTGGTTCACACCGGAGAGAGACCTCATTCGTGTTCAGACTGCGGGAAGAGCTTCAGGACATCGAACTACTTAAGAAAACACCAGCGGATCCACACCGGAGAGAAACCCTACTCTTGCGCTCAGTGTGGAAAGAGTTTCAGATGTACAAAGAATCTAAAACTGCATCAGCGCTCTCATTCTGGAGAGAAGCCGTTCAGCTGTGATCAGTGCCATAAAACCTTTGCTTGTCCATCAAACCTAAGTAAGCACCTGAAAGCTCATGCTGCAGGACGGGTGTGCTCAGACTGCGGCCAGAGCTTTCGTACATCAGCCGAATTAAAGACGCACCAGAGGATTCACACTGGAGAGAAACCGTATCAGTGTTCACTCTGTGGGAACAGATACGCTCTTTCAGGAAGCCTGAAACTTCATGAGAGAGTTCATCGTAAAGAAGAGCTGCAACAGTGCTCGTCCAGCGGATAGTTTCATACTGGCTGACGGCTGAAGGTCTGGGAGTTTTTAACACTTTTTAAAACTTTTTTTTTTTTTGGAACTTTTATCACAATAAATGATCAAGGACTGCCCACTATGTTACAGGTTGTTTTTAATCACGTGGTTCTGGTGAGGTGCGAAAGTCAGATGGAGGGCAGGAAGTAAAAAAAAATGAATGGGAGACAGAAAGGAAAGTCTGTATTTTTGCCATTTATACCATATTTCAAAGGCAGTCCAGGCTCATTCTGAAAACGTAGTCCTGTGGATGTTTCTGGAGACCCGGGAGGCATCTCAAATGTCTCTCGCGAGTGCCATTCGCGCCCGCGCTGTTCTCACGTGAACCCACCAGAGGCCACTGTTGAGTGATTTTAAGGTTACTAACTCATATTTAAGGCTATTAACTCATATTTTAGGGTATTAACCCAATATTTAAGGTTATTAACTCATATTTTAAGGTTATTAACTCATATCTAAGGCTATTAACTCATTTTAAGGTTATTAACTCATATTTTAAGGTTATTAACTCACATTTCAAGGTTATAAACTCATATTTTAAGGATATTAACTCATATTGTAAGCTTATTAACTCATATTTAAAGGTTATTAACTCATATTTTAAGGTTATTAACCCATAATTTAAGGTTATTAACTCATATCTAAGGCTATTAACTCTTTTTAAGGTTATTAACCCATATTTTAAAGTTATTAACGCATATTTTAAGGTTATTAAGCCATATTATAAGGTTATTATTTTTAACTCGCATTTCAAGGTTATGAACTCCTAATTAAAGGATATTAACTCATATTTTAAGCTTATTAACTCATATTTTAAGGCTATGAACTCTTATTTTTAGGTTATTAACTCACATTTAAGGCTATGAACTCATATTTAAAGGATATTAACTCATATTTTAAGGTTATTAACTCACATTTTAAGGCTATGAACTCATATTTTAAGGATATTAACTCACATTTTAAGACTTTGAACTCATATTTAAAGGATATTAACTCATATTCTAAGCTTATTAACTCATATTTTAAGGCTTTGAACTCATTTTAAGGTTGTTAACTCATATTTAGGGCTATTAACTCATATTTTAAGGTTAATATCTCATATTATAAGGTTATTATCTCATATTATAAGGTTATTATCTCATATTATAAGGCTATTAACTCACATTTTAAGGTTATTAACTCATATTTTATGGTTATTAACTCATATTTTAAGGCTATGAACTCGTATTTTAAAGTTTTGAACTTGCTTTAAGTTTATGGGTTTTGTCGATCTTCTAAATGACTTTGAATAGTATTTAAGCCTTGCTGATTAGTGATTGCTGTTATTTAATACTGTTCATCTTGCACCTTTTCAGTCTAATGATAAATATGCAAGACTCTTTAGCAGCTATTAAAGTAAAACAATCAGATTGAATGGCTGGTTTCTGAATGAGCACTTATGCAGCACTAGATGGCTGAGAGTGAATGTAAAGTGTGTGAAGTATCTGCTAAATGAGCTCAATTCACTGAAACACGAGTTTCAGAGTCATTTCATTTTCTTGTCGGCTTACTCCCTTTATTAATCCGGGGTCGCCACAGTGGAATGAACCGCCAACTTATCCAGCAAGTTTTTTTACACAGCGGATGCCCTTCCAGCCACAACCCATCTCTGGGAAACATCCACACACACATTCACAGACACACTTTGGATAATTTCAACTGTACCGCATGTCTTTGGACTGCGGAGGAAACCGGAGCACCCGGAGGAAACCCACACGAAGGCAGGGAGAACATGCAAACTCCACACAGAAACATCAACTGAGCCGAGGTTTGATCCAGCGACCTTCTTGCTGTGAGGCGACAGCCCTACCTACTGCGCCACTGCCTTGCCGAGTTTCAGAGTTGTTACACGTATTAATTAAAAACAATCAGGAGGAAGATCTTTGCGACATGTCTTGTCTGAAATTACTCAAGAACTGGATTGATTTGGTTTCACTAAATGACCGTTTACGCTAAATGCATATTATTTCTTTTTGTTTAGTTTTTTATTATGCAAAAAAGAGCATATAAAAAGATACAATATGAACAAAGAGAAAAAAATAGTTACACAAATAAAATTCAAAATGCAATATAATTGTTCACATATGAATCAAAGAAAGTCCTTTCTAAAAATAAAAAGTAAGGGTGTTTCTTTGAAGATTTACATGTATGGCTGTAAAGTTTAGCCAGAAAAAGCAATAAATTTAGATTTACAACAAAGCAATAAATAGATTTACAATGAGAAGTGTCTACATTCAACGAGTAACCAAAGAATATTATTTTGGGGAAATACAGAAGTTTGGAAATAAGAAGATTTTATGAGATTGGAAAAGTCAACCTAAAACACTTCACAGTAAGTGCACTCGCAAAATAAAAGATTTACTGTTTCATCATATTGAGTACAAAATAAGCATTTAGGGGAAATAATGTTAATAAATTGAGCTAGCTTGGTATTTATTCGGTAGCAATTATGAATGAGACTTCAACAGCTTTATTAGACTTCAACAGCCAAAACTGTACCCAATCTACACTCTCAAAAATAAAAGCACAGGAGCTGTCACTGGGGCAGTACCTTTTTAAAAAGTACATATTTATACCAGAAGGGTCCATAATGGTACCTCAAAGTTACTTTTTAGGTACATTTAGGTACTAATATGATACCACTGGACTCTTTGGGTACAAATATGTATCTTTTAAAAAGGTAGTGCCCCAGTGACAGCTCCTGTACTTTATTTCTGAGAGTGTAGGTCATTCAAAAACCTATGCAAGCACAGTAGGTAAAGAGATCTGAGAACCATTAATAACCAAGCGAATATCTTTGTTTGACAGAACTGAGAAAAGTTTGGTCAACAAAAATATTTGTTGTCAAAAATGAAAGAATCTAAAGAACCTTTAGGGCCAGATTTGACTCAAGGTATAACACAATCAGGGATTTCACCAAAAACGATGGCATATTCTTTGGGGGGAACAAGAAAAGAAAACTGATGCATAAAATTTTCTTAATAAATCTGTATTATTATTATTTTTATTGAATACAAGAATAATAAACATCACTGCATTGAAGAAAAATACAATAAAAAAAAAGAAGAAGAAAGATTTATTTTATTTTTTTACAAAGCCTCAATCATTAAGAAAAAACGATTATCATAAGCTAATGTAAATTTTTCTGGACCAATATTTCTGACTGCATCTAATGGAAGAGAGCATGGTTATTACCTGAAAAATTCAGCGTAGCCAACAAGATAAGAGAGATACATTTTAAGATCTTGCATAACGTATATCCTACAAATTCCCAAGTTTCTAATTATTTTAATTTATCTAATTGGTGTACTTTCTGCAATATACATAAATCTGTATTATTTTTATTTATTTATTTTATTTATTTATTTATTTATTTTATTAAAGAATGCAAATATACAACCACAAGCAGGAGATCGATATAAGAGACATACAAAGGAGAAAAATACAAATTACATTAGCTGCAGAAAGAAAAAAAGATTAACAACAAAGGAACAAAGATTAACAAACAAAGGAAGGGGTGAGTAAATTACAGATAAATCTGTATTTTTTTATGCATTATTAATTTACCAATACATCAAAAACAGGCAACAAACAAAAATTCCAAAGATAATTAAAATGTAAAAACAAAAACAAAAGGAAGACATTCACAAGACGCCAAAAACAGATTCATAATAGCTTACAATAGACAGAGCTTTTACATTTTTACAGCTTTGAGAGACTTCATTAACAGAATAATTTCGTTGACAAATATCTTGTATAAAGGATGAGATTTTGAAAGTCATTTGTGAATGAAGAATTTACCATTTAAAATGATAAAATTAACAAAATTGTTAATTTGTTTATCACCATTTTCAAAATAACAAATAATTTCGTTTGCATTCAATGTTATCAACATATTATTTTTTGCAGAATAATCAGAAAAACAGTCTTTCCAAAATAATTGCACAGTCTGACAATCAAGAAATAAGTGACATAAGGATTCCTCACTGTTTTTACAAAATGAACATTCTTTCTCAATATTTAAACAAATCTGTATTATTATTTTTTATTAAATACAAGAATAATAACATCACTGCATTGAAGAAAAAATACAATAACAAAAAATAAGAAAGAAGACAGAGAGAAAAAAAAATACACAGCCTCAAACATTAACAAAAAAGATTGTCATAAGCTTTAAGAAACTTATTATTTTTCTTATTATTATTAAGCTTAAGAGATTCAATATTATACGAAATTTCAACAAGGAAAGTATTAAAAACAGGTATTGTTTTTAGAAACTTATTTTTGTGTATAAAAAATTTACAGTGTAACACAAAAAAATTTACAATAAGATCGAGAGCATGACCATCATCCGAGAAATACAGAAATATATCTTTTATAGACAAATTTAAATCATGTTTAAAAATGGATGATAAATAAAAAGTATAAATCTGTATTATTATTTTTTTTTTTTTTTGACCTCAATAACAAACATACAAAATTCAACAATTTACACAAAAGAACACAATGACAATAACAGATCAGGATAAACAATATAAACTTTAAAAATTAAATAAAAAAAGAAACAAAAGGGAGAAAAAATAAATAAATAAATAAAATTAAACATACATAACACAAATACAGCAAGAGGAAAGGAGGACTTATGTAACCGTGCTGTTTCCAAAATATTTATCATAAAGAACTAAAAATCTATCACTTTTCTTATTATTAACTAATCTAAGAGATTTAATAAAAACATAAATTTCTATTAAAAATGTGAAAAAGAAGGCTGCGAACAGGAGAATTTTTGTTTATGGATAAAATATTTTCCATACAAAATAAAAAAGTCAATAATGTAATTCTCTGATATATCAGCCCCACCTCCATAATAACAAACGACATCCTGAAGATGAAAGGGTCTGGAAGAAGCAATGTGGTTACCTATATGGAGATATAAGTTTTTCCAAAAGTTTTTTGTACTTTCACATTGAAAAAATATGTGAATCAGCGTTTCGTCTTCACTCTTACAAAATGTGCCTAAACTGTCAATCTCCAAATACTTTGCCAAAGTACCGTTTACTGGGTATATTTTATGAAGAATTTTGAAATGAACCTCTTTTGTTTTATTGGAAATGCAGTACTTATGAGGTAATAGCCAGGCTTTTTTCCAGTCTGTTGTGTCAAGGAAGGATGCCCAGTAAAATTTGCCTTTAGGAACATTATATTTTTTATTTTGAAAAATTTGTCGAATATATTTATTATTACATTTGTTGTCAAATAGACTAATTCCATTTAAAATCAGCTCTGGTTCTTTAATAACATTTTCATTAAACATTAAATGAGATTTTATAAGTTGAATTAGGCCTAACGGAATTGCTTTTTGCACAGCATTAAATTCTTTAAAAGGTAATGGAAAATTATTATTAGACATAAATTGTTCATAAGACAAAAAGTTGCCGGACTTATCAAAAATTGAGAGAATTCCAATTATATTTCGGTTAAACCATGTAGATAGAAAAATAGATTTATTTCTAATTCTAATATCAGAGTTGTTCCATAAAAAGCATTTATGTGGTGAGAAATTGTGGGAATAAATCTGTATTATTCAGAGGAGCGTAAATGCGTCGATGACGAAAGTGTCGTGAAGCCCCGCCCACATCCGTTCATGAGAGTTTAAATGCGGAGGATTATCCCCGTTTCAAGCAAACCGGAGGAATTACTGAGGAGAAACGACTGACTTACTATTGACCTTATTCTCCGCCGATGAGCGGGCGCTGCCATTTGAATGTTTTTGGCACTAGACTTCCGGTCTCATTCACTTCCATTCATTTTTAGACATCAAAAACTGCTCGTTTCGCTGATTGATGTTGTAAACTGATATTTCCTTGTTGTATTATTCTACTTGGTCTGTATAGTCATGCAAACATTTGTTTGTAGAGCAAGTAGTTTGACCGTTTTTGCCGTTTAATATTCCTTGTCATTTCTCCCATAGGCGACTGAAACGGAAGTTCTAAGACAATCGCGAAAACAAGCGCACTTCCGCATTTTAGAATAAGGTCAATAGTAAAGATGGAGATTGAGGAAGAAACCTGCAGAATAAAGCAAGAAGAGACAGAGGAACAAACAGGTTTGTGTTTTACTTTTTTCTCTTTAATGAGTCATGAGAAACATTAAGATAAAAATGGGCGCAACGTTTACTTTTTGTTCATTTAAAACAAATTACTAATGAGTATTTAAGTCGTACATTTAAACTGAATAAAGGCAAACCTTAATAAACCTACACTTTCCGCAGATGAAGATGGAGATGCAGTCAGTTCACAGACGGAACCAACCTTCAGACATAAGCGAGCTGAAAAGACTGCAGTCCACGAATCTTTCAGCTCTGAGCGTGGGAAGACTTACAAACATAAAGACAGTCTTTACAGACACACAGGATTTCACACAGGAACAGGCCTGTACACGTGCCCTCAGTGTGGAAAGGGTTTTACTCGGAAAGGAAGTTTGCGAATACACACGAGGATTCACACCGGAGAAAGGCCGTATACCTGCACCCAGTGTGGAAAGAGTTTCATCGATCTATCATCAATATCGAAACACATGAGAGTTCACTCCAGAGTGAAACCGTTCACATGCACGGAGTGTGGGAAGAGTTTCAAACATAAAAACAGTCTACAACATCACCAGCTCACTCACTCTGGAGTAAAGCCATTCAGCTGTGATCAGTGCCATATGACATTTATAACAGCAGCATGCTTAAAGCGACACCTTCCTGTTCACGCTGACGTGAAGCCTTACATGTGTTTCTGTGGGAAAAGCTATTCAGCCATGTCTATATTAAAAGATCATCAGACTGTTCACACTGGAGGAAAGCCGTATCAGTGTTCACACTGTGAGAGGAGTTTCAGTCAGCCGGGAGGCCTGAAAGCTCATGAGAGGACTCACACTGAAGAGAAACCCTATGCGTGTTCAGACTGCTGGAAGAGCTTTGGAAGCTTTTGTAACTTAAAAAGACACCAGAGGATTCACACTGGAGAGAAACCGTATACGTGTTCACACTGTGGGAAGAGTTTCACCCAGTCAGGTAACCTGAAGGAGCATCAGAAAATTCACGCTGGAAAAAAGCAGCACCAGCGCTCTTAATGTGGGAAGAGTTTTGCTGAATTTCCTAATCGATGGACAGAAATCATGACTTAAAGCTGCCTGAATAAGAAATCTTGGTAACACTTTACAATAAGGTTCATAAGTTAATGCATTTACTAACATGAACTAATCATGAACAACACATGTACAGCATTTATTAATCATAATTGAACATTTACTAATGCATTATTAATATCCAAGTCCATGCTTGTTAACATTAGTTAATGCATCATGAGTTAACATGAACTAACAATGAACTACTGTATTTTCATTAACTAATGTTTACAAGCATGAATAAATACTGTATATGTATTGTTTATTGTTTGTTCATGTTAGTAAATCCATTACTTAACATTAACTAATGAACCTTATTGTAAAGTGTGACTGAAATCTTTCACATTCAGGTCCATCATTGGAGGTAAACTGTGTGTCTTTCAGATATACTGTAAAAGCTGGATTAAATCCAGGGCCAGACGGAATCTGCAGATGTTTTTTACTTTTTCTGCTGAGAATTTTGGCAAAAATCTGCGGATTTCTGCGGAATTATTTTGGGAGTATCATAACTAAAACCTTAATATGTGAAATAAAAAGTAATCCCCTTATAACTTCTATTTAATGTTTAAATTGCAACTCTAATTATATTCATTTTATTTGTTAAACAAAGTGTCTCATATAATATCTCTACTAAAAGACAGAAAATATTGCTTTACAAACGGCATTGTACATAAATCAGATGAACATTTTCATATTAGTCAATAATATTACTGTAATTAATTTAAAAACTAAATAAATTTAGATTCACACACATTTACTCAAGTAAATAAACAGAATTAATGATGGGCAAAAAATCTGAGGAAATCTGGGGAAAATCTGCAGAATTTCGAGCATTTCTAAATTAATGGCCACTTGTAAGTTTGGTCATTACAGAGGCTTGTTCATAATGATGTCATTTATTCGTGCCATGGGAAATGTTGTGCACTGACTGCATATTTCATCACTATGAGAAATAAAAAGAAAACCATATTGCATGGCTAATTTTGAATGATTTATTGAACAGATGTAATCAAAGTGTTTTAACATCATTATCAGGTCTAACAAAGATAGTAGGTCATGATTATATATATATATATATATATATATATATATATATATATATATATATATATATATATATATATATATATATATATATAACATGACAAAATCTTGTCCCAGTTGTAAGATCAACAAATAATGACTTGATCATTTCTAGTTGATCATTTGTGAAAGTGTCAGAAGGTGGATTCCTCTGATGAATCGTCTGTTGATCTGCATCCCAATCATCACCAATACTGCAGAAGACCTACTGGAACCAGCATGGACCAAGATTCTCAGAGAAATCAGTCAAGTTTGGTGAAGGAAACATCATGGTTTGGGGTTACACTCAGTATGGGGGTGTGCGAGAGATCCGCAGAGTGGATGATCAACATCAACAGCCTGAGGTATCAAGACATTTGTGCTGCCCATTACATTACAAACCACAGGAGAGGGACAATTCTCCAGCAGGATAGCGCTCCTCATACTTCAGCCTCCACATCAAAGCTCCTGAAAGCAAAGAAGGTCAAGGTGCTCCAGGATGGCCAGCCCAGTCACCAGATATGAATGTTATTGACCATGTCTGGGGTAAGATGGAGGAGGCATTGAAGGTGAATCCAAAGAATCTTGATGAACTCTGGGAGTCCTGCAGGAACGCTTTCTTTGCCATTGCAGATGACTTTATTAATCAGTGATTTGAGTCATTGCAGAGATGTATGGATGCAGTCCTCCAAGCTCATGATGGAGTCAGACACAATACAGTAAGGCAAAATTCAATAATACTCTCATCTAAATTTACAGAACAGAGAACAAATAATAAAAATAATAAAATAATATAAACTTTATAGATTTACAGTATAACCAAAATCCCTTTTAGAAAATCAAAAACAGTGGTTTAGTTTTAAGGCACTTGCATTTATAAACATAAAATTTCTCCAGAATTTGATTATAATTTAATACAAGTTAAATTTGAACATCTTCCCTTTATAAAGCAAAAATACAAACAGTCCACACACATGCGCCCTGTATCGGGTTTCGCCAGTGTTGGCGCTCTAGCACCGGAAACAATAACGAACATTCGAGTCTACTAGAAGAAGAAGATCGACAAAACATAAACAATAGTTGTCCATAATGCTCTAAACCTGTGTTTATCAAACTGTAAGTACATTCACTTTACTATTTATTAGAGTAAAAGTCTTTTAAATAGTTGTTTAGATTTGGTAAATGAAAACGCTGATACAGATTAACCCGAGTGGGAAACGATTTAAAGTCTTCTCCGATATTGAATCCAATGATGGGTTTATAGTTAAACGTGTAGTAAGTAGCGGTAGTGTTGCAAATCTATGGTTAATAATTAGCTACTATGGTGTAACCACAGCAGACATCTTGTAACCACAAATTAACCATGGTTTTGCAACACTAAGCAGTTTACTGTGGTGTTTTCAGTAAAATTGTGGTTATAAAAATAGTAGTAAGTGAAATAAATAAGTTTATTATGCTCTTGGCATAATAAAACCATGGCAATTTTCATAAATTATGATTGCAAAATGATTACAAATTAATGTATGGTGAACAATCAGTAATTTGTCAAGATAACAGATTGTTTTAACTATATTTCATGTAGTTTACCCTGGTAAATAAATGGTGCAATAGGCATGTTTATTTATATAGCACACTTTTTAGACGATTAATAATTGCTATTAATAGAATATTATTAATAATTCAGAGTGTTTTACATAAACAGGATGATTAAATTAATCATAAAACAACCACGCAATAAGTAAATTGCATATAAAAACAACAAATAAAATTTAAAACTGATTAAAAATGTATTAAGACAGATTTAAATTAAATTTAAAAGGATCCCCTCGCAGCAAGAAGCTTGCTGGTTCGAGCCTTAACTGGCTCAGTTGGCGTTTCTGATTGGAGTGTTGGTGTGGGTTTCCTCCGGGTGCTCCGGTTTCCCCCACAGTCCAAAGAAATGCGCTATAGGGGAATTGATGAACTAAATTGGTCATAGTGTATAAGTGTAGTGTGAATGAGTGTGTATGGGTGTTTCCCAGTCCTGGGTTGCAGCTGGAAGGGCATCCACTGTGTAAAACATATGCGGGAATAGTTGGCGGTTCATTCCGCTGTGGCAAATAATAAATAAGGGACTTGTTTAATCAAAAGTAATTAGCATTTAAACTGAAACTGCTATTTAAATGCTGAGGAATATTCTCATCTTACCACAGCTGAAGAAGCAGCAAACTGGAGGAATTACAGCAGGAGAAACAGCTGACATACTATAGTAAAGATGGAGATAAAAGAAGAACCCTGCAGAATAAAAGAGGAAGAGTCGGAGGAGCTAATAGGTTTGTGTTTTACTTCATTATCTTTAATGACAGATGAGGAACATTAATATTAGCACCAAATGAACTGCAATTTCATCTTTAAGTCTTAATGTATTATTTTGATTTTAGACCCACCTGAGATGACCGACGACAAAAATCATATCATAAAAGATGAAAACGCGCTAACAAAAGCTGAAGTCAAAGGATCTCTCGGCTGCTCTGAGTGTGGGAAGAGTTTCAAGCACGAATCAAAACTCAAAATACACACGAGGATTCACACCGGAGAAAGACCGTTCACCTGCTCCCACTGCGGGAAGACCTTTGTTTACAAACAAGACCTGAGTGTGCATAACAGAACGCACACCGGAGAGGTAGAAACGTTCGCGTGCGCTCGGTGTGGAAAGGGTTACACGAATAAATCCAAACTCAAAAGACACATGCGGGTTCACACTGGAGAGAGACCCTTCATATGCAGCCACTGCGGAAAGACTTACATTTACAAAGAAGATCTGAGTGTGCACATGAGGATTCACACCGGAGAGAAAACCCTGGCGTGCACTCAATGTGGGAAGAGTTTCATCCATAAAGGGCACTTAAAAGTGCACATGAGGGTTCACACTGAGGAAAAGCTGTTTTCGTGCGCTGAATGCGGGAAGAGTTTCAAATACAAAAGCGTCCTCAATAATCACATGCGCACTCACGTCGGAGTGAAGTCGTTTAGCTGCGATCGGTGCGGTAAATCTTTCATGATGTCGTCCAATTTGAGCGCACACCTCCGAGTGCATTCTGAAGTGAAGCCGTACATCTGCACTTTTTGCGGAAAGAGTTTCGTGCATCTGAATAACTTAAAGATTCACCAGAGCGTTCACACTGGAGTGAAACCGTATATGTGTTTTGACTGCGGGAAGACCTTCAGTTCATCCACCAACCTTAAAATACACCAGAGGATTCACACCGGAGAGAAGCCCTACAAGTGTGCTGACTGCGAGAAGAGCTTCACTAACTCGTCAGCATTGAAAGCTCATCAGAGAGTTCACACTGGGGAAAAGCCGTATCAGTGTTTGTCATGCGGGAAGAGCTTTGCTCAGTTTTATAATCTACAGACTCACGAGAAGAAGCATAACATTGCAGACAGTTGAGCAGCGTTCATGCTGAGATACAGCACTTGCAAGTCATTTGCAAGTAACTCCTTAAATGGGTTTTAACACAGGGCTGCACGGTATTGTTGGTGAGTATTGCGATAACAAAATGTCTCACAACAGTGGTCCTTGTAGGGGTAGTGTACAGTTTAACCCAAAGAATGACCAGTCTGGTAGATGACGAAGAGCCGGAGTCAGAGATTTAAATAAATAAATGAAGTTTACTGAAGATAGTTTGCAGTTACATCAGCAGAAGCCAGCTTCAACACTCCCAATGAGTTCCTAGGCCCAGTGGCGTAGCGGACGGGCACGCACCACGGGGGGCCCCGCGTGATTCGGGGGCCCCACGTCGTCGCGATTTTTCAATAATTGAAAATCCATGAACCGCAATAATCAAACTCTTGGGAACAACTGTGGTCGGAACCAAAGTTCACAGGTCTGTGTTTTCTGAACTCCTCTCAAGCGGTGGACTACTTCATTCTGATTGCTTGCCGCCGAACCACGTCATAGCCAATGAAGACGCGCTGCTGTTTCTCGCCGCCGGTTCTCGTTAAAAAATTAATGACTTCTAGCTACTTTGATGCTCTCGCCTCTTTCGGTTTGTGATCGCTCCTCAGTTTGTGAAGGCTTCCCCGCGTTGTCGCTCCACTCCGCCTACTGTCCCCGCTCCTCAATTTGTGACATAGATATATACACTATATATCGCATAGGGACCCTGAGCATGCGTCAATAGCGCCGCCACATTGGTACAGTGCTCCCAGGACAAATGTCATTCAACCGCACTAGTCAAGACAGTGTTATTACGTGAAGATGCGGGACTTTAGCGCTGTCTACGAGTGTAGTAACGAGCAAGCAAAGCAAACAAAGCACAAAGGCAGAACATTTCATTGGTAATATTAAGTTTTTTTCTGTTTTTGTATGTTCTGAACTTTTGTGCTAATCAGGTCACGTTATTGATGATAACAGTCACTTACTGCAATCACCATACGGCAAAGCAGCTCCAACTCGCACTAAACACTCGGCTTATGCTAGTTTTGTTGAATAAAATCAGCAAACAATGCAAAAGAAATATGAAAACGAGATGCTGCGCTGCCAGAAACTTGTATTATTGTCGGCTAACGTTAGTGAAAGAGTCGTTCGGGGGATTCATTCACAAACGAATCGCTCCCTTCGTCAGTATGAGAAGTGAAAGCAGGAGAGGAGCTGTGTTTCAGGACATGATTAGATCAAATTTAACAGGGAGGGTGAATAGTACATTTCTGTACACACAAACACAAGCTTTTTGCCAGGAATGCCCGTGCGGTCACTGATCCATCAATGTAGAAAAGTGATGTCAAATTATAATTTTCATAATAAAACAAAAATTGCATACTAACATCCAGGAAAACTCCCGATCATAGATATATGTGTATATCTCTGGCTCTGCCCCCTCACCCCCTTTAACTGGGGGCTCCATCGGTGATCCCTGCAGGGGGGCCTCCGCATTTTGCGCTACGCCACTGCCTAGGCCGCTCTGCTCACAATCACCAATCAATAACAATTATACTCACACATAAAGTCATTAACTGCGTCATACATATAGGTGTTCGAGCCTGATTGGTTAAAACACAGATAGACTAGGAACATTTCCACGTGGGGTTCCACATGTGTACAATTCTAAACAATATCTAAGCATTAACGTCAGACATGGCTTGTTTCCACTGACTGCACAGGTCGCTCGCATATCATATGAAAAGCACTTCTCACAAAACAGATGCTTTACACACATAAATACTTCTGTTTATATGTTTATTACTAACTTTTCTATAAACAGGAGTTGTTTATAACTGCAGATCAATGATATAGCCTACTGTATCGTCTATAATTATATTAAATAAATAAATAAATGAACATATATGAACACATACAGACCCTTACAGTCTCCGATATGTTACCAACTACAGAAGAACTACACACAGCAGACATTTCGTCGTTAATTAGGTTCAAAACAACACAAAGTATAGCCTACAGTCATGTGAGAAAACCTCTCATCTGTGTCTGTAATCTTCATCAGCACATGAAGCCTCTGTTAGAGAGTCATTCCATCATTCCCAGTTCATATTAGTCCAAAAGGTGATAATAAAGATTAAAACAAGGCAGTTTGTTCACGTTAGCTGAAGAAATAACGTGCTCCCTGGCTTTTCATTTTTTTCCTGCGCTCCACTCTTGCGTTTGTCCTTTTCTTTCTGAATGTGTCTCTCGCGTTTGTCAGCTTCTCACAGGATCGGGTTTCCAAAGCACGTCAATAATCAAATGCATGTTATTATTATCAGATCAAGAAGTTTGTTATTTCAGATAGAGACGCGCGGCGAGCGCAAGAAAAACAGCAAAACCACTCGGGCTTCAGACTGGCTTGTTAAAAACTACGCGGCACAGGGTGAATCTGCTCTTCTCCATGGCTTTGTGGCTGTTTATCATGACGACGGCAGGGTTTGTTTGCAGGATCGACCATGGCTGCATATGTATGTATAATTCCGCTGTAATCTCTCGCTGTGTATTTCAAACATGGCGGGTCCTTTGTTTACATTCTGGCTTGTTGAGTCTACGAATGACGTATCTCTGTAAACCAATAGCGTTCAGCTGCTCGTGTAGCTCCACCTTTTGGGACCCTTTCTGCAGTTTGGGACCCTTTCGAAAGGGTCCCGAAAAAGTGGTACGGTACGGTTTGGTTCGGTACGCCTTTTGACAGTGGAAACGGCCATAAAAGCGTACCAAACCAAACCGTACCGTACCACTCAGTGGAAACGGGCCATTAGACTGATTAGAGCTGACTCCAGTCCTGTGAAACGGATCAACAATCAAATAGAACACACACACACAAAGTATAATCTGTTTCTTATCCAAGGCTGAGAGTACTGTCAGCCATCTTTATCAAAACTGGTCAAAAACCGGTATAATCTACATTCAGGCAGTTATATTCTTACTACACAGTCTATTTTGAATAAAAAGTAGAATCACTTTAAAATAATTAACCGTAAAAACAGTAAAATCAATTTTAGACACTATTAACTCATAGAAATAACAATAGAAACAGTTGAGTCCAGTCTTCAGCCATCAGTTCCACTCAAGGTCTCCGTGACCTCTGACCTAGATTGGTGGCTTCTGAAAATAGTTATAAAGAGACAGGCAAATGCACTGAACATTCTCATATTAAGCAATGTGGTAACTTATTCATTAATTAAAATCAATTCACAGTTAAATACTGAGAAACAGGATGATGAAAAGGATAAACGTTGTTCCATGATGAGACGGATTGGAAAGCAGAAATCCGAATCCTTCATCCTCAACTGTTTTATTATCAAGGACCGGTCAACGATGGGGATGGAGATTACGTAGATTGTTAGAAGACCATCAATCGTTTTCTCAGAGGATGACAAGCTGACAAAACACTACTCCAACTACGATACCGTGCCCATAATTTATGCATGAAATTTTGAATTAAAAGCACTATATGAAAGATTTTATTCATTCAAATACTTAAAACCCACCTGAACTGTGTTATATTTACATTAAATATTGGAATTTAAATATAAGAAAATTACAGTTTTAGTCATTTCCATAAATCATGTTGTTATCAGTCTCCATATAATGAATAAATGTACTTTAGTATGAAATTAGGAAGCTTAGCATTGCATCCATCATGACCTATTGACAAATAAAGAATGTTTAAAGCTAAAAACCATGAATATATATATTTTTATTTATTTATGTGTCATGTTTATTTCTCATAAATAGATGCTGATGAAACTGTTTTAAATTAAATACTGTCTAGAGGTTATTATTGGCAATTTAAGCTGTATTGTGCATTTAGTTTTTATCTCTAATAAGTTATTTGGTAATTAATGAAACACACTGTTATCTTATTGCTATTATCCTACGTTGTGTGTACTTTTTAAAGAACTAGTCCACCCAAAATTAATAATTTATTTACTGTTTATTTACTCTCAACTGATTCCAAATCTTTAAGAGTTTCTTCTGTTGAACACAAAAGAAGACATTTTGAGGAATGCTGGAAATCTGTAGCCATCCAATAGTAGCAAAAACAAATACTGTGGAAGACAATGGGTACAGGTTTCCGTCTTTCTTCAAAATATCTTCTTTTGTCTTCAACAGAAGAAAGAAACTCAGGTTTGGAACCACTTGAGAGTAAATAATAGTGAGTAAATTTTCATTTTTAGGTGAACTATCCCTTTAATTGTGTTGTTATTGTTGCTGTTAAATCGAAATGTTTAAAATTACCTTCATAAAATTGTCAACAAAAACAACAAATCACTATATTAATGAAGAAGCAGTTTCTTGATGTGAGCATCCACAGCTGTATTCCTTCTCACTTAACCATTTCCACCAGAGGTGGCGCTCGAACACCGGGACGAACATCCTCGTGTACGAGAAGAAGAGTATCAACAACAGAAGTGGAGCGTAGCAGTTCATAAGTCTGCTTTATGTATGATAACGTAAGTACATTCACTTTATAATGTATTAGTAAAGCTTTTTAAATCGTTTATTAATTTTGGTGGATTAAAACAGCACCAGCCGAGTGTATAACGATCAAAATTGCTTTCAAAACTTAGTCATGTTGTAGGTTTCATCCATGAAGCACACGACTAACGTTACTAACAGTTCACGACACGATTATTTAACGCTATATTGAGCTTGTTTTACATATAACACGTTATTTCTGACAAACCATACCACATTTTGAGTTGAAGTGTTTGTTCTTGGGGCTGCACGATATTGGAAAGATCTAGCATTACGATATTTTGTTATTCTGCGATACACACTCACCGGCCACTTTATTAGGTACACCTTTCCAGCAGCTAAGAACAGAAAACTGAGGCTCACCAAAATTGGACAGTAGAAGATTAGAGAAACGTTGCCTGCTCTGATGAGTCTCCATTTCTGCTGCCACATTCAGATGGTCGGCTCAGAATTTGGCATCAACATGAAAGCATGGATACATGTTCAGGGTTCAGGCTGGTGGTGGTGGTATAATGGTGTAGGGAAAATTTCTTGGCACACTTTGGGTTCATTAGTACCAACTGAGCATCAACGCCACAGCCTACCTGAGTATTGTTGCTGACCATGTCCATCCCATTATGAGCACAGTGTCTCCATCTTCTGATGGCTACTTCCAGCAGGATAACGCAGCATGTCATAAAGCGTGAATCATCTCAGACTGGTTTCTTGAACATGACGATAAGTTCACTGTACTCAAATGGCCTCCACAGTCACCAGCTCTCAATCCAATAGAGCACCTTTGGGATGTGGTGGAACGGGAGATTGACATCATGGATGTGCAGCCGACAAATCTGCAGCAACTGTGTGATGCTATCATGTCAATATGGAGCAAAATCTCTGAGGAATATTTCCAGTAGCTTGCTAAATCTATGCCACGAAGGATTAAAGCAGTTCTGATGGCAAAAGAGGTCCAACCTGGTACTAGTAAAGTGTATATTCACCATATGAATTAAATTCTTCTAAAAACATCTCTATTTGCAAAGAATTGATCATTTTAGATGGATTGGTTTAGACAAGGTTACAATTAAAACAAACAGTGTTTTACCGTTTTTAAGTCTAACAGTATTCAGATACATCAATTTAAACATAAAAAATAATTCACTCAGAATAATCCATATTAAAGTTGTTAATAGTACAATTTCCTATGCCTGAATGCTTTTAAAAATCCTCATACAGTCACAGGCCTCAAAAAAAAAACAATGTAATGTATTTATATAGCGCATTTATCATGTATGGCCATTCACCTGAAGCACTTCACAACCATGAGGGGGGTCTCTCCACACCTCCACCAGTGTGCAGCTTGCACTTGGATGATGCGACGGCAGCCACAGGACAATGGCACCAGTGCTTCAACACACACCAGCTATAGGGGGAGTGGAGAGACAGAGATAGAGCCAATTCAGTGGATGAAAATGATTGGGGGGTAAGGGATGATGGAGGGAATTTGGTTAGGACACTGAGGTTACTCCACTACTCTTTACCAGAAATGCCATGGTATTATTAATGACCACAGAGGGTCAGGACCACGGTTTATTGTCTCATCCGAAAGACATATGCAAATAATTCATTATAACAGAGTCAACATTGCAAATCTTGTGATGTGACTATTGTGACTAATCACATTATGATATCGACGTTAAACCAACATATTGTGCATATGTATATATTATATATACTTGCTAATCTGAAGTAGGGATGCAACGATTATAGATTTTGGTTGTACGTGGAATAATCACGATTATCACGATTATTATGCATTCATTAAATTCAAAACACTACTCGTTTATAAAAATCACATGAAAACTCCTCGTATTTAAAGTGTTTATTGCTGCTCAGAAGCTAAATAATCAGCACAAACTAATAATAAAAAACAAACAATAGTCCGTTTCTCTTTGGATTTAAAAATAAGTGAAAAACGTTTGTCTAAAAGCCACTTTTGATTAACTATATTACAAAATTGTTTGGTATTTTTATTTAATTTATTTCTATTTGGAGTAGAAATGTGTATATTCTATACAAAGTATGAAGCTTGTGACATGATTTGCGGTGCGCCTGTGGCATTTAATGTTTTGCCTGGAAAGCTTGATCGCGTTGCATCATTGCCAATACGTGCACGCAAATCCCGGGCCTCTGTTGAAAATAACGAACTTGTGAGTAGAAATGTGTATATTCTATACCAGGGGTGCTCAGTCCTGTTCCTGGAGATCTACCTTCCTGTACAGTTTAGCTCCTACCCTGATTAAACCCACCTGAACCAATTAATTGGGACCTGAAATCCACTTGATAATTACAGACAGGTGTGTTTTATAAGGGTTGCAACTGAAATCTGAAGGAAGGTAGATCTCCAGGAACAGGATTGGCCACCCCTGTTCTATACAAAGTATAAAGCTTGTCACGTGATCAGCGGTGCGCCTGTGGCATTTATTGTTTTGCCTGGAAAGCTTGATCGCGTTGCATCATTGCCGATACGTGCATATAAATCCTGTGCCTCTGTTGAAAATAACGAACTTGTGCAAGCAAAAGATGGTATATGTGAAGAGCTCTTAGTTAATAGCCTCAGCCATAGTTAAATTCAGCGTTTAATCGAGTGCGTGTGGGTATTTGCCTCGGTGTACATGCTCTAAACTTTAAACAAGCGCACAGTTGGCACAACTTTGCTTATTTGCAGCTGTAGGGATAGTTTACAGTTTAACCCAAAGAATGAGCAGTCTGGTAGATGAAGAAGAGCCGGAGTCAGAGATTTAAAAAAAATAAATTAAGTTTGCTCAAGATAGTTTGCAGTTTCATTCGCAGAAGCCAGCTTCAACACTCTCAATGAGTTCCTAGGCCGCTCTGCTCACAGTTTCAACAATCGAACAATTATACTCTTTACACAAGTCCAGAAAGGGTGGGATCCAGGTAAACAGTTCTCATTGGTTACAACAGAAATAGACAATTCTAAATACATGCGTCAAAGAAACATAGTATCTACTTCCAGATATGGATGGCCTTAGTGTGTGCGTCAAAGAAAGCATTGTATCTGTCTCTAGATATGGATGGCGACCTGATGCCTAGAGGTGAGGTCGCCCTAAGTTATTAGGAGCTGATCTCCGACCTGTAAAAAGCTAAACCAGGAACACAATAGACACAAACGACCATCTGTGTTAAAGACTCAAGGATGTTTCTTGTACGTTCAGCTGTGTTATCAGGCTGGTTCAAGACTGTTTCCATCAACAGTCTGCTGTGATATCTTTACTACACACAGTCTGTCTCCACACAAAAAGGAATTACCTTAAAATTAATTATACTCAAAAACAGATCAGTCAAACAGCTATAATATTACAGGCAATATCAGGACAACTAGAACAGGTGTCTTCTTCTCCTCTGTATGGGGAGAGAGAGAGAGATCTCCGTGACCTATGACCTGGTTTGTGTGTTTCCTGAAAACAAAGTTAAAATAGACAGGCAAAAAGAGAAACAAGGACATAGAACATTCTTACAGTAAGCAGTTTTAACTTATTCATTAGTTAAAATCAATTCACAGTTAAATACTGAGAAACAGGATGATGAAAAGGATAAACGTTGTTCCATGATGAGACGGATTGGAAAGCAGAAATCCGAATCCTTCACACCTGTTTTGAGTGTAAAGAATTGTTTACGATTAATTAAACTTGAATTAAATCGCGGTTAATAGTGAAACCGTTTAATCGTTGCATCCCTAATCTGAAGCAGATAACGAGATTTTAAATGCTGAGGAATATTCCTATCTTCCCAAAGTTAAAGAAGTAAACGGGAAGAACAGCTGACGTACTGTAGTGAAGATGGAGATTGATGAAAAACCCTGCAGAGTAAAAGACAAACAGACAGAGGAGCAAACAGGTCAGTGTTTTACTTCTTTCTCTTTAATAGCTCACAATAAACATGGACACCAATGCTGACATATATTAATGCATCTGGAAACTAGTAAAGTCTGAGACTGAGGAAGAACCCTGCAGAATAAAAGATGAAGAAACAGAGGAACAAATAGGTTTGTGTTCATTTTATTTCTCCTAAATGACTGACAATGACATAAAAAACTGATATTTATTTATGCATTTGTAAATAGGACATTTTGAGGAAAAACCCTGCAGGAGAAAAGATGAAGAGACAGAGGAGTTAATAGGTTTGTGTTTGCATTTACTGTTTTATAAGGTGTTTTCATGATTCTCTTCAACTCAAGTTTATTGTTTTCACAATAATCATTGTTCCAAAGCAGCTTCACGAAAGGTTATTACATTACAGTCATTATTAGAAAGGTTAAGGAGTTGTGTGAAGGGTTGGACAGTATATAAATGTAGTATGGTGTTCTTCCAAAAGAACTAATATTAACATTTGCTAATAACACAATGAGAAGTGTATTTGTGATTATTAATGAGTGATAAGTCGCATTATGATGATCACTAACATTTAATAATGTCTCTGAAAGCTGTAAAGATGGAGATTAAGCAAGAAACCTGGAGATCAAAAGATGAAGAGACGGAGGAACAAATAGGTTTGTGTTGCCCTTAACTATTTTTCTAAGATAAATCTGTAAATTTGCCCTGTGTAAGTCTGAAAATTCTTTCATAGTGATCCTAAGCAGTCCTAAATTTGACTTGAATTTGGAAATATGATACCCACATGAGGCTATATGTTATATACACTCACCGGCCACTTTATTAGGTACACCTGTCCAACTGCTCGTTAACAAAAATTTCTAATCACATAGCAGCAGCTCAGTGCATTTAGGCATGTAGACAATGGACAAGATGAAGTGAGCATCAGAATTGGAAAGAAAGAGGACTTAAGAGACTTTGAACGTGGCATGGTTGTTGGTGCCAGACGGGCTGCTCTGAGGATTTTAGAAACTGCATATCTACTGGGATTTTCATTCACAACCATCTCTAGGGTTTACAGAGAATGCTCCGACAAAGAGGAAATATCCAGTGAGGGGCAGTTCTGTGGGCGCAAATGCCTTGTTGATGCCAGAGGTCAGAGGAGAATGGCCAGACTGGTTCCAGCTGATAGAAAGGCAACAGTAACTCAAATAAGCACTCGCTACAACCGAGCTCTGCAGAAGAGCATCTCTGAACACACAACACGTCCAACCTTGAGGCGGATGGGCTACAGCAGCAGAAGAGCACACCGGGTGCCGCTCCTGTCAGCTAAGAACAGGAAACTGAGGCTACAATTCACACAGGCTCACCAAAACTGGACAATAGAAGATTGGAGAAACGTTGCTGCTCTGATGAGTCTCCATTTCTGCTGACACATTCAGATGGTCGGGTCAGAATTTGGCATCAACAACATGAAAGCATGGATCCATCCTGCCTTGTATCAGCGGTTCAGGCTGGTGGTGGTGGTGTAATGGTGTGGGGGAGATTTTCTTGGCACACTTTGGGTTCATTAGTACCAATTGAGCATCAACGCCACAGCCTACCTGAGTATTGCTGCTGACCATGTCCATCCCTTTATGAGCACAGTGTCTCCATCTTCTGACGGCTACTTCCAGCAGGATAACGCAGCATGTCATAAAGCCTGAATCATCTCAGACTGGTTTCTTGAACATGACGATGAGTTCACTGTACTCAAATGGCCTCCACAGTCACCAGAGCTCAATACAATAGAGCAGCTTTGGGATGTGGTGGAACGGGAGATTCACATCGTGGATGTGCAGCCGACAAATCTGCAGCAACTATGTGATGCTATCATGTCAATATGGAGCAAAATCTCTGAGGAATATTTCCAGTATCTTGTTGAATCTACGTCCATGAAGGATTAAGGCAGCTCTGAAGGCAAAAGGGGGTCCAACCCGCTACTAGTAATGTATACCTAATAAAGTGGCCGGTGATTGTATATCTATCTATTGTTCTAATTTCTCTGCTCTTGTGCCCTGCAGAAGAGGATGAACCCAAACAACCTCATCCTATCACAAATGAAGATGGAAACACAGCCAATTCACAGGAATCCCCGCTTAAAAAGACTTTCTCCTGCGCCGAGTGTGAAAAGACCTACTTGACTAAAGCAGCTCTCAGAGCGCACATGAGAGTCCACGATGGAAAAAAGCCTGAGTTTGCTTGCGCGCAGTGCGAAAAGAGCTACGTAAATCAAGCCGAGCTCAACAGACACATGCAAGCGCACATTGGAGAGAAAAGGTTTGTGTGTAAACAGTGTGGAAAGCGATACCTGCACAAAGCAACACTCAAAGCTCACATGAAAATGCACAATGGCAACAAACCCTACTCCTGCACTCACTGTGACAAACGTTTCGTTTATAAATCCGTGTTAATCGCGCACATGAGCGTTCACGATAAGAAAAGCTCGACCGCACGCTCTCAATGTAATAGCGGTAGCACATGCGATGCTCACTTAAGTGTGCACATGAATAGTCACACTAGAGAGAAGCCGTTCGCATGCAATAAATGTGGGAAGCGCTTCAAATATAAAAACACCCTCCATGAGCATCATAAGCTTCACGCTGGAGCTAAACCGTTCAGCTGCGATCACTGCGATAAAACGTTTATCTGGGCGTCGCAGTTAAGATCCCACCTGAAATATCATGCTGGCGTCAAGTCTCACGTGTGCACTTTCTGCGGGAAAGACTTCCTACAGGTCAGTCACTTAACAGTGCACCAGAGGATTCACACTGGAGAGAGACCTTTCAAGTGTTCATACTGTGAGAAGGGTTTCACCAGCTCGTCCATACTGAAGAATCATCAGAAGGTTCACACTAGAGAAAAGCAGTACCAGTGCACGCACTGTGGCAGGTGTTTCTCGTACTTATCAGTGTTTAAATCCCATCTGAAAACTCACGAGGGAGAGAAACCGTACAAGTGTGCGCACTGCGAGAAGAGCTTCACGTATTCGTCAGCTTTGAAAGTTCACGAGAGAGTTCACGTCGAGGAAAAACCCTATCGGTGCACGACATGTGGGAAGGGTTTTGCTGACTTTCATGATCTACATGCTCACGAGAAGAAACATTCCCTAAGTGAGCGGAGTTCCCTTGTAGACTACTCGAGTGCTAGAAAACACATGTAGAAATCTGATATATATCAAAACTCATTTTATGCATGGTGGCTCACTGCAAAAAGGTCGCTGGTTTGAGTCCCGGCTAGGTCGGTTGTCATTTCGGTGTGGAGTTTGCATGTTCTCCCCATGTTGGTGTGGGTTTCCTCTGGGTGCTCCGGTTTACCCCACAGTCCAAACACATGCGCTATAGGGAAACTGATGAGCTAAATTGGCCATAGTGTATGTGTGAATGGTTGTGTATGGGTGTTTCCCAGTATTGGGTTGAAGCTGGAAGGGTTTTTGCTGTGTAAATCATATGCTGGAATAGTTGGTGGTTCATTCTGCTGTGGCAACCCCTAATTAGTAAAGGGACTAAGCCAAGAATAAAATAAATGAATGGCTGTAGTGGATAAGTGTGTGTGAATGAGTGTGTATGGGTGTTTTCCAGTACTGCGTTGGAGCTAGAAGGGCAACTGCTGTGTAAAGCATGTGCTGGAATAGTTGGTGGTTCATTCTGCTGTGGAAACCCCTGATTAGTAAAGGGACTAAGCCAAAAATGAAATTAATAAATGGCTGTAGTGTATAAGTGTGTGTATGGGTGTTTCCCAGTACTGGGTTGCAGCTAGAAGGGTATCTGCTGTGTAAAACATGTGCTGGAATAGTTGGTGGTTCATTCTGCTGTGGAAACCCCTGATTAGTAAAGGGACTAAGCCAAAAATGAAATTAATGAATGGATGTAGTGTATAAGTGTGTGTGTATGGGTGTTTCCCAGTACTGGGTTGCAGCTAGAAGGGCATTTGCTGTGTAAAACATATGCTGGAATAGTTGGTGGGTCATTCTGCTGTGGCGACCCCTAATTAGTAAAGGGACTAAGCCAAAAATAAAATGAATGAATGGCTGTAGTAGATAAGTGTGTGTGAATGAGTGTGTATGGGCGTTTCCCAGTACTGGGTTGCAGCTAGAAGGGCAACTGCTGTGTAAAACGTGCTGGAATAGTTGGTGGTTCATTCTGCAGTGGAACCCCCTGATTAGTAAAGGGACTAAGCCAAAAATAAAATGAATGAATGGCTGTAGTGTATAAGTCTGTGTGAATGAGTGTGTATGGGTGTTTCCCAGTACTGGGTTGCAGCTGGAAGGGCATTTGCTGTGTAAAACATGCTGAAATAGTTGGTGGTTCGTTCTGCTGTGGAAACCCCTGATTAGTAAAGGGACTAAGCCAAAAATAAAATGAATAAATGGCTGTAGTGGATGAGTGTGTGTGAATGAGTGTTTGTTTCTTTTTGAAATATTTCCCAAATTATGTTTAGCAGATTCAGGAAATGTTCACAGTATGTCTGATAATATTTTTTCTTCAGGAGAAAGTCCTAATTGTTTCATTTCGCCTAGAATAAAAGCAGGTATTAATTTTTTAAACACCCCTTTAAGGAAAATATTATTAGCTCCTTTATATATTTTTCCATTGGTCTACAGCAGGAGTTCTCAACTGGTTTGGCCATGGGACCCAACACCTTTACATGGTCATCAAGCCCCGACCCAAATTTTTAGGCACTATAATATAATTTTAGGAATTGTAATTAATTAGTATTTATTTGTTAACACACAAGTAGTGACAGATAAATCATAAGAAAATCACCAAGACTTACAAATACACAATATTTTATTGCTGTCATTTAACAAAATGTTTGCACTTTTGTGATGCTTTCAGCTCTTGGGAGTCGTCTTAGAAAACGGTCCACAGGTTTGTCCTTGAAACTGGGATGTTTGGTTTCTAAACGTCGTTTTAGTTTAGAAGGTTTCATGCTCTCTTGTGAAAGCACCTCACTACATATGACACACTGAGCTTTTAAGCCTTTTTTGTCATCAATATATGTAAATCCATACTTTACATATTCAGGGTTGTACTTGTGCTTCGATATATTTCTTGATATAATGAAATTAAATTTCACATGTCAAACAGTACGGTAGTTGTGTGCACATTTCAAAATAAAAGTCTAGTATAAGCTAAATATAAGTTAAAATCTAAACTTTTGTTGTTTTATTGATCACACACTCCACAACCCACTGAAAATGTTCCTGCGACCCTCTTTTGGGTCACGACCCTCCAGTTGAGAAACACTGGTCTACAGAACGAACCATTGTTATACAATAACTTGCCTAATTACCTCATAGATATATACACTAGATATCGCATAGGGACCCTGAGCATGCGTCAATAGCGCCGCCACATTGGTACAGTGCTCCCAGGACAAATGTCATTCAACCGCACTAGTCAAGACAGTGTTATTACGTGAAGATGCGGGACTTTAGCGCGGTCTACGAGTGTAGTAACGAGCAAACAAAGAAAACAAATCACAAAGGCAGAACATTTCATAGGTAATAATACGTTTTTTTCTGTTTTTGTATGTTCTGAACTTTTGTGCTAATCAGGTCACGTTATTGATGATAACAGTCACTTACTGCATTCACCATACGGCAAAGCAGCTCCAACTCGCAATAAACACTCGGCTTATGCTAGTTTTGTTGAATAAAATCAGCAAACAATGCAAAAGAAATATGACAACGAGACGCTGCGCTGCCAGAAACTTTATTATTGTCGACTAGCGTTAGTGAAAGAGTCGTTCGGGGGATTCATTCACAAACGAATCGCTCTCTCCGTCAGTATGAGAAGTGAAAGCAGGAGAGGAGCTGTGTTTCAGGACATGATTAGATTAAATTTAACAGGGAGGGTGAATAGTACATTTCAGTACACACAAACACAAGCTTTTTGTCAGGAATGCCCGTGAGATCACTGATCCATCAATGTAGAAAAGTGATGTCAAATGATACTTTTCGTAATTAGAAAAAAAATTACATACTAACATCCAGGAAAACTCCCGATCACAGATATATGTGTATATGTGTATATCTCTGGCTTTGGATGGCCACAGTCCTCCACTGTACCTTGGTCCCGCATTCATTTAAAAGGAGCGCTACCCTGTAGCAAGATGGCGGCGCTATTGACGCATTCTGTCCAATAGACAACAGTAGGCCAGGCGACATCTAGTGTATATATCTATGAATTACCCTAACCTGCCTAGTTAACCTAATTAACCTAGTGAAGCCTTTAAATGTCACTTTAAGCTGTATAGAAGTGTCTTGAAGAATATCTAGTAAAATATTATGTGCTGTCATCATAAGAAAGACAAAATAAATCAGTTCTTAGAGATTATTAAAACTATTATGTTTAGAAATGTGTTGAAAAAATCTTCTCTCTGTTAAACAGAAATATGGGGAAAAAAATAAACAGGAGGGCTAATAGTTCAAGGGGTCTAATAATTCTGACTGTGTGTACAACATACACAGCTCTGCAAATCATTCATGAAATAGGTCAATTTAGAAGACATTTTCAGAAAAAAAAAGAGATTTAAAATGTTTTATAAACAGAGCTTGACAGATTTTGTTCAACATTATTGTATGTAATGACTCCAGTAATGAAACGAGGATTATTAGTTTTACATGGATTGACTATTCAGCATTCACAAGTTTAGTTCATTTTGTCTGACATGACATAAGCAGATGATAATGTTATAAATAGCAGAGTTGTTGTATGTGATGCATGTCCAAAAGCATTCGCAATTTGTTGGGAGGAATGAGAAACTGCTACTGTTATGTGCACAAATGACTAATTGTTTTGAGAAATGCGTTAACTCGTGCAAATGCACCAAAGCCACTGAGAAAAACTAACGAAATTTAAATCATAGAGCAGTGGTTCTCAAACTGTGGTACGTGGTACACGAGTTTCCTTCTAGTGGTACGCGGAGGATAGAGATGCGCGGATGGCGGTTACAGCCGCGGAATCCGCGGATCGGGCGGATGACGTGACGAAAAATAAAATTTTAATTAAATTCGGGCGGGTGGTGGGCGGTTGTACTGTTTTTGTACACATAGCTGGCGCACCAACGAAAAAGCCTAGGACTGACTTCACAGAATGGGAGGAGGAATCGGATGCACTAATTCTGGATGAAGTACAGAAGTATTCCTTTACAAACTTCCGTATAGACGGATCAGCAGAGGAAAATCTACTTTCCTTTTAGGAGAAACAAGGCCAGTCATTCCCACGACTACAGCACCTTGCCAAGAGAATTCTATGCATTCCAGCAATAAGTGCTGCGAGCGAGCGCTCCTTCAGTGCAGCCGGGCGCATTGAGGCGAGGCGCTCTCGTCTGAATGTTGAAATAATGTGTCAAAATGCGTTTTCTATTAGGCTACAATAATAGTAAAAAAAATGTACAGTACAGTGCGTTTAATTTAGGCTATTTATTTATTTTTGTCCCTGTGCGCCAATTGGAGACGGAGTTCACTGCTGATATTCTGAGAGCTTTATAGGGGTGCTTCTCATTTCTTATTTGTGTATCCTTGTTTCCTTTCCTTGCTTTCTTTCCTCGTCTTTCCACCCCTATAGGATGCGAGGGAAGGACGCAAGGAAAAGACTCAAGGACCGAGGAATTGAATCAAGTGAAACGACACGTCCTCGTATTGTTTAGCGTCACTTCAAAGCGTCAATTAATGCTGCATTGACCCCCAAGTGGTGCTCGCTGCAGAGCCATTTGTGGAGAGCTGAGCTCCATTGACTTGCACGTTTGAATTAACTGCATGTCATTAAAGTCATTCTCTATTTTCTAATAATCAATAAAGAAACATTCATTTAATAATAAAAAGGAATAAGCCGTTCAAATAAAGAGCTCAGTCAGCAGATGGCGGGCGGGTGCGGTTTTAAAATCTGGTTGAAAATGTGAGTGCGGATGGATGGCGGACGGATGATGAGTTTTGTGATGCGGTTGCGGATGAAATAATAGCCCATCCGCGCATCTCTAGCGGAGGAATCAAATATGTCATGTGTACATGCTACATATATTTCAAAATTGAACAAAATGACTTGTATATAAATATATGATGCCATATAGCCTATATCCAGGCAACATTTCCAGGTGTTGATGAGTTGGCTACTTTTAAGTACAGGATTATTTTTTTCTTTATTCTTTTTTTAAGAACAGTAACCTACAATTTTAAACTTTTAAAAGAACATTTTAATTTAAATGTTGACGTTTTTAGGAGTTTTTTTTTTTATACAAATAAGCACAGTACAGTGTTAATGTTTAGACTATTTATAATGTTTAAAGTGACTGACAATAATGAATATTCTTAATAGTAGGAATTAATCTGCCACATTATTGAACTGTGCAAAGCTGTAGCTGCTTTACTGGGCCAACTACGCTACTGAATTTCAATACTGCTCTGTATGGTGGTACTTGGAGAGACAATTGTTTTCTGAGGTGGTACTTGATGAAGTGGGTAAGAAATGTTTGCATCAGTTTCCGCCAGTGGTGGCGCTCGAGCAACGGAAACAAAGACGAACATCCGAGTCTAAGAGAAGAAGAAGAGCGCGGAAAGAATGTAAACATTAGAAGGAAAACATCCGTTCATGCGGCTCTAAATATACTGCCTTTATCACACTAAGTGCATTCACTTTATTAATTATAAGGAGAGATCTTTAAAAATAACCAGTGGATTAAAACGCTACCAGACCGAGTGGATAACGATTACGATTCCTCAAATCACGGATTCTGTCAGCTGGTAAATAAACCCATGTTGTAGGTTTGGTCAAACAGGAGGAATTACTGCAGGAGAATCAACTGACATACTATAGTAATGATGGAGACTGAGGAGGAAACCTGCAGAATAAAAGATGAAGAGACAGAAGAACGAATAGGTTTGTGTTTTAATTCTTACTATTTAATAACTGACCATTAACATTATAACTGACATTTATTAATGCATCTGCAACTAGTAAAGTTTGAGTTAAAGAAAGAGCCCTGCGGAATAAAACATGAAGATACGGAGGAACAAATAGGTTTGTGATTTTCATAATACTCTTCATTGACTGAAAAGAAATGTTATGATGCACACTGACGTTTATTGTTACTCCTGAAACCAGTGAAGGTGGAGGTTTCGGATGAACACTGCAGGATAAAAGATGAAGAGACAGAGGAACAAATAGGTTGGTGTTTATTTCTTGCTGTTTAATGGCTGACAATGACATTAAAGATTTAGGTAAAGTTAGATTCGCACAATTATTCAGTGACAACTTGTGTCATGCTGCCTTTAACATGGTACTCTCATGGTATTCGCACTGAAATCACATGTAAGTATGACTTCAGAACGACATTAGCACTCTTTAGTTCACCGTGAACTAGGGCTGCACGATATTAGACAAATGTAACACTGCGAACATTTGAATACAGTTTCATCAATGACAAATAGATATCTTGATTTGGTAAGATTTTATAACGTTTGTTACAAATTAAATTAAAAATCCCTAATCAAACAGAGGTTTAACCAAAACGTAACAAGATAACAGGGATTACAAATATATTCCCTGATGCCCGCGCGCTCTCTCTTCCCAAAATATAAACCATAAACGCAACCACTGAGAATTAACAAGAAAATATTATTTATTTACAGAAAATAAAGAGCAAAAATAACAGCGGTAGGGGTTCAGCCACAATAAAAGACAACAAACCAAATTAAATTAATTATAGAAAACTTCCCTGGAACATAGATAAATTGAATACAGAAAACTTACCTCCCTACTAACAACACAGGAGAAAACGAAAATAATAAACAAAAGGCACCAAACCTTCCTCCTATGCTCCAAGTCAGACAGGGAGACAGAAAACCGGGTTTCTCCGGTTAGAATACTTCACATCAGCATCTCACAAAACGCCCTGTAAGGGACATGAGCAACAAACACTCATTTATATCACTCGAGCAATAATATCTCCACAGAGAATAACAAGCGGGGAATCGGAGAGAGCGAGGAACCACTGAATTTTGAGGTTTTAAAAACAGCCGCCACAAATCCAAGCGCCAATCATGAATCTGCTGCATCTGCGAATACTTGGAAATGAGAGAGAGAAAACGCCACACACACACACACACTACATTACAACAGTAACTACTCATAACACGTTAGATTGATTGCATCTCCATGAAATCTAGTAAACAATCTATAAACTTTTTGGGGTGCCCCAACACATTTCTGTTGTAGTCTGTGCTATTTGCAGGAACATTTTCAAAACGCTTAACGTGAAAAAGGCTTGACATGGCTTAATATACCTAAACAAGAAGCGGGGAAAATCCCATTTCTATCAAATTTTACTTTGATCACATGAACTTTGATTTTATGAACAGCCTTTCAACGTTTGGTTTCCCTCGGTTGTTGTAAAGTTATGTTAAGCCTGTCCTTATTATAGACTTTAATGGGGAGAAAACGCTTAACGTGTTATTGTTCACTTTATCTATGGAATTAGGGCCCGTTCTTTTGACAATACTTAGTGCTAATCACAATTAAAGTTTGACAGAAACTTGGGTTTCCATTCCTTTTAAGAGCCAGCTGCGTCGCGCCATAAGCGCATTCGCCATTTACAGGACGTAAAGTAAGTGTAAGTGGAAAAACTGAACATTTCACTAGCAAACAGTTAACAGTTTTTTAACAGAACACTGGTAAACAGAGCATCTACTGCGTGAGAATGAGAGATAATGGATCTACTTTCACTTTTGCTCTTGGATAGGGAAACCTTTACACACAGACATCAATTAGTCTATAAATAATTAATTGCGTTTGTTAAGCGCAAATATTAGTTTCAAAACTATTTCTAAATTCAGTTCTAATTTCCAGCAAACAAATAAATGAACAAAAATAACAAAATGAGCTCAAAACCCTGAGTTATATCCTAAAACACATGCTGCGCCCCATATTGTCTAAAACCTGACAGGTGGACAAATCTAAGCTTGTTTATAATAAAACAAATATAAATATGGATATAATAAATAATACTGCTAATAATAATAACAATATACCAAAGCTAATTGTTATGAATGAACTGAAAAAGCCTCCCGAGATGAAGAAGACATAAAAGCAGTGATTTTTCATATTTATGTAGGCTAGAAAATAATATGTTTTGTAATATTTTAATCCTTTATATTTATATCCTATATCTATTCTTATTATATCCTATATATATCCTTAAATTTTTTCATATGTAAAGATATTTGCCTATTGCTCTCTTGTGTGTATTAAGCAGTGTGTAAGTGAGGCGCAACTCTGCGCTGGAGTTTAGACCGGGTTTGTTTTGTTCTAATGAAAAATCTATTATAGTTTCTCAAAATAGCAACGCGCCAGCGATCCGCCTCAGATGGCCTTTCTTTTTAGACCAGAACGCCTATGGGTGCACATATGAGCGCTAATGCATTTGCTATTTAAACAGCATAGCGCAACGCCTCAAAACGACTCTTGCGCCGAACTGAAACTAGCAAAATACTATTGCACCATGCCTTGCGCCACATTGCGCCGGGTGTATGATAGGGCCCTTAGTATCAAGAGTTCATTTTAATCTATCTCGCGGCCCACCTGCAGAATCGCTGAGGCCCACCGGTTGAGAATCCCTGCTCTAGGCAATACTTCCGGGTTTTTTCACACCTCAGCCTCACTTCGCTTTTAAAATAGTGGCCGCGTGAAATCAGTCTACAGCAGGGGTCTCGAACTCAATTTACCTGGGGTTTATACTTCTGCGCGCTGTCTCTGTTGGTCTGCATTAACACTTCCGAAACGCTAGTTGGCAGTGAGGTGTAAATGTTCCTCTGTGTCGAGTTTCTTTGCTTCTGTTTTGCTATTCTGAACACTTCCTGGATGTACAAGTGACTCAAACTCGCTCATTTTGAGGCAGGAACCGGCGGACGTGCAACAACTTTTACCATGAGGTAAACACAAAACAAAACTTTCCATCCGGAGCTCCTTCACGGGACTCCACACTTGTAAACAATCGCTCGCGCCATTCTTGCGGCTCTCGGTCCCGCCCAGACTCGTTGGCGCTAGCAAGCCGACCAATCACAGAGCTTGCGATACGCGTCGTTGCGACGTGTAGTTACAATTTTTGAGAGGTGCACGTCAGTGACGGCGACGGCCACGGCGAAGGGCTATGCGTCAGCGCCGTAGCCTACACCGGTGTTTGACACAGAAGTATAAATCAGCCTAACACTTAACACTTCCCGCCCGTCACAGCGTCTAACAAAGGGGCGGGGTGCGTGGTGACGTCACCGGCATCCCCGCCCCTTTGTTTACACGGCGGGCGGGGAATGCCAGTGACCGCTGTGTACGGATAGAATCAGCGGAGCGGGGAGCGCTCTCTCTCCCCGCTCCGCTGATTCTATCAGTGTACAGCGGTCGGCGCGGGCCACAAAATATTGCACTGAGGGCCGCAAATGGCCCGCGGGCCGCGAGTTTGAGACCCCTGGTCTACAGAATTAAAGATGAAAACTGAAAATCCTAATTGATCTAAAACTATATGGCAGCAAACCCAGTAGATTTATATACCAGCTTGAGGTTAACTATGTTTGTTTCTAATTCGTCTGTTCTATGATTAAAATATGGGGATTTAATGTTAATTTTAGGCCTTGCGGAAGCGGATGAACGCAAACCGCCTCATCGTTTCGCAGATGAAGATGGAAATGCAGCCAATTCCCAGCCTGAACAGAATCAAGACACTAAAGTTAAAAGGACGTTCATCTGCTCGGAGTGTGGGAGGAGTTACATGCATAAATCCACTCTTAAAGCACACATGAAAGTTCACACTGAGGAAAAACAGTTTGCATGCGCTCATTGTGAAAACAGCTACATGACTAAATCCGAGCTCAGCATCCACATGAAAGTTCACAACGGGGAAAAGCAGTTTGCGTGCTCTCACTGCGAAAAGACCTACAAGTACAAATCAGTGCTCAGCAGACACATGAGAGTTCACACTGGAGAGAAACCGCACGTGTGCTCAGACTGCGGGAAGACTTTTAGTTCGACGAGTAATTTAAATACACACCGGAGGATTCACACTGGAGAGAGACCCTACACGTGCTCACAATGTGGAAAGAGTTTCACCAGCTCGTCAACGTTGAAAGTTCATCAGAAAGTTCACACTGGAGAGAAGCCGTATCAGTGTTCGCACTGTGGGATGTGTTTCTCCTATCCGTCAACGCTGAAAGTTCATGAGAGAATTCATACGGGAGAAAAGCCGTATCGTTGCTCCTCATGTGGGATGAGTTTTGCTCTTTTTCACAGTCTACAAAGTCATGAGAAGAAACATTGCCTAGGTTATGCCATTGAGCAGACTTAAAGCTGCAGTAGGTGATCGTCTTCAGAAACGTGTGTTGTTGTGCTGGTTGAAAGTCTCTTCATATTCCAATAATGATGATTAAAGTAAATGATCTAAATGTGCTTATATATTCTGGGTAAGGCATAAGACTAAAACAGTTCATCCAATTAAATATTGTCAGCCCGATAATTCCCATAATTCTGATAAGTAGCGCAATCTGTCTGACAACTAGTGAAGTTTCACAAACTAGTACATATGCACAAGATGCGCAGCACCTGAAACTACCGATACTGGAAGCCTGTGCTGGCATTTCTCCTGCGGTGTTGCTATCAGTGTGTGAAGAGTGGGAGAAGAGGATTGCATTGACAATCCAACACAATGGGCAGCACACTGAACACATTTTATAAGAGGTCAAAAACTTGTAAATAACTCATGAAGGAATAATATTATGTTAAAACCAAGCACACCATTGTTTTTCTGGTGAAATTTCCAATGGGTTTAATGTGTCACATGACCCTCTTCCTATTGAAAAAAACAAAAGTTGGATCCAAGATGGCCGACTTCAATATGGCCCCCATGGTCACCACCCATCTTAAAAAGTTTGCCCCCTCACATATACTAATGTGCCACAAACAGGATGTTAATATCACCAACCATTCCCATTTTATTAAAGTGCATCCATATAAATGGCCCACCCTATATATATATATATATATATATATATATATATATATATATATATATATATATATATATATATATATATATATATATATATATATATATATATATATATATATATATATATATATATATTGGAGAACCAGTCTGGCCATTCTACTCTGGCATCAACAAGGCATTTGCGCCCTGTAGAACTGCCGCTCACTGGATATTTCCTCTTTGTTGGATCATTCTCTGTAAACCCTAGAGATGGTTGTGCGTGAAAATCCCAGTAGATCAGCAGTTTCTGAAATACTAAGACCAGCCAGTCTGGCACCTACAACCATGCCACGTTCAAAGTCACTTAAATCCTCTTTCTTACCCATTCTGATGCTCAGTTTGAACTGCCGCAGATCGTCTTGACCATGTCTACATGCCTAAATGCATTGAGCTGCTGCCATGTGATTGGCTGATTAGATTTGCGTTAACGAGCAGTTGGACAGGTGTACCTAATAAAGTGACCAGTGAGTATAAATAGTTTTTTTTTTTCCTCCAATGACGCAGGTTGCCAGATTTACATCTGGCAACCTGCGGTATGCCAGTGTGTTTATGCATTGATCATTTCTTGCAAGTGTGACCATAATAAATGTGTAAACATGCTGTCCTCCATCTGGTTAAAACATTTGCAGCCCTAAATTTGACATTCTCCAGATCAGTAGGGTTTTCAGCAACATTGTGCGCAGATTTAACACTGTAGTGGAAGTCCACTTTTATGCTGTAACTGCTCCGCTAACGTTTGTGTTGGTAATATTTGTATTATTTACTCATTAAAAATCACCTCATGTGGATTATTATAACTCTGAATCTGCATCTCATTTCGGATGTTGCATTTTTAAACATGCCCACATACATTTGTTCAGATAAGACTGAAATGATATGCGTGCTTTTTCCGCCAAGGCAACCCAGAGTGCTGAAATATAAATGGTCAAACTGGCAGTGGGCTGCTTATGAAGACCAAAACAAGTAGTTAGTTTTGTTTTGGTTAAATAGTTTTGTTATACCGGCAGCTAGCTCTCTGCAAACTCTCACATGGTCGCCCACTGAAGCTAAGCAGGGCTGCACCCGGTCAGTACCTGGATGGGAGACCACATGGAAAAGCTAGATTGCTGTTGCAAGTGGTGTTAGAGAGGCCAGCAGGGGGCGCCCAACCTGCGGTCTGTGTGGGTCCTAATGCCTCAGTGAATTGAAGGGGACTCTATTCTTCTCAGTGAGCGCCGTCTTTCGGATGACACCGAGGTCCTGACTGTCTGTGGTCGTTAAAAACCCCAGGATGTCCTTCGAAAAGGCATCCTGGCCAGATCTGCCCACTGGCCTCCTAACCCTCCCCATATCATTATTGGCTTCATCACTCTGTCTCCTCTCCACCAATCAGCTGGTGTGCGGTCTGGCGCAAAATGGCTGCCGTCACATCATCCAGGTGGATCCTGCACACTGGTGGTGGATGAGGAGATTCCCCCCATATGTGTAAACCGCTTTGAGTGCTCAGAAAAGCGCTATATAAATGTAAGGAATTATTATTATTATACTAATTAAAACAGAACAAAACCATGTACTAATTGGCTTAATAAACAAACTTAACTAGTTTAAATGTAGACAAAGTCAATTTTAACTAAGAAGTTGAACAAAGTATAGGTTTTTTTTTTCCAAATTCCTCTCGAAATATGATCTCAGACAGATTTTATTTATGCTAGTGTGATTTGAAAACACTCAAACACTTTGTAAATGCTCTTTACGATACAACTAATAAAGCAATTTGTTTATTCTTATGCTGAAGAGATAATTGAATTGAATTCCAACATCTTTGCTCTTAAAATTAAGAGCGAGGAAGAACCAAATAAGGTTTGTTTTTTACACTAATGGTGTTACAGAACTCTTTAGGTGATGAAAGACTCCTCAAAGAGCCATGTTCATCATAACGTTAAGGACATTTTATAATTTAAAGAATATTTCATCACTTTAAAGCATCTGTTGTGGACAGAGAAGTTTCCATTAATGTTAAAAGTTCTTTGTGGAAATATTGACGGCAGTGGAGTAGATTGATTTAAGCTTGCAGTGATTGATTATTGTCATTATTTAGAGGTGAAGCATTGAGTACAAACTGAAAACACTTTCATTAATATGCTGTTTTATTGTGTCAGATGCTTAATCTGTTATCATCTCTTATAGTCTGGATTAAATATTTAAAGGTGAGTTATTTTGCTCATGCATTGGGTGTATTAATATAGATTTATATGTAAAGTGCGCTTACTTATTTTACAGATGTAAATTATGTATTTTTATGTTTAAATTAAACATATGATCTACACATTTAAACATTGCTTTCTTTCTATAAATTATATTAGAGATTATGATCATTAAAGGGGTCATATTGACGAAATGTAGACAGTTATCGAGGATAAGAAACGTTTGTTTGTGCTTCAGCCAGTGGTGGCGCTCGTGCACCGCAAACATGATGAACATCCGAGTCTGAGAGAAGACGAAGGAGAAAGCATCAACAATAGAGACGGGGAATAACCGTTCACGAGGCTCTAAATATACTGTATTTTTCTCACTGTAAGTACCTTCACTTTATTATTTATTTAGTAGAAAACATTTTAAAATAATCGGTTTATTTTGGTTGATCATAACGGGACCAGACCGAGTGGATAACGATTGAAATTAATCTCAAATCTGGATTCTCCAATCACTACTGTCGTGTGTTTTATACATGATCTGATGCTGTAGGTTTGGTCAAACAGGAGGAATTACAGCAGCATTATTAACTGACACACTATAGTAAAGATGGAGACTGAGGAAGAACCCTGCAGAATAAAAGAAGAAGAAACAGAGGAACTGATAGGTTTGTGTTTTCATTCTTTCTCTTTAATTACCAAGGAGAAACATTAAGATGAAAACTGCTGTACAAAGAATAAAACTGCTTTACAAAGCCGGTTTTAGTTATATTAGCAAGATTTATTCTAAGTTAGAGACCAATCAGCTTTGAGGAAAGTGACATCTGTCTGTCTATCTGTCGGTCTGTTTGTCTGTCTGTCCGTCCGTCTATCTATCTATCTATCTATCTATCTATCTGTCTATCACTGTCTGTCTATCTATTTATCCATCCATCCATCCATCCAACCATCATTCTGTCTATCTATCTATCTATCTATCTATTTATCTATCCATCCATCCATCCATCTATCATTCTGTCTGTCCATCCGTCCGTCCGTCTCTCCATCTACAAATATATACTAACCGGCCACTTTAATAGGTACACCTGTCCAACTGCTCATAACGCCAATATCTCGTAACCATCCCGTATGGCATGGTTGTTGGTGCCAGACGGGATGCCGATTTTTGGAGTGTCTATTAAATGCAAATAGTGCACCTTGTTGGAATCAACTATTTGAGCGATTTCTGCCCATCACTGATTGACAGAGACAACATAAATAAAGAGCATGACTTGCAGCAGCTTGAGTGGTATAGCTCATAAAGAGCATGACAATGTGTTTTGACGCGGTCGATCATCAACCGGTTCGAATCCAGCGTCTGAAGAACTCATTCCTCATTACATATCAGATTGGAAATACATTTATTTTTAATAGAAAGGAATTTTAATAGTGACATTTTAATATAACATTTAATTTAGTGATATTTTAATATAACTAATTTGCATTTACAACAGATATACTTTATGATATATATATATATATGTATATATGTATATATATATATATATATATATATATATATATATATATATATATATATATATATATATATAGTAGTGCTTTAGTGAACTTAAACAAGTATACTAAAAACCATTAACCATTTTAAAACCTAACAGCATCAAAGTGTGCTTTAAAAATAAGTAAGATTTTGTAGACTACATGTCCTATATATCATTTATTTAAAAAATGCGGGCAATACATTATAGATACATTTTATAAAAAATATTATTCTTATTTTTTTAATTCAACTATAGAGGTGCGACTGGGTAAAGGGCCCTACAAGACAATGTGCCAAGGTGCCTCTGAATTCTTAATCCGGGCCTGGGCAACAGTAACTCAAATAAGCACTCGTTACAGCCAAGCTCTGCAGAAGATCATCTCTGAACACACAACACGTCCAACCTTGAGGCGGATGGGCTACAGCAGCAGAAGAGCACACCGGGTGCCGCTCCTGTCAGCTAAGAACAGGAAACTGAGGCTACAATTCACACAGACTCACCAAAACTGGACAATAGAAGATTGGAGAAACGTTGCTGCTCTGATGAGTCTCCATTTCTGCTGACACATTCAGATGGTCGGGTCAGAATTCGGCATCAACAACATGAAAGCATGGATCCATCCTGCCTTGTATCAGCGGTTCAGGCTGGTGGTAGTGGTGTAATGGTGTGGGGGAGATTTTCTTGGCACACTTTTGTCCCATTAGTACCAATTGAGCATCAACGCCACAGCCTACCTGAGTATTTTGCTGACCATGTCCATCCCTTTATGAGCACAGTGTCTCCATCTTCTGACGGCTTCTTCCAGCAGGATAACGCACCATGTCATAAAGCGTGAATCATCTCAGACTGGTTTATTGAACATGTCAATGAGTTCACTGTACTCAAATGGCCTCCACAGTCACCAGAGCTCAATCCAATAGAGCAGCTTTGGGATGTGACGTAACGGGAGATTGGCATCATGGATGTGCAGCCGACAAATCTGCAGCAACTGTGTGATCCTATCATGTCAATATGGAGCAAAATCTCTGAGGAATATTTTCAGTACCTTGTTGAATCTACGCCATGAAGGATTAAGGCAGTTCTGAAAGCAAAAGTGGGTCCGACCTGGCACTAGTAGGTGTACCTAATAAAGTGGCCAGTGAGTGTGTATATATGTATATGTTAAACAGGTTGGATTACATACTCTGCATCCCAAAAGCATATTCAGTTCATTTTGGTCAATAGATCTTTAAGTTAAGGCTAACTATTTTGCTTTATTTGTAATCAGCTTGTGCTTTAATTGAAATATTGTGCTTTAATATGTAATTTCAGGCCCTGTGGAGGAGGATGAAGAAACTCAACAACCTCATCACTTCATAAGTGAAGATGGAATTGCAGGCGTTTCACAGACTGAGCAAGATTTCCCACAGACACAAGGTACACACGCTGCAGTTAAAGACACGTTCATCTGCTCTGACTGTGGAAAGACTTTCGCGTATATATCAACACTCAAAAAACACTTGGTAGTTCACAGCGGAGAAAAGCTGTTCACGTGCGATCAATGCGGAAAGAGTTACACGCAAAAATCAACGCTGAACCGACACGTAATCGTTCACAGTGGTGAGAAGCAGTTCAAGTGCGGTCAGTGTGGAAGGAGTTACATGTATATATCAGAGCTGAAAAAGCACATGAGAGTGCACACCGGAGAGAAACCCCACGTGTGCTCTCAGTGTGGCAAGGGTTTTGTTTTTAAAAAGCACTTAAATGCGCATGTGAGGATTCACAGCGAAGAAAAACCCTTCACGTGCGCTCACTGCGGAAACCGTTTCAATTACAGTAAAGACTTGATTGTGCACATGAAGATTCACACCGGGGAAGACATGTTCGAGTGCACTCACTGCGGAAAAAACTTCACAAGTAAAGGACACTTGAATGTGCACCTGAGGGTTCACACTGAAGAAAAACTCTTTGCGTGCACTGAATGTGGGAAGAGCTTTAAATACAAAAGCGCTCTGAAAGATCATCTGCACATTCACTCTGGAGTCAAGTCGTTTAGCTGTGATCAGTGCGGTAAATCGTTTGCGTTCGCATCCAACTTACGAACGCATCTGAAAGTTCACACTGGTGTGAAGCCGCACATTTGCTCGTTTTGTGGAAAGAGTTTTCTCCATCTGAACAACTTAAAAGTGCACCAGAGCATTCACACCGGAGTCAAACCTTATGAGTGCTCTGACTGCGGGAAGTGCTACAGTACGTCAAGTGACCTAAGAAAACACCAGAGGATGCACACTGGAGAGAGACCGTACAAGTGTTCGTACTGTGAACACAGTTTCGGCCATTCGTCAGGACTGAGAGTGCATGAGAGAACTCACACTGGTGAAAAACCCTATCAGTGCTCGTCATGCGGGAGGAGATTCGCCCAAATTCATAACCTACGGGCTCACGAGAAAAGCCCCAATGGTTGCCTGAAGTTTCAAAGTGAGCAGTCTTTAGAGGCTGAAGGAACGCTGAAGGAGAGTGAGTGAGTTTATTTCATTGTACTTATATTTTTATAAAGGTGGCTCAGTGGTTAGCACTGTCACCTCACAGCAAGAAGGTTGCTGGTTCGAGTTCCGACTGGGTCTGTTGGCATTTCTGTGTGGAGTTTGCACCTCTGGGTGCTCCGGTTTCCCTCACAGTCCAAACACAAGCGCTATAGGGGAATTGACTAAAATGGCTGTAGTGTATGAGTGTGTTTGTGTGAATGGGTGTTTCCCAGTACTGGGTTACAGCTGGAAAGTAATTCGCTGCATAAAAAATATGCTGGAATAGTTGGTGGTTCATTCCGCTGTGGCGGGCTCTAATGAATAAAGGGACAAAGCCCAAGGAAAATAAATGAATGTGTGTCTGCGTCCGAAACCGCATACTTCCATACTTTGCAGTACGCTAAAATCAGTATGCGAGTCGAGTAGTATGTCTGAATTCATAGGCTGCGTCCGAAACCACCTACTACTCAGTAAGTACTGTTTTTTTAATTGAAACGTACTACTGGGCTGTTAGAAAAGTACGTTTTATTGACCTTGTTCTAAAATGCGGATGTGTGCCTGTTTTCGCGATTGTTTTATAACTTCCGATTCAGTCGCCTATGGGAGAAATGACTAGGAATAATAAACGGCAGAAAACGGTCAAACTACTTGCTCAACAAACAAATGTGTGCATGACTATACAGACCAATTAGAGTAATATAATAAGAAAATGTCAAATTGCAACATCAAGCAGCGTAACGAGCAGTTTTTAACGTCAAAAAATGAATGGAAGTGAATGAGACCGGAAGACTCGAGCCAAAAAGATTCAAATGGCAGAGCCCGCTCGTCGGCGGAGAATAAGGTGAGTACAGTATGAATGTGAAAAGTATGAATGGAATTCGGAGGTACTACATCCGCCATTTTGTCATGGTCACATGACCTACCTGCGTCAATTGTGTAGCTTTACTCCCATTCATGAATTCTCTCGCGGGGCATCATGGGATAGCGCAGCGTGCATGGGATGCGCACTCCAGAATCTCGCCAAAAGTAGTAAGTCATCCGGTTACTTCTCGCATACTGATTTTCGAATTCTATGTATTCGGTCATACTACTTGGCTCACATATTGATTTTAGCGTACTATATAGTATGGAAGCATGCGCTTTCGGACGCAGCCATAGAATTCGGAAATCAGTATGCGAGAAGTACCCGGATGACTTGCTACTTCCGTTGTGATTCTGGAGTGCGCATCCCATGCATGCTGCGCTATCCCATAATACCCGCGATCAAATTCATGAATGGGTGTAAAGCGATGCAATTGACGCAAGTAGGTCACATGAACATAACAAAATGGCGGATGTAGTACGTCCGAATCCCATTCATACTTTTCACATTCATACTGTATAGAACGTATTTTTCTAACAGCCGAGTAGTACGTTTAAATTCAAATGGAGTAGGCGGTTTCGGACGCAGCCTGTGTTATAAATGAAATGCTGATGTTACATTGGCCTTTTTTTTTTTTTTAGCAATTTTGCAGACCAGTATGTTGCTTGGCTGCTGTCCTGTATATGGAATGGTCAACACTATTGTATATACCGTATATATTTTAATTGTGTTTTTTATTTTTGCAAAACAAGGTACATCACATTGCATTTATTCAGTAACAAGTTCAGTGCAAGTTAATTCATTCAGTATCAAGTAACAACAGTTTTCCTTTTTATAAACCACAAACTAGCTTAAAACAGAAACAAAGAAAAATTTATAAATTAAATAATGAGATTAAATAAATAAGAAATTATCAAAAATATTATGGAGGGAGGGGATGTTGGTGGGGATTCATGGTTGGAGGCCGTGGTGGAAAGAGTACTGAAAAATCATACTCGAGTATAAGTACCATCACATGGTCTAAAATGTATTGTAAGTAGAGTAACAGTATGTGTAGTAAATATTAATCAAACTATGAGTAAAAAGGAGCCTTTTCAAAAGTACTCAAGTAGCGAGCAGTGAGTATTACACTGGAAAGGCTGATGCATCTACATGCAATTTGTGCAGGGATGTGTAAACGTAACATTCTATAGTGCATTTAGTGATCTTTCTATGTTTGTTCGTTCATTCGTTCCTTCCTTCTTTCCATTGTTAGTTTGTTCCGTCCTTCCTTCGTTTGTTTGTTTGTTCTGTCCTTCCTTCCTTCATTCATTTGTTTGTTTTTGTTCTTCCTTCATTCGTTTGTTCGTTCTGTCCTTCCTTCCTTCGTTTATTTGTTCGTTCTGTCCTACCTTCATTCAATCGTTTATTTGTTTGTTCTGTCCTTTATTCCTTTGTTCAATCTTTCTGTCCTTCATTCCTTTGTTCCTTCCTTCAGTCCTCCCTTCATTTGTTTTCTCATTCATTCGTTTCTACATTCTTTTGTTCCTTCCTTCCTTCATTTGGTTCTTTGTTCATTCATTCATTTGTTCATTAGTTTGTTCAGTCCTTATTTGAATCCTTCCTTTATTCATTTGGTCCTTCCTTCATTCATTCGGTCCTTCCTATTTTCATTAGTTCGGTCCTTCCTTCCTTCGTTAGTTTGTTCCTTCCTTCTTTCCATTACTTGTTCGGTCCTTCCTCCATTAGGTCGGTCCTTCCGTCCCTCATTAGTTGGGTCTATCCTTCCATTCCTTGTTCGGTCCTTCATTATTAGGTCGGTCCTTCCTTCGTTAGTTCGGTCCTTTGTTCCATTCCTTGTTCGATCCTTTCATCCTGCCTTAGTTCAGTCCTTCCATTCTACATTCACTTTATTTAGTGATTGTTTAAGGCTGTTTGGTGATTTCAGTCATCATAAAGTCGACAACCTTCGTTTTCTCATCAGTCTATGAACAGTCTCTGGATCATCGCGTTTGGTGATTTTGGACATCTTCATGGACATTTTTAACGTTTCCCAAAGGTTTGCTTCATAAGTGCAGCGCCCATGTCTTCAGATTGTGTATGATGTGATTAACTTTCAATGTGCGATTTGATTGGACAGGAATCACATGACTGATTTTTCTATTTTAGCCAACCCCCATAGACAAGACAAAATAAAGTAGTGACTGCAGGTTGAAGGAAAGTGGTGGAGTAAAAGCACCGATACAGCACTAAAAATGTACTCAAGGGAAAGTAAAAGTACACTCTTAAAACTACTTAATAAAGTACAATTCCTTTGAAAAACTGCTCTATTACAGTTATTGGAGTATTTGTAATTTGTTTCTTCACACCACTGGTTGGAGGAGTGCAACAATATTGTATCTGTAACCAATTGAGCTGATTAGTTGCTCCTTGTCTCACCTGGTTGCCTATTTAATGTCAATGCAACACAGTTTATTTGTCTCGTAGTTCTATTATTGCATGTTACTATGTCTTGAACAGTGTATGTAATGGACACATTGATTTTATTGGCTGTTAAAAGTTGTTATGACGCACTTGTATTGTAACTGATGCCATTTGTCTTGCATTTATTTTGTTACAGTAATAAAAATCAGACTAAACCTTGCACTTATTGGTCTAATTAATGAAAAATAACATGCAATGTCTAATCAAAACTAGTCCAGTGATACCAAAATTTTAAATATGCAGCCCATATGTAAAATACATCATTCACCACACTATAAGGCATTGATCTCAAACTCGATTCCTGGAGGGCCGCAGCTCTGCACAGTTTTGCTACAACCCTAATCAAACACAGCTGATCCAAATAATCGAGGTGTTCAAGACTACTAGAAACCATTAAGCAGGTGTGAGTTGGAGGTGGTTGGAGCTAAACTATGCAGATCTGCGTCCCTCCAGGAATTGCGTTTGAGACCATTGCAGTAAGGTATTATACATGGTTTTTTATTTTGATAGTCACTGTATGTTAGTAATTACAAATATTGTGTTTTCATAAAAATGTGGTCTTCTGCTGCTGTAGCCCATCCGCCTCAAGGTTGGACGTGTTGTGTGTTCTGCAGGCCTCGGTTGTAGCGAGTGCTTATTTGAGTTACTGTTGCCTTTCTATCAGCTGGAACCAGTGTGGCCATTCTCCTCTGACATCAACAAGGCATTTGCTCCAACAGAACTGCCGCTCACTGAATATTTCCTCTTTGTCGGACCATTCTCTGTAAACCCTAGAGATGGTTGTGCATGTAAATCCCAGTAGATCAGCAGTTTCTGAAAAACTCAGAGCAGCCAGTCTGAACGTGGCATAGTTCTTGGTGCCAAAGTCACTTAAATCCTCTTTCTTCACCATTCTGATGCTCACTTTGAACTGCCGCAGATCGTCTTGACCATGTCTACATGCCTAAATGCATTGAGTTGCTGCCATGTGATTGGCTGATTAGAAATTCGTGTCAACGAGCAGTTGGACAGGTGTACCTAATAAAGTGGCCGGTGAGTGTATATTCAGTAGAGTGAAATATGTTAAGGCAAGCATACACTGTAAATATAATTGTTGTAAAACCTAAAGCAAGTGGTTAAAAATAGCTTGAATTTGGCGCAGTGGCTATAACGATCACCTCACAGTAAGAAGGTCGCTGGTTTAAGCACTGGCTGGGTCAGTTGTCATTTCTGTGTGGAGTTTGCATGTTCTCCTTGTGTTGGTGTGGGTTTCCTCCGGCTGCTCCGGTTTCCCCCACCGCTACAGATGAACATCTTTAGTAATTTGGGGACTCTTTTTTGTGCTATTTTATGGCAGGCAAATCGCTTATTTCAGTTTAGCTCCAACCCTAATCAAACACACCTGAACAAGCTAATCAAGCTCATACTAAGTATACTAGAAACTTCCGGGCAGGTGTGTTGAAGCAAGTTGGAGCTAAAGTCAGCAGGACACTGGCCCTCCAGGACTGACTTTGGACACCCCTGTCTTATTTTCACATCCCAACGTTGACAGGTATGCATGAAGGTAACCCTAACCCTAACACACAACTATTAGCCTGCAAATTCAAAACACAAGTGTGTTGATTATTGTGTGTGTGTGTGTGTGTTTGTGCAAATCGAGGGATTCAGCTGTTCACATCAGAGCTGTGGGTGTACATTTCAACCTACACATACAAATATTATTATCACAAGTGCTCACATTTAGATTTGCAAGCTCTCGAGTTTTGCTACTGATTTACTTTCATAGGTATGCTGATGCTCCAGAAAAGGCACTTGAAGGATTATAAACGGTTAGTTTTAGTTTCCGCCAGTGGTGGCGCTCGTGCACCGTAAACATTGACGAACATCCGAGTCTACGAGAAGAAGAAACGGCATCAACAACAGAAGCAGAGTCGTTCACGAGGCTCTAAATATACTGTATTTTTCACACTGTAAGTACATTCGCTTTATTATTTATTAGGATAGTTTTAAACAGTTGAGCTCTATGGATAAAGACTGAAATTCCTAAAATGTTGATTCAGAAATCCTTAATTTCGTGTTTACAGATAAACCCATCTGTAAGATTTGGTCAAACAGCAGGAATTGCTGAAGGAGAAACAACTGACACACTATAGTAAAGATGGAGATTAAGGAGGAACCCTGCGGAATAAAAGATGAAGAAACAGAGGAACTGATAGGTTTGTGTTTTCAATCTTTCTCTTTAATTAAAACTAACACATAACAATTTATCTAAAACTAAATACCTGTAGAACTAGTAACCAAGCAGATGTTAAAGTTCCCATGCAATTAAAATGAAGTTTGTTTTGGATGTCATCAGTATTTTTTCCGAGCCTTGGCTGGGTCAGTTGGCAATTCTGTGATAGAGGTAAAGTTGGTTTTATATTCGCACATTCGTTCATTTAGAAGTCTCTGTATTGTTTACCATGTTACTTTAAATATTCGATCAGAATTAGCATGCAAGTATGACTTTAAATCAACACTAACACTATCTAATTCACTGTAAACAATGTTGTACTTTGATAGTCATTGGCTGCTAATATGATTTCCCTATTTATAATTTGCAAATAATACTTTTCTGAAATTATATTATTAAGGAGAATGTCTGAATATCCGAATGTAAAACTAACTTTACCTCTATAATTCAGTGTGGAGTTTGCATGTTCTCCCCGTGGAAAGAATTTAGGAAAATGTTGTACAAGCACGATTTTTCTCCACGTAATGTTATCATTTGGAATAACAGGTGTACTTTAAATAAGAGGAAATCTTTATTTTTTAAAAACTGGTTTGACAAAGGAGTTTGGAATGTAACTTATTTAATGGATGATGATGGTAATATGTTGAGTTATGATCATTTAAAGTTAAAATGTAATTTTAATTGTTCATATAGAGCATTCTCTTTGGTTGTCAAAGCTATTCCTGTAGCTTTGAGGAATTTAGTTAAAGGTATAGTGCAATACTCTTCTGTAATACCTACACTGGTTGATTTGTTTATTGATAATTATTCATTTCCGGATATTAAATGTAACAAGGTCTTGAGGTCACTGCTGGAAAAAGAGTATTTTCCTCTTCCAGTTAATAGAAAAGTTTTATCTGAGAGATTTTCTGAAGCGGACACTATTGAAGTTAGAAAAAGATACCTGTCATTTCCCTTGTTACCTAAAATGAAAGAAGTACATTTCAAAACAATTAATGACTTTTTTTCCATGTAGTGAATTTCTTAGAATAAGATTTAATTTAGGCAGTAATGCAGTGGTGTTCAAACTCGGTCCTGGAGGGCCGGTGTCCTGCATATTTTAGTTCCAACCTCAATTAAACACACCTAAACCAGCTAATCAAGGTCTTTTTGGGTGAACTAGACCTCCTTGCAGGTATATTGGAGGAGGTTGGAGCTAAACTATGCAGGACACCGGCCCTCCAGAACCGAGTTTGGACACCCCTGCAGTAATGCTTATATTTTCTGCTTGAAAGATATTGAATTTCAGGAAAATCTGTTTTTTTTATAGTTGTTTTAAGGTCAAATCATTTTGGGACAGATTGTATGATTGGCTGAAGACACTATTTAGTTTGACTATCACTTGGTGAAATTTGGCATTTTTATGAAAAACAAAGAAATGGAATTTCTGTGTAACAATATATTGATTATAGCTAAAAAAAAAAATTATTCACAAATGTAGATGTTAAAGTTTTTCCTTGTTTGTGATGTATTTTCTTTTGTATTATTTAAGGTTTATTTATGTTATTATTCTAATTTTTTATACTATTTTGTTTATTATATGCTGCTTGGATGTAATGTTATATACAGTTGAAACCAGAAGTTTACATACACTAAAAAAGGAAAATAAAAAAAATGATGGTAAATCATATTAAACATTTACTAGTTTAGGTCCGTTAGGATTGCCTAAAATGATGTACATTTGCTAAAGGCCAGAATAGTGAGAGAATTTTTTTTTTGAGAATTTTTTTATTAATTTCTAGACAGTCAAAAGTTTAAACACATTTCCTTGGTATTTTTTTAGCTTTGTTTTTAAACTGTTTAACTTTGGTCAAATGTTTTGGGTCTCCTTCCACAAGCTTCTCACAATAGTTTGAAGGAATTTTGGCCCATTCCTCCTGACAGAATTGCGGTAACTGAGTCAGATTTGTTGGCTGTCTTGCTCACACAAGCTTTTTCAACTCTGCCCACACATTTTCTATAGAACTAAGATCAGGGCTTTGTGATGGCCACTCCAAAACATTCACTCTGTTGTCCATAAAGCACAGTTTAACTAGTTTGGCAGTATGCTTAGGGTCATGATCTGTTTGGAAGACCCATGTGTGGCCAAGTTTTAATTTCCTGGCTGATGTCCTGAGATGTTGCTTCAGTATTTCTACATAATGTTCTTTCTTTATGATGCCATCTATGCTGTGAAGTGGACCAGTCCCTCCTGCAGCAAAACAGCCCCACAACATGATGCTGCCGCCCCCATACTTCAAAGTAGGGATGGTGTTCCTAGGCTTTTGCACTTTCCCCTTTGTCCTCCAAATGTAACACTGGTCATTATGGCCAAACAGTTCAACCTTAGTTCCATCAGAGCACAGGACATGTCTCCTAAAATGAGTCTTTTTTCCCAGTGTCATTCAGCAAATTGTAATCTGGCTTTTGTTGTTGATTCTGGCTTGTTGATTTTCCCATATTGTCACACAAGGAAGCAGTGTGTTTGAGGGTTTCCTTAAATACTATTCTACAGTTGTGCCTCCATTTAACTCAAATGTTGTCAATTAGCCAATCAGAAACTTCCAAAACCTTGACACCATTAATTAAAAAAATACATTAAATTATAAACGATAGGTCTGGAAGTGCTGGTCTGAGCGTGCAGTTGGGTCTTCGGGGCTGCAGCATTATAATGTTGGTTTCGGTAAAGATTATGTCAAACATCGAATATAAATGCACATTTCAGAGCAATTAATGGAACCTTTAAACATTTAGTTTTGAATGTGATTAGTTTGTTAATTGAAGTTTGTGGATTTTAATGTTCATTTCAGGCCCTGTGGAGGTGGATGAACTCAAACAGCCTCATCATTTCAAAAATGAAGATGCAAATGCAGCTGAGCAAGATTTCACACAGAAACAAGTGCAAACCGCTGAAGCTAAAGAGCTGTTCGCCTGCTCTGAGTGCGGTAAGAGCTTCATACATAAATCCAAACTTAAAGTACACATGCGAGCTCACAGTGGAGAACGACCGTTCACCTGCTCTGAATGTGGAAAGAGTTACATGATTATATCAGCGCTCAACAGACACGCTAAAGTTCACATTGGGGAGAGATCTCATATATGCGCAGAGTGCGGCAGCAGTTTTGTTTTTAAAGCACATTTAAAGGAGCACATGAAGATTCACAGTGGAGAAAAACCCTTCACATGCGCTCAATGCGGAAAAAGCTTCATCCGTAAAGGAGAATTCAATTTGCACGTGAAGATTCACACGGAGGACAAGCAGTTCACATGCACTGAATGCGGGAAGAGCTTCAGACGGAAAAAGACTCTCAGAAATCATCAGCTCTTACACACTGGAGTCAAGTCATTCAGCTGTGATCAGTGCGGGAAAACGTTCGTCACAGCAGCCGTCTTAAGCACACACCTTAAAGTCCATTCTGGATCGAGGCCTTACATTTGTGCTGTGTGCGGAAAGAGTTTTGCACATGTGAGTTATTTAAAATTACACCAGCACATTCACACTGGAGAGAAACCTCATGTGTGTTCAGACTGCGGGAAGAGCTTCGGTACATCCAGCAACCTGAAGACACACCAGAAGCTTCACGCCGGAGGGAAAATGCTCAGGTGTTCGCACTGTGAAAGCAGCTTCACTCATTTATCGTCATTGAAAGCTCATGAGAGACTTCACACTGGAGAAAAGCCGCATCAGTGCTCGTCATGTGGGAGGAGGTTTATCGTGCTTCACAATCTTCAAACTCATGAAAGAAAATGTGAGCAAAGTTAATTTCTAGATGCCTCACCTATAAGTAAACTCGTGTAGTAGGGCTGTCAAACTCATCCTTTCACAGTTTAGTTCTAATTGAGATATGTATGGGTGCTTTCAGATCTGTAGTTCGCTTCATTTGGTCCGGACCAAGGGTAATAAATAAGGGTGTCACGGTCCTCCAAATCCTCGATTCGATTACATTTTTTGATTCTAAAGGCACGATTCGATTCGATTTTCAATTATGAATAATTAATTAATTAATGACCAATTAATTATTTGTAGCCTACCGTTTAAACTACCTGACCTGCATGGTGTTTGTTTTACCCATAAAAAAATCATACAGTAAATGAATAAAATAAATAAGTATAATAAAAATAAATTACCACCTGTCAATCACTTTTTCTGCGGGACTCGTGAATAGGCAGTGATCTGTGTCGTTATAATGGCGTCGGTAAAAAAGACGCACAACCAACAGAAACCAGCCAACAGTATCTGAGGTGTTCGCTAAAATGACTAAGTACAAGTGAGTGAAAGATTGAAGCAGTCCTCTGACTGCCTGGACCTGCTGTCTCGAGCGCATGGCTGTGTGTGCGTCTGTGTCTGTGTGGTCACGTGATGTGCATTTTCAGAGGTAGAGAGGAAGGAGGGCTGCTCAGAAATGCTACACGCCACTGTGGATGTCAAATCGTTGTCGTTCTAAAATGCCATTTAAAAACAAAGACAGTGTAAACAGGGCCTGAGTGTGTACTTTTTGCGAGCGGATTTGCAACGGGGGCGGGCGGAGGATCGCGATGCCGGTGTTGTCTATCGGACGAACCCTAATACGTACATAGCAGAGCTTGCAAAACTGTGTTTTTTTTTTGTCGACAACACGAACGTTGTCAACATAACTCACTGGAAATCCAAAATGCTTCCACACCGGCGACTTCATTGAAAGAGGAGAGGGTTTAAGCTCTGTCGACGGGTCTCCTGCTTCTGCAGTTTAACAAGCACTTCAACAAGCCTGTTTTTTCCCGCTTGGCAAGCCAAGCTGACGTGACATGGGGGCGTGGCAGCATCGACGATTCTATTTTTTGATTCGATAATCAAAATTGAGCATAAATTTCGATCGATTTCGATTAAAAATCGAAATCGTGACACCCCTAGTAATAAATGATACATTGTTGCATTTTCTGCCGTCTTTGGGTCATTTTCACACCACACTGCTGGCTTTGGTCCGAACCAGTGGAAACGAGCCAAAAAGCAGTCATCTGACAAAATCCACATCTCTCATTGGCCAGATGTTGTTGAACATATTTCCTAAACTGCTTATTGATTGGTCAGAATTCACGTGCGGGAAAATGCCAGTGATCTCCCGCAGGTAAACAAAACCTTTTACTCTGGAGGGACGACTGCGCTGGCTGATTGTATCTCTGCTTTAAACAAACTATACATCACGAAAATGAAGCGCAGCCGCGGCCGGAAAACAGTGTTTAATGCATCGCTCGTCACTTCAGGAGGAGCAGTGAATTAATTTAGCTAAACTGCGACATGCTCATCTTGCGGAAATATTACCAACAATCCATCAGGTAATGTTTTCCCCTCTTTCTCTGTCTCTGTTGGTGAAGCACTGTCAATAAATATTTTTCCTCCATATCCCATAATGCACAGCACATCGGCCTACGGCAGCTGAATTAGTCCAAAAGGCGCAGTACTTTTTGCGGTTGGACCTGTTTTAGTACGGATCATATTCTCAACCCAAACGAACCACTCCAGGGTTCGTTTGAAAGCGTACCGAGACCACCTCTTCAAGCAGGTCTCGGTACGCTTATTTGGTGCGCACTCGAGTACGATTGCTGCATTCTCACCTGCCCAAACGAACTGTACCAAAAGGGGAAACGAACTCTAGTGCGATTCAATCGAACTAAACAAGGCAGGTGTGAAAGCACCCTATATCTCCATGCCTAATATCTGATAACCAGAAAGTGAGTAATTTTTTATTAGTTGCACAAATTTTTGGTGTTTGTGATGCCAGAGAAGTCCAGAGACTGTTGTGTACACCGTGATTTAATATAAAATTCACTTTGATAGAACTAAACTTTGATAGTTGATTCTCCTCAGTTTAATTGAGTAGCATCTTGGACCCGGAAACAGTATTTCATATGTCACTGATATGTCACGACTTGGATAGATGCGAATTTGCGTCATGGTTTTTTGACAACACAAATCTTTTTGTTGACCGAACTGTTCTTAGTTCTGTCAAATAAAGATTTTCGCTTGGTTATTAATAGTTCTTGGATCTCTTGACCTGCTTGTAGGTTTTTAGAATAATATTTGGTGACAGAAATTGGGAACAGTTTTGGCTTCTTCTAAAAACATTATTATTATCTAATGAAGCTGTTGAAGTCTTAATCAAAGTCATTCATAATTGCTACCCAATAAACACCAAGCAGGGCTCAACAATAAGGACTGCCCGGTGGCCCAGGGCCAGCGTGACAGACACTTGGGACAGTAGACCGGATCATTACTGGCCCGATTGGGACAGTGCTGCCTTGTCACTAACATTTAATTTGTCTGCGACTATTTATCAATTGCGTGCATTTTAAGCTTGTGCTTTTAAGTCTTTAAACACTACCTTCTTTGTGATGTCGTAAACACCATATTGCTTCCGGTTCCTCTTAGCTGATTGAGAATTCTATTTTTTTTCGTAACCTGGTAACAACCAGAACTGCGAAGAAACGGCAACACGGCGGCAACAACAAATTATAAGGCTAAAAGAAAATATCTGTTTCCAACGTCTTAAAGGCAGAAATTTACGTGTGAACAATGCAAAAAAACAAAAAACAGTTGCACAGTTTGCCGTCAGTTTGACAAGTCAGCCACCATTTGTTAAATAATTTCAAACCGTAATAAAATACCTCCACATTTTCCATACTGCCCTTTTTGTTTGCATAACACTTTTATTCACAATTTTTTTTAAGTATTAAAATTCTAGATTCACAGACTTTATTTTTGACACATTATTTAAAATATGTATCTAGAAAATAGCTATTAACTTCCCTTTCTTTTTTTGGTGGGGCCAATCTGAACCACTGGCCCGATCAGACCAGCAGAAAAAATCCTTAGCGTTGAACGCTAAATTTAATAATATTATTTCCCCTAAATGTTAACTTTGTACTCAATAAGACGAAACACTAAACCTTTTATTTTGGGAGTGCACTTACTGATGTGTTTTGGGTTGACTTTTCCAATCTCATCAAAAAAAAATTATTATTTCCAAACTTTTGTATTTCCCCCAAAATTGTATTCTTTGGATACTCTCTGAATGTAGATCCTTCTCATTGTACATCTATTATTAATTTATTGCTGTTTTTGGCTATATTTTACATTTATAAATGTACATTTTTACACCTTTTTTTATTTTCATTAAGGACTTTGATTTATATACTCTTTAAAAAAATGAACAATTATATTGCATGTAAAACTCTTTCTTGGCGTAAATTATTAAAATGTTTATTTCTATAACCTTTTTGTCTCTTTGTTGTAATTGTATCTTTGTATTGTCCTTGCATAAAAAAAAGACATTTGCATCATAGGTGGGGTTTCTGTTTGCCCGGTGACTGTAGCTTCATTGCTTAATGGCTAACAAGGATTTTATTAAGAGAATAGCTGTGTTTATGTGCTTTAGGAAGGCTGATAAACAGCGTTAATTTGTTCGGCGCCGTGTCTGAGTTCCATTCAGAGGTGCACCCAGCTCTGTAAGTTCATCAACTCCTCCAGAAACTGTACCTGGATAATGGAGGCTTTCAACAGTGCTTCCGACAGAGCCGAGCCCAATTTGATGAGCTGTTGTCTGGTGTTGGCAGGAGGATATCCCCCCTGGACACTAACAACAGGTGCCACATTATAATCACGTCCCATACAAGAGCAAGCTTCTGATTGGTTAACACGTCACGAATGATGATTAACTTGCGCCACTTTATTTGCGCGAATCACATCATTCACACCACCTTATTGGAGCGTATCGTGCTGCAGGATGTGATTCGCGTCTTTGCATTGACTTAACATGTAAATCTTTTGTTAAATTGCGCTTGACGCTTCATCCGTGTCTGGTGTTAACGCAATATTTGACTGCTGGGTTGTTTATTTTACCCAACCACTAGGTTAAGTTAATCGAGTTGCTGTGACTTAAACATTATCGTCTCATTGCCTTAATTGCTACAATTAGGCTGTATTTACCAATATCACTAATAATAACAGTACATAATCACAAATTAATAAAAAAATATATATTAGCCTACTTTTTAAAATATTACACAACACAAAAATAGGTTGGCTCAGTGGTTAGCACTATCATCTTACAGCAAGAAAGTTGCTGGTTTGAGTCCTGCCTTGTTCAGTTGGTATTTCTGTGTGGAGTTTGCATGTTCTCCCCGTGTTGACGTGGGTTTCCTCCAGGTGCTCCGGTTTCTCCCACAGTCCAAACACATGTGATATGAACCAAATGTATGGGTGTTTCCAAGTACTGGGTTGCAGCTGGAAAGGCATCCAGTGTGTAAAACATATGCTGGAATAATTGGCGGCTCATTCCAGTGCGGAGGCCTCTGAAATAAAGACTAAGCTGAAGGAAAGTGAATGAATGAAGGTAAATTTAGCATTTAGCACTTTACTGATGTACGAATTCACTGTTAGCTTTTAAAGGAAGCAGCCTAATTCCAAATCAAACATATATGAGGAGAGAAACTGAGAAACCAACCGTGCGTTCATGTGTCAACTAAGCTAACAGTGTGTTTATTTTAATCGCTTGATATGTGATTGACGAAGGCGTAAATGTGTGTCGGGTTCTGCCAGTGGTGGCGCTCGACCACCGGAAACAACACCGAGATTTAAGAGAAGAAGAGCGCGGAAAGAATGTAAACATGAGAAATGAAACAGCCGTTCATAATGCTCTGAATATACTGTATTTATCTCACTGTAAGTACATTTACTTTACAATTTATTGAGAGAATAATTTTAAGATGGCAATAATTAAAGTTCATATCAAATCTTGATTCTGTAGTCATTAATTTCGCGTGTTTACCGATTTAAACCGATGATGTGATCAAACAGGAGGAGAAACAACTGAAATGCCATAGTACAGATGGAGATTAAAGAAGAACCCTGCAGAATAAAAGAGGAAGTGACTGAGAAACTAATAGGTTTGTGTTTTCATTCTTTCTCTTTAATAAATATCCTAAAACTGACATTTAATGTTTAATCTAAAACTAAATACCTATCAGTGCTTCCCACAGTCTTATACTTGCGGTGGTAGCCGGTAGCCGGGGCACACTTTACACATCACAAACTACTTAAACAATAGTTTAAAGTCTTTATTTTTTCATGCATCACTCTGCAGCCTTCATAAACAAGCTAATTAAGTAACTTAAACTCAAAACAATATTCCATGTTAATTTATTTATTTGATAGTAACTTTGTATTGTAAGGTAACACATTATTAACATTCAAGTACATCAACCCTGGTGTAAAAAAGTATACTGAATTGTGTTGCAAATATATTTTTTATTCCAACAGTACATTGAAAGTATACTAATTAAAAAGTATACTTAATCAAATATTATAAAAATGTATTATTACCATACTTTTATATATAACTTTTAACACACTTAAAAATAATTGTAATTTAGTATATTTTCTAAAAATAATATTTTAGAGAAATGCACTTTAATTACATGCTTAGTTTATTTTTTTACAAGTGTATTTATTTAGCATTTGTTGGTAATATATTTTAGTATTATTTTAACTGTACTTTAAAAATTAATTTGTAAGAATGTTCAAAGCACATTATTAAATAAGTTGTATATTTTGTTAAATTCAGTCTATCTATCTTTCTGTCTGTCTGTCTGTCTGTCTGTCTGTCTATCTATCTATCTACTTATTTAAAACATTTGTAAATAGTGTGCAAACATACACTGTTAAAACAATTCCCAGAAACTCACAACGTTACTGTACTTTTAAACAGTAAATTAAATATCACTAAGCAAGCATGAAATTAGCATACATGTTATGCTTATTTAAAGTGTACTAAATATACTTAAAGTTGTTCCAATTTAGCACACAAAAGTACACTAAATACACTTAAAATTGTACTTTAGTGCAATTTTATTACAACTAAAATATACCTAGCACAAAATAAATATGTTCAAAATGTCACACTGCAAGTTAACTAAACATTAATACACTTAAAATATACTGACAATTAGTCCGGATCCAAGTATACTAAGCATATTTATTTTTCACTAGGGAAGGCACATGTTCGCACATGTAAACTTTAACAGATGCAGTTGAAATCATTTTTTTGCCCTCTCATTAAATTAAAATAATGTTTCCCTAGTAATCATTAACAAACCAAGGACATTTCCTATAAAACAAAAAATAATTATTCTGGGGTCATAGTAAGTCTTATTTCTTATAGTTTGTCTTGAATAAAAGCAGTTTTTAATAATAATAATAATAATAAAACAATTTTAAGGTCCGTGTTATTATCCTCCTTAAGAAATATTTACTGTATATTTTATTGATTGTCTACACAACAAACCAGTTATAAAATAATAATTTTCCTAGTGAAAATAAGTCTTTAAATTACACTTTAATCTGAATCAAAGACTATAAAATACTTATAGGGAATTTGTCTGTATACAGCTATGTTGCTGAATAACTAGTAAAATATTACTAGTTACTAGAGCATCCCTAGATGAACAGTTTCCAGAAAAGTGGATTGATCATCGTGGACCACTTGAATTGCCCCCAAGGTCTCCCGATCTGACCCCCTGACATATCTTTGGGGTCATCTGAAGGCAATTGTCTATGGTGTGAAGATACAAGATGTGCAGCACGTGCAACTATAGATACTGGAAGCCTGTGCTGGCATTTCTCCTGCGGTGTTGCTATCAGTGTGTGTAGAGTGGGAGAAGAGCGTTGCATTGGCAATCCAACACAATGGCCAGCACATTGAACACATTTTAAGTGGTCAGAAACTTGTATATAACTCATGAAAGAATAAAGTTGCGTTAAAACCAAGCACACCATTGTTTTTCTGGTGAAATTCCCAATAAGTTTGATGTGTCACATGACCCACTTCCTATTAAAGAAAACTAAAGTTGGATCCAAAATGGCCACCCTGCTCACCACCCATATATATATATAGATGTCGCCTGGCCTATTGTTGTCTATTGGGCGTAATGTGTCAATAGCGCCGCCATCTTGCTACAGGGTAGCGCTCCTTTGAAATGAATGCGGGACCAAGCTGCAGTGGAGGACTGTGGCCATCCAAAGCCAGAGATATACACATATACACATATATCTATGATCGGGAGTTTTCCTGGATGTTAGTATATAATTTTTTTTCTAATTATGAAAATTATAATTTGACATCACTTTTCTACATTGATGGATCAGTGACCGCACGGGCATTCCTGACAAAAAGCTTGTGTTTGTGTGTACAGAAATGTACTATTCACCCTCCCTGTTAAATTTAATCTAATCATGTGCTGAAACACAGCTCCTCTCCTGCTTTCACTCCTCATACTGACGGAGGGAGCGATTCGTTTGTGAATGAATCCCCGAAACGACTCTTTCACTAACGTTAGCCGACAATAATACAAGTTTCTGGCAGCGCAGCATCTCGTTGTCATATTTCTTTTGCATTGTTTGCTGATTTTATTCAACAAAACTAGCATAAGCCGAGTGTTTAGTGTGAGTTGGAGCTGCTTTGCCGTATGGTGAATGCAGTAAGTGACTGTTATCATCAATAACGTGACCTGATTAGCACAACAGTTCAGAACATACAAAAACAGAAAAAAACTGAATATTACCTATGAAATGTTCTGCCTTTGTGCTTTATTTTCTTTGTTTGCTCGTTACTACACTCGTAGACAGCGCTAAAGTCCCGCATCTTCACGTAATAACACTGTCTTGACTAGTCCGGTTGAATGACATTTGTCCTGGGAGCACTGTACCAAAGTGGCGGCGCTATTGACTCATGCTCAGGGTCCCTATGCGATATCTAGTGTATATATCAATGCTCACCACCCATCTTGAAAAGTTTGCCCCCTCACATATACTAATGTGCCACAAACAGGACGTTAATATCACCAACCATTCCCATTTTATCCCACATTTATCCATATAAACCACCCACCCTGTATAATAAATTATTTCAGAGCAGTAATCTCAATACCATGAAACTGTGGTATTTTTATTCAATGTTATCACACCATCAGAAACTTATACCGGACCATGTCTACTGTAGATCTTGTATTTTAAGGTTGCACCACGTTCAGGTTGTTTGTGATTTAATCTGTTTGTTAATTGACGTTTGTGGATTTTAATGTTCATTTCAGGCCCTGTGGAGGTGGAGGAACTCAAACAGCCTCATCATTTCAAAAATGAAGATGCAAATGCAGCTGAGCAAGATTTCACACAGAAACAAGTGCAAACCGCTGAAGCTAAAGAGCTGTTCGCCTGCTCTGAGTGCGGTAAGAGTTACACATATAAATCCTCCCTTAAAAAGCACATGAGCGCTCACAGCGGAGAAAAGCTGTTCGCGTGTACTCAATGCGGAAAGAGCTACATGTATAAATCAGATCTTAACAGACACTTTAAAGTTCACAACGGAGACAGACCTTATATATGCAGCGAGTGCGGAAGCAGTTTCATTTATAAAGGACATTTAAAGGAGCACATGAAGATTCACAGCGGAGAAAAACCCTTCACGTGCGCTCAATGCGGAAACAGTTTCATGTACAACAAAGACTTAAATGCGCACATGAAGATTCACAGCGGGGAAGACATGTTCGAGTGCACTCACTGTGGAAAGAAGTTCACACGTAAAGGACACTTGAACGTGCACCTGAGAGTTCACACTGAAGATAAACCGTTCGCATGCGCTGAATGTGGGAAGAGCTTTAAATACAAAAGCGTACTCAATAATCACCTGCACACTCATGCTGAAGTCAAGTCGTTTAGCTGCGATCAGTGCGGGAAATCGTTTGTTTGTGCGTCAAACTTACGAACACATCTTAAAGTTCACACTGGTGTGAAGCCTTACATTTGTGCATTTTGTGGAAAGAAGTTTCTACATATGAGTTATTTAAAACTGCACCAGCACACTCACACTGGAGTGAAACCTCATGCGTGTTCAGTCTGCGGGAAGAGCTTCGGTTTATTAAGCAACCTAAAAAAGCACCAGAGGATTCACACCGGAGAGAAACCGTACATGTGCTCACACTGTGGGAAGAGTTTCTCCTGTTCGTCAGCTGTGAAAGCTCATGAGAGGATCCACACCGGAGAGAAGCCGTATCCGTGCTCGTCGTGTGGGAGGAGGTTTGCTCTTTTTCATAATATGCGAAGTCATGAAAAAAAACACCGGCTAAAGTTGTCCTTGTAAGCAAAAGTTTGTGTGTTTGTTTTGTAAACCTGTATAGTAATCTGAAATATGACATTATAATCAAATCAGATGCGTTATAATCTCATATATTCATGCTGCCAACACTGAGGGTTGATTCTGTAAAAAATGCTGGGCTCCACACAATCGATTTGTGGTTTTTTTGAGCTTAGAGCTGCACAATATATTGTTTAAGCATCAAGATTGCAATGTTTTATTACATTTATTATTATTATACACTCACCGCCGGCCATTTTATTAGGTATACCTTTTTAGTACAGTGTTGGGCCCCCTTTTACCTTCAGAACTGCCTTAATCCTTCGTGGCATAGATTCAACAAGGTACTCTCTCTAGGTGCTCTATTGGATTGATATCTGGTGACTGGAGGCCATTTGAGAACAGTGAACTCATTGTCCTGTTCAAGAAACCAGTCTGAGATGATTGAGCTTTATGACATGGTGCGTTATCCTGCTGGAAGTAGCCGTCAGAAGATGGAGACACTGTGCTCATAAAGGGATGGACATGGTCAGCAGCAATACTCAGGTAGGCTGTGGCGTTGATGCTCAATTGGTACTAATGGACCCAAAGTGTGCCAAGAAAATCTCCCCCACACCATTACACCACCACCACCAGCCTGAACTGTTGATATAAGGCAGGATGATCCATGCTTTCATGTTGTTGATACCAAATTCTGACTCGACCATCTGAATGTGTCAGCAGAAATGGAGACTCATCAGAGCAGCAACGTTTCTCCAATCTTCTATTGTCCAGTTTTGGTGAGTCTGTGTGAATTGTAGCCTCAGTTTCCTGTTCTTGGCTGACAGGAGCGGCACCCGGTGTGGTCTTCTGCTGCTGTAGCCCATCCGCCTCAAGGTTGGACGTGTTGTGTGTTCAGAGATGCTCTTCTGCAGAGCTCGGTTGTAGCGAGTGCTTATTTGAGTTACTGTTGCCTTTCTATCAGCTGGAACCAGTCTGGCCATTCTCCTCTGGCATCAACAAGGCATTTGCGCCCACAGAACTGCCGCTCACTGGATATTTCCTCTTTGTCAGACCATTCTCTGTAAACCCTAGAGATGGTTGTGCGTGAAAATTCCAGTAGAACAGCAGTTTCTGAAATACTCAGAGCAGCCCATCTGGCAGCAACAACCATGCCACGTTCAAAGTCACTCAAATCCCCTTTCTTCCCCATTCTGATGCTCAGTTTGAACTGCAGCAGACCGTCTTGACCATGTCTACATGCCTAAATGCATTGAGTTGCTGCCATGTTGTTGGCTGATTAGAAATTTAAGGTTAACATGCAGTTGGACAGGTGTACCTAATAAAGTGGCCGGTGAGTATATACAGCAAGATAAACAGTGCTGTGAATGTAAATACAGTATTTTTGCTGTATTTGATTTACAGTAAGTTACTGGCAAACTGCTGCCAGTGGATTCTACATGAAATCGTTAACAGTGTATGATCCATCAGATATTTAAGGAAAGTTACTTGTTCATAATATATTTGATTACACCCGATGTTTTACTGCATTCTGTGCAACGTGTTTGCTACAAAATCAAATTTATTTACAAAACCATCAAATTATAAGCTCTCAATGTGTTACTTGTCTATAGACGTATAATAATATGAACAAAACTTCATATTTTTGTTTAGTTCGGGTCTGATAATATTAAAATCTATTGAAAGGGATGTTTTGTTCATCCATATTCTCACTATATCTCTCTATGTGAGCTGTAAAAAATAATGTTTACATTTCAAATGAAAGTTGGACAGGATGATAGTGAGTTGCTGTGCTGTATTTTTGAAATGTTTGTTTATGCTGCGCACAAATTACATTAATTGTAAACATGTCAATACTGGTGGCAATATCAGTTGATTAAATAATCTAAATCACAACATAATCATTTGCAGTGGTGTCACATTGTAAAACTGCATAATACACTGAAAAAAAAGCAACAAAATCAATTATGACTTGTTTAATACATGTAGTTTAGTTTGCATGAATATGCTGTATTCAACATTGCTGAAGGATTCTGATTTTATTTTGAGCAGTAAATCATACACTTTTTAAACCAGTGGTTCTCAAACTGTGATACATGTACCACTAGTGGTACGCAGAGAAATTAAATGTGTCATGTACATGCTACACACATTTAAAAATGTATCCAAAATGATGTATATAATATGTCATATAGCCTATATTTCTGAGGTAATCTGCCACGTTTTTTTCACTGTGCAGAGTTGTAGCTGCTTTACTGGGCCTACTACGCTACTGTATTTCAATACTGCTCATTTTGGTGGTACTTGGAGAGACTATTTTTTTCTGAGGTGGTACTTGATGAAAAAATGTTTGAGAACTGCTGCTTTAAACAATTCTTGCAACAAAATACATTTCATTGTAATTAATCAAAATATTTACTTTATTTATCATAATCATTAGTCAGTACAGCAGATCTTCCACTAGAGGGCGACAATTGCTTTCATTTCATTCAGTCATTTTCTTTTCGGCTTAGTCCCTTTATAAAGCTAAGGTTGCCACAGCAGAATGAACTGCCAACTTATTCAGCATATGGTATACTCAACGGATGCCCTTTCGGATGCAATCCAAGACTGGGAAACACCCATACACTCAGATTCATACACACACACTACGGCCAATTTAGCATATTCAATTCACATATAGCGCATGTGTTTGGACTGTGGGGGAAACCCACACCAATATGAGGAGAACATGCAAACCTCACACAGAAAAGCCGGACTGCTTCATTGACAGCGGGAAACACCAGAAAGACAAAATCACACAAAATCAGTCGACTTAATGATGCCGCCCCACACAAAATTGAGATGTGTGTAAATGTGATGATTTAGAAGCATTTCTTGACATTGAGATTCATTCATTCATTTTCGCCTCAGCTTAGTCCCTTTATTAATCAGGTGTTGCCACAGCAGAATGAACCGCCAATTTATCCAGCAGATGTTTTATGCAGCAGATGCCCTTCCAGCTGCAACCCATCACTGGGAAACACCCATACAAACTCAATCACACACATACACTATGGCCACTATTAGCTGTCCCAATGACCTGTACCGCGTGTCTTTGGACCTATGGGGGAAACCGTAGCACCCGGAGGAAACCCACGCAAACACGGGGAGAACCTGCAAACTCCACACAGAAATGCCAACTGATCCAGCCGAGGCTCGAACCAGTGACTTTCTAGCTGTGAGGCAATCGTGCTACCCACTGCACCACCGCATAGCCGACATTGAGATTAAATTTTACATTGTTGGAAAAAAAATATATATTAAAAAATGTCTTTATTAAACGGCAACTATATTTATTTGTTTACATCATCATGTTTCTTTTGAAGGCTTTAAATTTAAAGGGCACCTATGGTGAAAAATCTACTTTTCAAGCTATTTGGACAAACATATGTGTAGTATAGACCATATATAACATATAGTGTATATATATACATATATAACAAACATATATAGTGTATAGACCATCATATTGGGGTGATATAAACACACCCAGTCCTTTTATTTCAATTTAACAAATAAAACGGTGGACCAATTAAAGCGGTTTTTAGACCGACCGCAACTTTACGTAGGAGTGCGATCCCCCCGCCCACCGAATTGATTGACAGCTGCGCGCATTGACATGTTCCGGTACTCACGTGTATATGTCAACAAGACCAGGCAGACATACGCAAAGCAACTGGGAATAAAAGGTCTGTTCTGTTCGCTAGGATCAGCAATCATCATCAAATGTGATTAAGAGTAAGTTTCACATGTTTAACGTGTTTTAAAACAGAGTATGTGTGTAATTAACTACAGCGATTTACTTCAGCTTTACTTCATCAGCACAGCCGCGTGTCAGAACAATTATAAAAGAAGACGCTTCAATCCCAGTTTGTGTAAGTTAAATCAGGTTTATTTTGTACACTAGCATAACAGATATCCACACTGCACTGGAGGTTAGCCTGTATCCTGTCACACTTGAGTGCAAAAACAGTGCTAAGTGCGCTCTGTCTGTCTGCCTGCCTGTGTGTGTGTGTGTGTGTGAGACTCATCAATGCAACTTCACAATACTGATTAGTAAAGATTAGTTCTTACTGTAGTATTTCTCACAAACGCTACCTGAGACCTTCTTCCTTTAAAGGCTGATTTATACTTCTGCATCAAACACCGGCGTATGCTACGGCGCTGACGCATAGCCCTTCGCCTTGGCCGTCACTGACGTGCACCTCTTAAAAATTGTAACTACATGTCGCAACAACGCGTAGCGCAAGCTCTGTGATTGGTCATCTTGTTAGCGCTGATGAGTCGGGGCGGGACCGAGAGCCGCGCGAATGGCGCGAACCCAATGTAGCGATTGTTTACAAGTGTGGAGTCCCGTGAAGGAGCTCCGGATGGAAAGTTTTGTTTTGTGTTTACCTCATAGTTAAAGTTGTTGCACGTCCGCCGGTTCCTGCCTCAAAATGAGCGAGTTTGAGCCACTTGTACATCCCGGAAGTGTTCAGGAAAAGCAAAACAGCAGCAAAGAAAGTCGACACAGAGGAACATTTACACCTCACTGCTAACTAGTGTTTCGGAAGTGTTAATGCAGACCAACAGAGACAGCGCGCAGAAGTATAAATGCACAGCTACGGGTGTTGCATGCGCCGTGGGTTACACCGGTCACTTGACGCAGAAGTATAAACCAGGCTTCAGTCTGTCTGTTGTCTGACGCAGCCGAGGGAGGAGATTAAAGCACGCTGACAGGCACGTAGAAACAGTAGGCGGGCAGAACTCGCCTTAAAGGCGCAGTACGACAAAACCACCCCCTGCTGGAAATCAGTATAAAACCGCATCTTGTAAAAGGTGTAATGAAAAATCTGATGGGTGTTTTGAGCTGAAACTTTATATACACATTCTAGAGACGCAAAAGACTTATATTAAATCTGAAAAAAGGGGAAACCTAGGTGCCCTTTAATATCAAGCCTTGAAGGGCAAATACTTTATTTAATTCATAGGACATATAATTCAATAAATATGATTCAATAATTCATACAAAGCATAACATTTAATAAATATTAACATATTAATTAGAATAAAATTAACATCTGCACTGGACAAAATATTTAGCACAGCCTTGTATGCTTAATTTGAAGAGGAAAAAATATTCATCCTAAAACATGAAATAAATGTTAAAAAAAAGCCAAAAATTTACTTTCTCAGGCATCAACATATTGTAACAACACCAATGTGTATATTTTTTTGATTGTTTTTCTTGAAAAGTTAGTGGGGGGTAGTGATGGAAAGTTCGGATCATTTTACTGACTCTTTGAGTCTCGTCCATCAAGATGAACGAATCTTATTTTGAGTCATTTCATTTGAATCATTTCGAATCATTTGGTTCAATTTGCCAAAATATTATTAAAATGTTATGAATTGCTTCCAAACACATCTACAACTAGCCCAAAAGGTTGATTACATGACAAATAAGTCATAAATAGAATACTATAAGAAGGAGAAAATAATAATTCAATGTTGACCTGCTCTTTTTGTCTATGAAGGTATTGTTGTCTCTTCGCTCAGCTCACCTCTTCATGTCTTCAAATGTCAGGGGTTGATTCACGTTACACTGACAGTCACATATAATCTTAATCAATGCACAGTCTAAGCCAGGGTTTTTCAAAGTCTAAGACAGTGGGCCTCCCTTTTGACACAACTTATCCATTGCCCCCCCCCAAACACGCACGCGCGCACACACACACACAATATACAGTATATATAAAGACACAGACAGATGCCAGACTGTTAACTCACTTTTATCATCATTTGCATGAAAGTGCAATTATTTACAGAGTAATAACAAGTATTTTAATATAACGTTTTTAAAACTAGGATGATGGTTCAATATGAATAGAACAGATCCAAGAACTGTCCATCCCAGTCAAAACAGTGGAAGTTTAGCGGGTCTCATGCTGTCATTAGCCAAAATATCTTGACAAACCACACATAAAGGTCGTGGTTCATCAGCTGGTCCTGTCCACGTAAATCCTAAACTCAAATACTGATCATCATATCGTCGTCTTTTTGGTTTAAGCCCTGAACCTGAAGGCTTTGAATTGGGGGGGGTCTCAGAAACCGACCCATTGTATTAGCAGGCATATCCCAGTATTGGCGGGCTTGCCAAACAGAAACGAATTCACAGCTATGGCCTTCTGGGTAAAAAAGTTTTTCTTATTTTTGACATATTATTTTTTTTAGCTTTGTTTGATTAAAAAGTTTAAATATAATAAAAAATACATATAATAATTAAACTTAATAATTATATTTTTATTATATAACATTTTTTCCCGCGCCTCCCCTGACATGCTCTGGCGCCCCCTAGGGGAGGCCCGCCTCACACTTTGAAAACCCCTGGTCTAATGCCTAGTTCAGACTGCGTGATTTTAGCCCCGATTTTGGCTCGATTTTGGTTTTGAGAAATCGCAGACAAATGCCTGAAATCACAGGCAAATCGCTGCTCGTGCACGTGACTGACAATCACACAGTATGAACGATCAAAGACACGATCTGAGAGAATCGCCGATGAGTCGCCGATGCCTGTGAGATATTTGGCGTGCTAAACATCTGGAGCTGTCGGCGATTCAAATCATGCCCTGTGAATTGAGTTTTGACTGAAAATAACATCAGCGATCGCCTACAGCCAATGAGAGATCGGCATTCACTTGTGTGAGCGTGTGTGTATACCTGCTGCAGGCCAGCGGGAGGCTGGGGGAGAAGTTAAAAGCGCTAATTTTCGGTTTATTTGGACCCACGAAATGGAGGAAAAACTAGTGGAGGTTTGACAGGACTCAGGAGCAGCCATGTCTGTTTGACGTTTAATACAGAAAGAAATTAGTTTATTATCAACGTTGAGGAGAAACGGCTAATTCCCTTTAAACCCAGGTGAGCAAACATGTACATGTTCTACCCCATTACAGGCTTCTTTCTCATTATGTAGTTAATAACAAAAGATATACTACATGTTTTTGGCTGTGAGACGTAGTTTGGACGAAGCTGTCGGCGATTCTCCCTATAGTAAAGTCATGCAGTGTGAATGTCCATGTCGCCGAACCATCTTGCAGTGTAAACAAAGCAGCGACAAAACGCTAGCCCAGATAGTCATGCAGTGTGAAAACATCTGTGACACGACTAGTTTGAAAATCATGCAGTCTCAACTCGGCATAAGCCGATAGGAGCCATGATCGTTCATCACGTGACAGAATGACTCAAACCCGAGGACTCGAGAGATAAACGGTTCAAATTTTTTTCCGGCTCTAAACGCGTATGATTGGCCCGTGATGAACGAGTGACTCAGACCCGATAGAGGACTCGAGAGGTGAGCGGATCAATTCTTTTTCCTGCTCTAAACGCTTATGATTGGCTTCTGCCAATGTGATGAAGACTTGAAATTAACGATACTACCTGCACAAATGTGCGCACGCGCGGATGAACGAATCACTCCCTGAGATGACTCGTAGTTCCCGAGTCATATTAAAGATTCGTTCAAAACGAATCGTTTATGAACGACCCATCACTAGTGGGGGGTCATGGTGAAAAGTTTGGGAACCCCTGATTTAGACAACACTGTTTACTGATGTGCATCTGTAGATTATAAGAGCGAGTGAAACTCTTCCCACATGACGAGCACTGATGCGGCTTTTCTCCACTGTGCATCCTCTCATGATCTTTCAGTGTTGATAAACAAGAGAAACTCTTCCCGCAGTCCGAACACTGATACGGTTTCTCTCCAGTGTGAATCCTCTGGTGTGTTTTTAAGCTGCTGGATGTTTTAAAGCTCTTCCCGCAGTCTGAACACACGTGCGGTTTCGCTCCGGTGTGAATGTTCTGGTGAACTTGCAAATGTTCAGACCTTGAAAAGCTCTTTGCGCAGAAAGTGCAAACATGAGGCTTTGTAGCAGCGTGAACTTTAAGGTGTGATCTTAAAGTTGACGACGTAATGAAAGTTTTATCACACTGATCACAGCCGAACGAGCGCACTCCAGCGTGAGAGCGATGATGATCTTTCAGGAAACTTTTCGATCTGAAGCTCTTCCCACAGTCAGTGCATGCGTACGGCTTTTCTCCAGTGTGAATCTTCATGTGTCTTCTGAGTTTGGATTCAGATATGAAACTCTTTCCACACTGAGTGCACGTGAACGGTTTCTCCCCGGTGTGAATCCTCATGTGCACGTGTAAGTGCTCTTTACGAATGAAGCTGTTTCCGCAGCGAGCGCACGTGTATGGTTTTTCTCCAGTGTGAACTCTCATGTGAACGTTAAAGTTTCCTTTATGCATGAAACTCCTTCCACATTCAGAGCAGCTGAAAGATTCACTCATTCCAGCTTGCTCCTGTGTGAAATTCTGTGATGCATCAATGTTTCCGTCTTCATTTTTGAAACGCCGACATGTTTTCTTATGATCACGTAGGTTAAATGATCTGCCGAATCTCTTCCCACATGAAGAGCACTGATAGGGTTTTTCTCCAGTGTGAACTATCTGATGAATTTTCAGGCTTTCTGACTGAGTGAAGCTCTTGTCACAGTGGGAGCACTGATACGGTTTCTCTCCAGTGTGAATCCTCTGGTGTTTCTTTAGGTTGCTTGACGTACTAAAGCTCTTCCCACAGTCTGAACACACATGTGATTTCTCTCCGGCATGAATGAAATTCTGTTCACATTGTGAAATTGCAGCGTTCCCATCTTCATTTTTGATATTAGGTCTTTGCAATTGTCGCTGTTTGTCTTCTTTCACTTCTGTCAGGTTTAAAACAAACATGTTAAATCCCTAAACACTTCAACTAAGGGACAATTTAGAAATCACTAGCTATGTTTCCATCCAAAAATGCGAATAAACTTTGTACGCAAAACTGGATTATCGCATAAAAGTTGTGCGAATGAAGCATCGTTTCCATCCAACGAGTCGAAGCGAACAAAATCGTCACTTCCTGATTAACTGGCGCCAAATATCAACAGTAAAAACTGCATTTGCTGCAGTAGGAGAAGCTGCATCAATCTTTTCTAAATGAATGCGCCTCAGAAGACAATCCTGACAAGCAGTGAGCGCGCGGTGGCGTTTGAAGTTGTCAGACGCGGAGCACAGGCGCTCTTGATTCTGGAGGTCATTAATAATATAATAACACTAATACTGAAAGGCGTTTCATAATGACCAAAACAACATTTCAGATGTTTAACTAGATTATTAACGTTTGTTGAGACAAACTTTGAGGCTGGCTTGTGAAAGCCTGTTGGTAATAGTTTATTTAGTTTAAACAGTTTTAAAAAGTATGAATAGATGATAGATAGATAGATAGATAGATAGATAGATAGATAGATAGATAGATAGATAGATAGATGATAGATAGATAGATAGATAGATAGATGATAGATAGATAGATAGATAGATAGATAGATAGATAGATAGATAGATAGATAGATAGATAGATAGATAGATAGATAGATAATGCGGTGTTCTATATTTTCCTTAATGCAGGGGTGATAGCGTTCCGGCACCACGCCGGATTTCCGGCGTACTGTGGCTGCGGAAAAAAAAAATCAGGTTCACGGATATTCATCTGTCATTTCTCTAGATTCACAGAATTCACTCACTGCTGAAAGCGCCGGATTGGTTTTTATTAATTGCCATTTTGTGTGCTCGTGAATCATCTTTTGAGTGTAGACGCCATGTAAATAAAAGATTAATTGTGTAATTTAGAGAGCTTTATAAATTAACGAATCTTTGTGAGATCTCTATGAACTAAGATTAGTGACGCTTTTTAGTGATAATAAGAGGAGCGTGCTTTGCACTTTCCAGGCTATAATCCATTCAGAATTTGTATGAAACTTTCGTTTTCGGCACATATACGCTGATATGTTTTGGGAATGACATCTGCATATTTACGCTGGGTTTATTCTCGAAATAACAGTGAAGCAATAGACGGGACAAAAATATATTTCCCCCTTCTCCTTAAACAACTTAGTGTTTCAGCTATGAAATAGTTCAGTTTTGTATGTAGCCTAATGGCAAAGTGTTTATATTTAGTTTCGTTTTTTATTCAGCTTATTTAGAAAAACGTTTGGAGCATTTTTTATTCGTTAAAAATAAGTTTTTTTTAAAGAACAGCGCCCAGCGGAAGACCATCATTGTCTGTTTGATCAGTTTGCCTTCTCAGATCATCACGACTTGCCTAAAATAAAAGATATAAAACAGTTCAAGTATAAAACAATGGTAGCTTAAACGTTAAAGAATGTGTGCTATTAGGCGCATAGTTTGCTTATAAAAAGCTTGCAGGACATCGAGGCGCCAGAGCAATCACTTGCGTTTTTTCAGTGGGAGCAATTTAAAGTTATCCGTCATTTTTGCTCACAAAATACCAGTAATACATCAAAAAACGTTACAGCGTTTTTCTAAAATAAAGAAAACCAAAATTATGCGCTTTCTGTCGTCTATGCGGTTTTTCAACAGGAGCGCTTAACAAAATGAAGCAAAATGTATATGCCTCACAGACATAATAAATATATTTATAGAAAGCTTTAAATTATTACTTAACGAAATAAAACAAATCGAAAACAAAAAAACTCCTTCCTGTAATCCGTAAAGATGAATTTCTAAAGGCGAGTCCAAGAGGAGATCAGTCAGGTGCGACACTGACTCAGAATAAGTTTATTAATAAATTATTAAGATATGTACTCTTTCCTCGACACATTCATTGTTATTTGTTTTTGCCGGTGCTTGGGGCGAGTTTTAGCTTATTGTGTGCGCTTGAACGCGGATTCACAGTAGCAGTTTTAACATGGAGTGACACGACATCTGACGTACAGATGACACTGGCACATGCCACTGAGTGTAGTGACACTTCAGGTGGCACGTCCGGTTTTCCACTGTCATGTGTCACTCGCTAGTGGCATGTGTAGTGACCTGTGTCACTCAGAGTGTCGCGCTGCATGTCACTGCAGTGACATCGACACCCGGCGAAGCTTATGACATTAATTAACACGAGCAAAACCATATTTAATCATTATGCGACTTTTAACCTAATTTATCGCGTCGCAAGTTAGTTTATTTGCTGAGCTACTCCATGATGTTTTAATTTAAACGCATTTATTTTATGTATTCGTAGTCATACTTCCGTACGTAATATAGTCATTTGACAGTACATGTCAGTCAAATTTATTGTGGCATGCTTATGTATGGGAGGGGTTACACTTATCTGTTGTACTGTATATTATTGCATCCTTGCAGTTCCTTTGTTCCCTACAATATGGACTTTTCTATGTTTTTAATTAATTCATTTATTTTATTATTTAACTTATTTTCATTTTAAGGTATTTTAAATAATATCCTTTAAAAAGTTATAATAAAATGCATGTTGAAAACTCATAACATATATGCATGTAAGATAACAGGTGTCATTTGCCTAATGATTTTTAAATATTAAAGCAAAGAGACTTATAAGATTAATGTGCTTATAACGTGCTTATACTGACACCTACTGGCACATGTCACAAGATCACTGACACTGGCATGTGTCTAAAAAGAGACACTTGACAATAATGATGATCAGGGTTACACATAGGCTGTTAATATATTTGGGCCCAGGGGCCCACAAGTTATGTGTTAAAAGTGCGTTGCATACATAGTACCCCCACCCCTACTCACCTCAGGGGCAAGGAAAAAAAGTTCAGGCTCAGGAATTTTTTCCGCTATCAGCCCTGTTAATGTTTATTAAGCATTTCTAGCATGTTAAAGTACTTAGCTAATCATTATTAGCATGTTGCTATAACACTGCAGCATGACGATATCAATCTGGGCCTCTATAATGGCAGTCTATGGGACAATTGCTAGGGTGCAGTATCTGGTTGTTAGGGAGTGGCTAGAAAGTTAAAAGGTTGTCAGTTATTGGTAGTTTGGTTGTCTGAGTTAAATGAGCTCAGCCATTAGTCTGTATGACAGTCTGATGCAGAGTTATGAGCTCACAAAGTTTGATCCAATGTAAAGTCAATGACAGTCTTTTGAATGGAAGTCTATGGGACAGTTTCTAGGGTCCCAAAAGTGGTAACTAGGGCATGGCCAGAAAGTTAAAAGCTCATCAGGTATTGGCAGTTAGGTAGTCTGAATTAAATGAGCCCAGTTAGAAGTCTGTGTGACAGTCTGATGCAGAGTTATGAGGTCACAAAGTCTGGTCCAATGTTAAGTCAATGGGATTTTTCCGACGGTCCCAGGACGTTTTTCGGAAAACCGAAAGTCGGATCAGTTGGAAAAGATATAGCACACCAAGTCAGACCAGTTTGAAGGTTTGGTGTGAGTTTGGTGGTCATAGCTCGAAAGCTCTAGGAGGAGATGCGTTTTGTTTTTTAGTCTCAGAAGAAAAATAGGATAACAGTAGTCTGGCTTGGTACACAAGCCAGCCTAATAATGTGCTCAGCATGACGTTTTGTCCATTCACACACATTTTAAGCATCACATGATCTCTTTTAACAAAATCACATGACCTGTTTTAATGCGCATGCTGGAGTTTATGCGGTAAAAGTGTTTCCATCCAAAGTTTATCCTACCCAGTTAGGCGAATACGTTTTTTATGCGCATTTTCAAAATTTATGCGCATCATGGCGTTTCCATCAACGGGATTTTTATGCGCATTTGCAAAATGTGCATAAAATAGGTGGATGGAAACATAGCTACTGAGGCATAAACTAGTATTTCACTTATGAGGATTCACACATTGGGGATGGCACGGTTCTCAATATAATATTTCACCGTACAGTACGACCTCCACGGTTTAATACGTGCTTGTGAATTGCAGTTTTCTCGGTTTTGCGTTTAAATAATTTATGTGTGTTTTATATCTCCCCGAATTAAATGTGTGTGCCTGTAAATCCATGAGCTAAGATGAGGAAACTCCTCCCCGCGAGTAAATATCCAATCACTATGCTCTAAAGTTAGGGGGCGCTTGACCATCCACACTATAACATTGCGAGCGGCGGTGAAGTGAGGCTGAGGCAACATTACAAGGAAGCGCCGGCGAAGTGAGGCAGCAGTACGAGAAATCGCCGGCGTCTTTCAAATCTGCGGTGTGAGGACATTTTGATTTTGCCGGTAAGTATAATGCCAAACGGTGAACAAAAAATAACTGTTCAAGCATTGCTTTACACGTATAACCATGACTGCACATCTGCAGCGCCATCACCCAGCAATATCACTGTCTGAAGGCAGGATAGCAGAGAAGCTAATAAAGTCCTCCAAATAGCAACAATCCCTCGCTGAATCTTTCAAGCAAACATACCCAACTGGCTCCGAGAGACACATAAAATAATAAAGGCAGTGCGGCTGTTTATTGCTGAAGATTTGCAGCCGTTTTCGGTGATTGGAGATGTGGGCTTTTGTCATCTTATAAAAGCACTCGATCCGCTTTACAGACTACCGTCTCGCATTTATCCAGCACTGAGATAATGAAGATGGTTTATTTATGTTTACTGAAGTACAAATATGTTTATTTGAAATGGTCAATTTATCTTTATTAACTTTACATGTGTTTATTTTCAAAGTGAAGGATTTGATGTGTTCCCCAGTTTGTACATGGGCTACCAGCAGCTGTGAGATTTCAGTGTGCATTTGTTTTTATACCATACACTAGGAACTACTGTACTTTTACTTGGCTTTTAAGTTAAACAAAATGAGTATTGTGATAAATCGTTTTCATATTTTCTCCTTAACCTCTTACTGTTCCTATTGCCTATAGAATAACACACGTGTCAAGCCATGAGAACCAAACCGAAAACCGTGCTAAAAAACCAAGGTATGTAATGAACCGTGGGCTAACTGTATTGTTGCATCCCTAGATGGCATCATTGTGATGTTTTATGTAAACATAACCTTTTCAGTTTTGATATTTGTATTAAATGCAATTATTTTAAATTGGTTTTTAAATGTTTAAATAATCATGTTCCAATGCTGTTGTCAGATCTAATCAGTCGGCAACAAATCTCTCACAGAGTCACATGAGCAGATGCTAAATGTGACTGTCTAGTGCCAAAGTGTAAGACCTCATTTGGTCAATCTGTTTTCTCTGTTAAGGGAGCCAAACTGTGGAATGATTTACCTGTTAGCCTAAAATAAAGTAATATTGATATTTTTTGTAGTGTTTAAAAGTGGTTAAAAACAAAACACCAGTGTTTGCACAAATAGTCTACTATTAGTTTGTTGGAGCATGCCGCCTTTGCTTTTGCCTACAGTAATTTTATGTAAAGAATTATAATGTTGTGTATTTATTATATTTTCATTTTGTCAACTTTGTCAAGCCTCCTGTGGACAGGTGTTGAGAATTAGCAAGTTTGCTAAAACACTTATACAAATGCATTTGGTTGTCCAGTGAAATTGTGATGTCAAACAAACAAACAAACAAACAAATAAATAAATAAGTAAAAAAGTAAATAAAATCTTGTTAATGAAAACAGTTTATCTAATAGCAAACATAAAAACATGAATTTTTGCTTGTCATAAATTATATAATTTAATATAATATTATATTATATTATATTAATTATATTATATTATATTATTATATTAATTATATTATATTATATTGTATTATATTATAATATATTATATTGTATTATATTATATTATATTATATTATATTATATTATATTATATTAATTATATTATATTATTATATTAATTATATTATATTATATTGTATTATATTATATTATATTATATTATATTATATTATATTATATTATATTATATTATATTATAGAATTTTGACATTGTGGCAGTAATCTTTGATAGCCTATACATGAATCTATCATACACTTATTTGCACTTAAAGCGACAGTTTACCCACTTTTTACTCTTCCTTAAGTGCTTCCAAACCTTTTTGAGTTTCTTTCTTCTGTTAAACACAAATTAAGATGTAAGAAAACAATAAAACAGTAACATTGCCTTTTTAGTAGGAAAAACAAATAGATACTATCAGGGTTTCTGCAGGTTTTATCAAGTTAAATTTAAAGACCTTTAAAGGCATTTTAAAGACCATAATGAATGGAATTTAGACTCATGAAGGGCTAAAGGCTAAGGATTTTTTAATGGCCCAGATGGAAAAGATTTTTTATTTGACCTTTTAAAAAAGTCTTAGAATTTAATACATTTAATAATGCATTAATAATAAACAATTTAAATATTTTAGATTTAGCTAAATATTTAAATATTGTGTAAAAACAAGCAAGCTCTACTTGTATCCATACACTTTTTTTCAACATAATATCTCTTTAAAATAAAAAAAATGAACAAAAGTTTAAAAAATGATAATAAACTAAATCTATGCACAACAATCTGTCCAGGTCGGTGTCCTCAGCAGGAAATACATTGGAGAACTTTTAAACAAATGTTATTGTAAGGAAAATATTTAAACCATTAGGATAAATAAAGTTAAAAACTACCTTTTTAAATAAAAAGTTTAAAGTTTTATTGAGATGATATGTTGGGGATTGTATTTTGGCCAGATTATGTAGCAAAACACAAACAAAGGAAAATTAGGACCCGTTTAAAAAAGATTTAAGACCTACAACACAATATTTCAGTAAATTGAAGACTTTTTTTTAAGGTTATTTATTTATTTTTTTAATTTGAGGCCTAAAATTTGGATTTTGAGATTAAAGACATTTTAAGACTCGGCAGAAACTATGGAAGTTAGTGGTGACAGGTTTCCAGCTTTCTTTTGTGCTTAATGAATAAATGATGACAGAATTTAAATTTTTGAGTGAACTATCCCTTCAATTGCAAATGCTCACTCCACAAGTAAGGTAAGAATATATACCTAGAAGGTTCCTGTCTCTGTCATTATCTCTGTCTCTTGTGTTTTAGCCATGTAAAAAAGATAATAATAGGCTAATAATGATAATAATATCCACTCCTTTGCTTTCCTCTATAGACAATTTTGCACTTTTCAAGTGAAGTTATTGCTTTTAGGCTTCATAACACAGTCAAAAACAACTTTTCTAAACAATTAAGTTTTATAGTTATATGGCTAGGTAACAGTAAACTTTCAGTATCAAGCTATATGATATATCCACCGTTATACATTTTATTTCTTATCTTAGTGAACCACTCTAAACACCAAATGAATATTTGCAGTGTAAATAGACTTTAGTAATAATCTGAAGTACAAGTTTTAAATAGTTTTTACATAAAAGTTAGACTTTTATTGTGTGGTGATTTTGTGTTTGTTTACATTATTTGCCTCCCCTAATATGGCGACCGCTCCGCACAGCGAAACGCTCAGCTGCTAGATTCACATTCTCATCTCATATATCCTATCCATATCCAGATATACACAATAATCAAGCTTAGAGTTCAGTTATGCCAGTTAACAACGATTTAAAATGTAGAACATCTAAGTATTAAAATAAAATAATGTGAATTGCGCGGCAGGATTTTGAAAAGCTGTTTAAGGCGCTAGTTCGTTTTAAATGGGCGCGAATAGCCTATTATACATTGAATATAAGTGCCCAATAATATCTATATACCCATTCAGTATTGTTACATGTCAGTTTCCATCTAAATGTTTATCGTCAATCGTTAAACAGAACAACGAAAAATACAAACCTATTGCCTCCTCTGTCTCTTCCCCCTTTATTCTGCAGGGTTCTTCCTCAATCTCCATCTTTACTATAGTATGTCAGTTGTTTCTCCTCCTGTTTGCTTCAGCTGTGGGAAGATGAGGAGGATATTCCTCGGCATTTAAACTCATATAGCTGTGGGAGAAGCTTCATTAGCACACGACTTACGTTACACTCCTCTGAATTACCTAGATTTACGTGTTTTGTTTAAATAATAAAATATGAGAATAGATTGCGTAAAACATTTTTGTCTAAATATCGCCAGGTTAAATGATTTCAAATATTGTGAGAAATAAATCTATTAAATTAGATATGAAATGAGCGCATGCAGTTTCAGACACCCGAACGAATGACTCTTAAGAGTCGGTTCATTTAAATGAATCAAAATACTGAATCGGTTTCACTCGGAACTCGAATCCTGAACCCACTCGACACATTCGAGTTTGTATGTTTATATGGACATATCATATGTGTGTGTGTATCATCGACTTACAGCAAACGCCTTTGGTTCATACAATTCATTAAATACAAAATAACTCAAAACGTATGACCTTTTATTAGCCAGAGTAAAAGTAATTTAACCCACAACAACCTATAAGTCAGTTTACAAGATCAAAAATGCTAACAAAAAATTATTTTCCTTATGAAATAGTGAAAAATATTCTACCTTTATGTCTATATTTAATTTACCTTTGCATAATGTTTAGATAAAAAAAATTAGAAAACATCCTAAAAATAAAAATATGTTCAGTCAAAATATTCCCAACAAACAAACAACAACACCAACAAAAAACAAAACAAAACGGGAATAAAAATGTCAAAGTAAACTGAAATACATACTCTACCTGACAAAAATCTGTATAATAACTTGTCTTAGTTGATCATTTAAAGTGTCAGAAGGTGGATTTCTCTGATGAATCATCTGTTGATCTGCGTCCCTATCATCACAAATACTGCAGAAGACCTACTGGAACCCACATTCTCTCAGAAATCAGTCAAGTTTGGTAAAGGAAAAGTCATGGTTTGGGGTTACATTCAGTATGGGGGCGTGCGAGAGATCTGCAGAGTGGATGATCAACATCAACAGCCTGAGGTATCAAGACGTTTGTGCTGCCCATTACATTACAAACCACAGAGTCGCCTCTATGGACGCGCCGGCCCTGTAGGTGGTTTGGAGAGATAGTGATAGAGCCGCAGGCGGACGCCTAGGGCCGCAGGATAAGGAGGACGGTGTCCGCGACATCCCTCCTCCAGGTCCTAATTTTCGTCTGCGATAACCCCTCAACGGTACTCGCTGTCGTAGGTGTACTCACACACCTGTCCCTCGTTTTCACTTTGAGGGCAGCATGATCAGCGTTTGCCTAGAGCGCCAGTTTAGATTGCTCCGGCCCTGCCTTGGTGTGTGGTGAGCGCACTGGCGCTGTTGTCCTGTGGCTGCCATCACATTATCCAAGTGGAGCTGCACACTAGTGGTGGAGTGGAGATACCTCCCATTGTTGTGAAGCACTTGTGTGTATGGTTATAAGCATGCTAAATAAATACACATTACATTACATTGCACTATTGTCTGGAGCCATGGGTACTAATTCTGTGTTCCCTGATTTACTATTTGATTCTAAGAATTAGACTTAGTAAATGAACAGCATGTTTCTCTGTTTAATGTTCTGCTGGAAAAAAGTGACCTGCAATCTGGATGGGTTTAGTCTGAGTAAATTAACAGCAAATTTGCATGATTAAGAAGTGAAATATACATTAAATGTCTCTAACAACTTCTGTAGTAGTCCCCATTTAGAGTGTTTTAAAAACTGAGAAATAAAAGAAATGATATGAGCACAAAGTGGAGATATGATCAGGTTTAATGCACCTCTCAGAGGCAGTTTATTTGTATAAAAAGCATTATATATATATACACATTTTACAAATGTATGGAACTTACAAAAAGATAGCAAAGATTTTTATTATAAAACAAATTAAGTATAGTGAAATCCTTTCACACTTAAATCTTAAAAGAAACCCCCTAAAGATCCTTTACAATGAAGATTAAACACTGGCTCACACTTTACAATAATGTTCCAGTAGTTAATATTTGTCAATGTATTTACCACCAAAGTATAAACAGTCTTGTACATATTTTTTAATCAAAGTTGAGCATTTACTAAAGCATTATTAATATCTATGCGTGTTAACATTGGTTAATGCACTGTGAGTTAATGAGAACTATTAATAAACAGCTTTGCATTAATAAATACTGTATTAAATATATTGTTCAGCACTTGTTCATGTTAGGAAATACATTAACTCATGGCCTTTTTTTAAGTTTAACACTGACATCAGGAAACAGTAAACTGAAAACCTTCACACTGTACAGTGTTTTAGTGTAAAAAAACGTACAATGCTGTCAGGTGTGCTCTTGTGCTATACAATTGTGTCCACTAGGGGGAGCAGTGACTCTGTGCCCGCAGAGTGAGAGCTGAAGATCAAATCTCTGAAGAGCACAAAACACACTGCGTGGATCTAGAGAGAGAGAGAGAGAGAGAGAGAGAGAGAGAGAGAGAGAGAGAGAGAGAGAGAGAGAGAGAGAGAGAATCATTGTAAATATACTGATTATTATTGTTTTTTTATTACTGTTTTATTCTAAAATGTTGATTGTTAAATGTACAGTTTATTTTAATTTATTATTTTTATTGTTATAAATTAATAATATGATATGAATGATAAGTGGAATGATAATGTGATATATTGAACTATAATGAGATATACTGAATAATAATATGATATATTGAATAATAATAATATGATATACTGAATAATAATATGATATACTGAATAATAATATGATATTTTGAATAATAATATGATATACTGAATAATAATATGATATACTGAATAATAATATGATATAATGAATAATAATATGATATACTGAATAATAATATGATATACTGAATAATAATATGATATATTGAATAATAATATGATATACTGAATAATAATATGATATTTTGAATAATAATATGATATATTGAATAATAATAATATATACTGAATAATAATTTGATATATTGAATAATAATATTATATACTGAATAATAATTTGATATACTGAATAATAATTTGATATTTTGAATAATAATATAATATACTGAATAATAATTTGATATACTGAATAATAATTTGATATTTTGAATAATAATATGATATAATAAATAATAATATGATATACTGAATAATAATATGATATAATGAATAATAATATGATATAATGAATAATAATATGATATACTGAATAATAATATGATATAATGAATAATAATATGATATACTGAATAATAATATGATATAATGAATAATAATATGATATACTGAATAATAATATGATATATTGAATAATAATATGATATACTGAATAATAATTTGATGTACTGAATAATAATATGATATATTGAATAATAATATGATATACTGAATAATAATATGATATACTGAATAATAATTTGATATACTGAATAATAATATGATATACTGAATAATAATATGATATATTGAATAATAATATGATATACTGAATAATAATATGATATACTGAATAATAATTTGATATACTGAATAATAATTTGATATTTTGAATAATAATATGATATAATGAATAATAATATGATATAATGAATAATAATATGATATATTGAATAATAATATGATATTTTGAATAATAATATGATATACTGAATAATAATTTGATATTTTGAATAATAATATGATATACTGAATAATAATATGATATATTGAATAATAATATGATATACTGAATAATAATATGATATACTGAATAATAATATGATATAATGAATAATAATATGATATACTGAATAATAATATGATATACTGAATAATAATTTGATATACTGAATAATAATTTGATATTTTGAATAATAATATGATATACTGAATAATAATATGATATAATGAATAATAATATGATATACTGAATAATAATATGATATATTGAATAATAATATGATATAATGAATAATAATATGATATACTGAATAATAATATGATATATTGAATAATAATATGATATACTGAATAATAATTTGATGTACTGAATAATAATATGATATATTGAATAATAATATGATATACTGAATAATAATTTGATGTACTGAATAATAATATGATATATTGAATAATAATATGATATACTGAATAATAATATGATATACTGAATAATAATATGATATACTGAATAATAATATGATATATTGAATAATAATATGATATACTGAATAATAATATGATATACTGAATAATAATTTGATATACTGAATAATAATTTGATATTTTGAATAATAATATGATATAATGAATAATAATATGATATAATGAATAATAATATGATATATTGAATAATAATATGATATTTTGAATAATAATATGATATACTGAATAATAATTTGATATTTTGAATAATAATATGATATATTATTTATATTTTTATTAAATTATAATATGTATATATCTTTTTTAAAAACGACTATTTTACTACTGCTACTGTTTGCTGTGTTTTTTTTATTATATATGTATGTTCTTTTATTTTTATGTAAACTTTATAACTGCTTTGGCAAAACATTTGTAACATTTGTCATGCCAATAAAGCAATTATTGAATTGAATTGAGAGAGAGAGAGGGATGAGCAATTATATGAATAAACATTTGTCAACATCAATATGAAGATGTCAAATACGCGTCAAGTTTCCAGACGGTTGTGGACTAGGCACACTAAGTGGGGCAGTAAGACCTTTTGCAGGGCACTTTTTATCCAAGAGAAAAAAGGTCATGTGCACTACACAGGTTGTGCATGTGCCTGGTCCACTGGGATAGTTATTAGGGTGTTGCCAAGTCATTCTGGGCCATTAGCAGGGGGTTGCTGTGCAGTGTGGTTGCTAAGGTGTGGGTGCTAGGTTACTCTGGTGTGTTTTTGTGTTTTGCTAATGTAACCCCGTTGGTCCTTTACCACCTAACCCGCTGCAAGCTGGGATCAAACCGGCGACCTTCTACATGGGTTGCTCTAACAAGGAGGCTAAAGACCTTGGCCTATTCATTCATTTTCTTATCGGCTTAGTCCCTTTATAAATCAGTGGTTGCCACAGTGGAATGAACCGCCAACTTATCCAGCATATGTTTTAAGCAGCGGATGCCCTTCCAGCTGCAACCCATCTCTGGGAAACACCCAAACTCATACATTACGGACAATTTAGCCTACCCAATTCACCTGTACAGCATGTGTTTGGACTGTGGGGGAAACCGGAGCACCCGGAGGAAACCTGCGCGAATGCAAGGAAAACGTGCAAACTCCACACAGAAACGCCAACTGACCCAGCTGAGGCTCGAACCAGCGACCTTCTTGCTATGAGGTGACAGCACTACCTACTGAGCCACCGTGTCGCCCCACCTTGCTCTATTATTTACCTAATAATATCTCTGTGGACCCCTAAAATAGAATTGTTCTAACCCTAGGGGATTGGATGGTTGCTACAGTGTTGAAGGGGTGTTTCTGTATTTTGCTAAAATATTATGGGTGGTTGCTAAGGCCTTGCTTTTTAGTTGCTAGAGTGGATTGGATGTTTGCTATTGTGTCATTAACATATTAATGGCCTTAGTAGGTGTTGTTTAGAAATTCTTGGTAATTGCTAGGATGTTGCTATGGGATTTTGGAATGTAGCTATAGTGTTGCTAAGATATTATGGATTGTTGCTAGGGTGCTGCTATGTGGTTGCTAATGTTTCCTCTACAAAGTAACTAGGGAGTTTTGCAAATATACTCCTAGTGTCCTTAAAGTTTGACAACCCCTGCTTTAGATGATAAATTAATATCTCACCTTTTCTTTGAGTCTTGCCGACTGACAAGAGTTAAGCTCTAGATGTCTGTCTGCGTCCACACACACTGCAATAAAAAGAGCAAATTATAAGCTTAAATCAGGGCTTTACAAAGAAAATAATGTCTGAATGTTTTGTTAAAAACACAGTAAAGCAAGTCCTTTAGTTTTCTCAAACCATCATACTTAAACCCATACTGTAGCACTATTTAATAGATGTTAAGTGTGTTAAGACTTATTACGTTTCAATTGTTTAAGGCATCATATTTGTTAATTCATTCATTTTCTTTCAGCTTAGTCTCTTATTCATCAGGGGTCGCCACAGCAGAATGAACTGCCAACTATTCCAGCATATGTTTAAGACTAGCGGATGCCCTTCCAGCCAAAACTCAGCACTGGGAAACACTCATTCACACACACTGAGGCCCCGTTTACACTAATAGGTTTTGTTTTAAAACGCATAAGTTTTGCTACGGTTAAGCCATGCGTCTATCCTATGCCAGAGTTTCCGAGCATTGAAAACGGAGCATTTTGAAAACGCTGAAGAGCCCGTTTTCATTCTAAAATGCTGCTGCCCAGTCTCAGTGTGGATGGGGAAAACGGAGACATGCCCTCTCTTTTGCTGAATATCAGTATAATAATCAATAATGGCCGTTATAAAAGTATAACGTACAATAAGTTTATACATTATAGGAAATAAACGCAAGCAATCAGTCAACAAGTAATAGATTCAAAAGACCAAAGTCGTTAAATATGTCATAGATATAGACAACAAGATGAATTAAATATCACGTTTACAAATATAGTGAGATTAGATCCAGCGGTAGATCCTTGATGAACAGTTCGATGAGCACAGCGCTCATCTGGCTGGAACGTAAGTAATTTACGTTTTATCAGTTTAGTGGCTAATTTGTACAAATTCGTACGAGTTAAGTCGTACAAAAATGTTTGATTTTTAAAAAGGAGGCGTGACACCAAACCATACCCCTAACCCCAACTGTCAGTGGGAGATAAGCAAATCGTACTAAATTGTATGAATAAGATAGCACAAATTCATATGAATTAGTCCAAAAGTTACGAATTGCAATAAGATAAGTGTTGGATATGCTGCAGAGCATGCCCAACACAATCTCACGGCAATTCGTAACTTTTGGATTTAGTGTCTAATTCGTATGAATTCGTACGATCTAATTCGTACAATTAGGTATGACTTGCTCATCCCCCAATGACGGTTGGGTTTAGGGGTGGGGTTAGGTGCCACGCCTCCTTTTTAAATTCGCACAATTTCGTACGACTGAACTCGTACGAATTAGCCACTAAACTCGCAAAACGTAAAATACTTACGTTTTCTCGTGAGATCAAGCTGGCATGCCAGAGTGTGTGTGTGGTCATGTGATGTGCATTTCCAGAGGAGTGGTGTAGACGGAGAGCTGTTTAGAAATGCTAGGTGTAATGCTAGTGTGGACGTGGATCGTTTTCATTCTAAAACGCCGTTTTGAAACTAAAACGTACTAGTGTAAACGGGGCCTCGTACACTACAGCCAATTTAGTTAATCAATTCCCCTGTAAACCGGAGCATCGGAGGAAACCCACACCAACACGAGGAGAACATGCAAACTCCACGCTGAAATGACAATTGACCCAGCTGGGGCTCGAACCAGCGATCTTCGTGCTGTGAGGTGATCGTGCTAGCCACTGCGCCACCGCGATGCCCCACTACTATATTCATATAAACTAAATATGTATATGAACTTATTGTAATATGAGCGCTGCTGAAAATTTCAGCCCGATCTCACGAAGAAACGTAAGTATTACGTTTTGCCACTTTAGTACGAAGTAGTTCTGTCGTACGAAATTGTAAGGTTTTAAAAAGGAGGCGTGGCACCCAACACCACCCCTAAACCCAATCGTCAATGGGCGATGAGCAAATCGCACTAAATTGTACGAATTAGATCGGAAGAATTAGCCACTAAATCAAAAAGTTACGAACTGCAGTGAGATTGCGTTGGACAATTTCTGATTTTGTAAAATGAAAAAATGTTTGGAAAGTACAGTGTACAAGAGCTGATGTAAACGAAAGTGGCTGTGCAGGTCATGTTCAGGCGAGGTGTGTGTGTCGGGGAAATCACAGAGATCATAAACAAATAATGTAGTGTTCAAAACAATGGTTTGGCATTCTCTAGTCTATATGTTACCTCATGCTATAAAGCTAAAATAAAAATCAGAATAATGTCAGTTTTCAGTGTGACAACCTACAGTAGCCCATGAAAATATTGATATGTGTTAACTATGAATGAAATCTGAGAGTTTAGGAGGAGCTCATTCATACTTTCAGTCTTTCTGGCTTCCTTCCACACACACCCACACACATTTTACTCATAGCTATGTATTAACTAACACTTAAGCAATCCTCAAGATCTTAAGGTGTGTTAAAATACTGACAACTACACCTGATCTTCCTTATGCAAACTTGTTAAAACCTCCTACAGTTAATGCCATATTAAATTAAAACAATACTCACTGTTTGGTTTGTGCTGCATGCTGTCTCTGCGAATAGGCTTCAATTCACTGCATGTTAAATCCTTCTCTCTGCTGTCCATCACTCATTTACTGATTTGATCGTTCTGATTATCCAGATGTGATCTCATGTTCTCACTATTTCCTCTAGGTTCAAATAAATAACCATCAGAAATAATATACAACATATACATTAGAAATAACGTATATTCAATATTTGCTCACACTTTAAAATAATGTAAATGTATTTACCAATATGAACTAAGAACGAAGAAACTAGTAGCGCATTTAGTGATCATAATTCAACATTTACTAATAGTTAATTTCATCAAAACAGTTAGTTAATCAATGTGAGTTAACAAGAGCTAAGAATTCATCACTGTATTTTTATTAATTCATGTTAACATAGATGAATAAATACATCAATGGTGACTAATGTACCATTATTATAATCTAACCCCATTTCTTGCACGGTGGCGCTCTGGGTAGCAAATTCGCCTCACAAAAAGAAGGTGGCTGGTTAGTGCCTCGGCTGGGTCAGTTTATGTAATATAGCTAGCATTTGTAATAGTTAGTGTTTCTGTGTAGAGTTTGCATGTTCTCCCCTGTGTTGGCTTGGGTTTCCTCCAGGTGCTCCACTTGAATTGGGTAGGCTAAACTGTGTGTGAATGAGTGTGTATGGGTGTTTCCCAGTGTTGGGTCACGGCTGGAAGGGCATCTGCTGCGTAAAACATATGTTGGATAAGTTGGTCATTCATTTCGCTGTGGTGACCTCTGATTAATAAAGGGACTAAGCTGAAAAGAAAATGAATAAATGAATATTTAATTTAATTATGAAAAACAAGTTTTGACTTTTGTTTGTGTATTATATTATTGTTTTTAATATTATTATTACTATTTCTCTATCCTTTTTTTCTCTTACATAATTCGCTTTACTAGCTTTAATACTCTTCGCTATTGCCGTAGTTATCGGAGGTCGTCTGGGCTGTTTATACCACGCTGCTACTGCTAACGCTCGTGTTGTTGGTGGCTATCATATGGACACCACCAATGCACTTTCATTATTATTAATATTACTATCAGCATTGTTGTTATTATTATTAATATATATACACACAAATAGATAAAAACAAAATATAAGCAAACAGTTTTGTTACATTTAACTGTTAATAATACTAATACTAATATAATAATAAATCTAATATAATACTACTAATATAATACTATGAATTTGTATCATATACATTTATATTGTATATCTAAACATAAACAAACATTTTCTTAAACATATGCATGCATGTCTGTATTTATAAATAGATTATAATTATACACAACACACACGAGGCTCGAACCAGCGACCTTCTTACTGTGAGGCAACAGCACTACCTCCTGTGCCACTGCGTCGCCTATATATAAATAAAAGTTCGCTTTGACATAATATATATATATATGTGTGTGTGTGTGTGTGTGTGTGTGTGTGTGTGTGTGTGTGTGTGTGTGTGTGTGTGTCAAAGCAAACTTTTATTTCGGATGCAATTAATCTGTGTGTTCTGAATATTCTAATCTAAATATTCAGAATATTCTTTCATTCATTTTCTTTTTGGCTTAGTCCCTTTATTAATCTGGGGTCGCCACAGCTGAATGAACCACCAACTTATCCAGCACATGTTTTACACAGCGAATGCACTTCCAGCCATAACACAACCCTGGGAAACACCCATACACTCTTGCATTTACACTACAGCCAATTTAGTTAATCAATTCCCCTATAGCGCATGTGTTTGGACTGTGGGGGAAACCGGAACACCCGGAGGAAACCCACGCCAACATGGGGAGAACATGCAAACTCCACACAGAAATGACAATGAATCGATTTACTTTTATTAATTAACGGTAACAAAGATGAATAAATAAATTATAGTAAATAGTGCATACATTAAAAGTGAGTTATGTACCATTATTATAATGTAACTCAATTTCTATTAAACACACACACACCCACCTAAGTTTGTTAAATATTATATATTAATATTATATAAATATTAATACAAATTTATAATACAAATATAAAAATAAGTGCTATGCAATCATAAATAAACACATCCAAAAACAGAACTTTGTTTTGACATATGTATGTGTATTACATATATTTATTATGTATATGTGATGAACGCACATATACAAGACCATTTTGTTATATAGATATTTAAAATGATATATAATTTGTGTCATATACATGTATATTCATTTATTTATTAATTTTACTTCAGCTTAGTCACATATTTCTCAGGGTCGCCACAGCGGAATGAACCACCAACTATTCCAGCATATGTTTTAGTACTGGGAAACACCCATACACACTCATTCACACACACACACACACACACACTCATACACTACGACCAATTTAGTTCATCAATTCCCCTATAGCGCATGTGTTTGGACTGTGGGGGAAACTGAGCACCCGGAGGAAACCCACACCAACACTGGGAGAACATGCAAACTCCACATAGAAATGCCAACTGACCCAGTCGGGACTTGAACCAGCGACCTTCTTGCTCTGTTCTATCGTGCCACCCAATACATGTATATTTTATATCTAAATTTAAACATACGTCTCAAATATATGCATGCATGTGTGTATTTATATACAGATAATAAATATACACAGCACACACACATACACACATACATTATGTCAATGATAATCAGTTAATCTGTGCCAAGCACTAATATAAATATATAATTTTGTACTTTTTATATAAATAATACATACTTTATTTACCTTTTGATGAATCTTTGAGCAGCAAAAACATCCACATCAGCTGTGCGTTTGATAATCCTCTAATGACGAGATCAAAACTACAGAGCGAACAGATCGAGTACGAGAAAGAAAGATAACCAACGCTGGTAAAACATTACTACTAAGACATGTTGGCAATTTCAGGCTCCACCCGTGTGACGTAAACACAAGCAAACATATGACAATGGAAAAAGCTTTTTTTAGAAACAGGTTCACTGCGGGTGATAGCAGCGATTGCCTAATGTGACCGGCAGCAAATACAGATAACAGATAAACCAGAAACCTGACACTTGCATTTGCCAGAATGGAAAATAGTTAACAAGACTGTGTATAAACATTGTGATAAAATACAAATAAACAACATAAGTGATGTCAAAAACCTAATCAAACAGTGAGCCTAATTTATGTAGAACCATAATGAAAAATGCATTTATTTGATTGGTCTTGATGTCAGCATTTTAAAATAAGTCTAAATATATTTATCATGTGCTTCCTTACTGTATGCGTTAGTTGCAATCGATTTTTTGCATTGAGGATATTTTTTATTCTCCTCCTTTCACATCAAAACAAACACAGTCTGCTAATGTAGTTAAACTTTTTAAATACTTCTAATAAACATCATCATCATCTAATAAACACATTGAATAAACAAACTAAAAATAATACAACAAAATACAAAGCATTTTTAAGTTATTTATGTCTCAAACATGTAGCTGTAAGACGTTTACGATTATTTAATACTCTTTTCTGCTCTACAATAATGATATCAATAATAATAAATATTAATCTGTAACAATAATCATGAAATGAACACAATTCACTCTTTTTACATGCACATTTAATAAATGAATTCTGCAGGCTCATTATTGATATGTATTGATATGATATGTACCGCTATATACATTTCTGCAGAGCACTAGATATGTTCTAGGAGCTACGTTTCTGTGCAGTTGTTGTTTTCACGTATCCACCAGAGGGCGCTGTGTATGCTTTTTCAGATTTTCCCTCTCAAGTGCCATTCACCCCTGCTGTTCCCACGTCGACTGACTGACTGACTGACTGACTGATTACTCCCCCATCCACCCCAGGCCCGGATTGGCTAATCGGGAGGACCGGGAGAATTCCCGGTGGGCCGGTCCGTTTTTTGGCCGCGAGGGCCGGTGTCCCTAGCTCCAGAATCTGTTGCTCTCAGCAGTCACTCACACTTTTTAAATTTATTTATTTACTTGACCACAGCCTTTTTATTCATTATTTTACCGCAACTCTTCTCATCTATTTTAATGATTATACAAGACAGTTGTGTCTCTGTTCTGAACACAGCTTCTGTGGTCCAGCGGTTAGCATAATAGATAAAGATGCCGCGGACCCGGGTTCGATCCTCGTTAGAGTAACTTATTGTTTTCATTGTTAAGACATATAAAACTGTTAGGGTTGTTGAACATATGAAGTTCTAAAGCAGCTGTTTTCTTGAAAAAAGACGTGATAGTGTCATTAGAAACTGATTTGGAAATGACTTTATTTTAATATAGTCAGTAGTGAACTGAGGTGGGCCGGTCTGAGGCTTGAAACTCCAGGGCTGAAAAGGAGTCCCACTCCGGCCCTGATCCACCCCCTTCCCTGAATCCAACCAATAGTGTTTTTAAAGCACCGGCTAGGCATGTAACATTTTACCCGACTCACGATTCGATACAATTTACAATACGAATCAGCTAAAATACACCTGTATGCCGATGACACAATAATATATACAGCAGCACATTACTTAAACCAAGCTGTACAGCAGGGTCGGAGTGGGACTCCTTTTCAGCCCTGGAGTTTCAAGCCTCAGACCGGCCCACCTCAGTTCACTACTGACTATATTAAAATAAAGTCATTTCCAAATCAGTTTCTAATGACACTATCACGTCTTTTTTTGAGAAAACAGCTGCTTTAGAACTTCAAATGTTCAACAACCCTAACAGTATTATATGTGACAACAATAAAAATGAAAACAATAAGTTACTCTAACGAGGATCGAACCCGGGTCCGCGGCGTCTTGAACTAACGTACTAATCGCTGGACCCAATAGCTGCTATCAGAAAGCAGATACAACTGAGTTTTATAATCATTAAAATAGATGAAAAGAGAAGAGTTGCAGTAAAATAATGAATAAAAAGGCTGTGGTCAAGTAAATAAATAAATTTAAAAAGTGTGAGTGACTGCTGAGAGCAACAGAATCTGGAGCTAGGGAGACCGGCCCTCGCGGCCAAAAAACGGACCGGCCCACCGGGAATTCTCCCGGTCCTCCCGATTAGCCAATCCGGGCCTGCTGTACAGTATTTACAGAACGCTTTTCAAGTATTACAGTGTACGTTGCACTGTATGAAAAAAATATATGATTTTTAGCTGCGGCCACACATCTCTGAATTTACATCTCTAAATGGTGTTCAAACAGAAAGAGTTAGCTTCAATAAATATCTAGGTATTTTGATTGATGAGAGATTCGCCTTTGATATACACATTGACAAGTTACCGAAAAAGCTTAGGCCAAAATTAGGTTTCTTATTGCGGTCAAAAAATTGTTTTCCTTATAAAGCCCGTAAGACACTAGGGAAGAGTACATTTCTGTCTATAACGGATTATGGTGATTATCTTTATATGCACGCAGCCACCACTCAGAAAACTAGATTCTGTTCATCATGCAGCAATACGCATCGTCTCAGGCAGGCGCAGACCTTACAGACTCATCACTGTATTCTGGATGATTCCTTAGACTGGTTATCTTTATATCAAAGGAGAAAATTACATCTGCACTTATTTATTTTAAAGGCTCTCTTAGGTAAATTATCATCCTATATTTCAAATCTGTTAACATTTCACATAAATAACCAACACACTAGATCTATTTTCGTCTAACAGTGCCAAGGTTTCTGTCAGAACTTGGCAAACGTGCTTTTTCTGTTAACGCTCCCAGTGCTTGGAATGACCTGCAAAATCAGCTCAGTCTTGACACACTTCCGACTCTGAGTACTTTTAAACATCTTTTATACAACATCTTAAAGGACACTTGTAATTGTTTTTTATGATCTGATCTTTTTATGAATGGTGATTTTGTAATTTTGTGGTATTGTTTTTGTGACTTTTATATAAAACTTTATGTGCTGCCTGCCTTCCTGACCAGGTCTCACTGAAAGAAGAGACAGTACTGTCTCAATGTGATCTCCTGGCTAAATAAAGGAAATAATAATAATAATAATAATAATAATAATAATAATAATGATCTCACAATTCACGATTTAATCTAAAAATTTTTAAAGAAAATAATTTTAGACAAATTTAAGGCGAACAAGCTCTTTAAATTTTCTCAAATGCTGCACTTTATTTATTTTTTTACTAAAGAAAATCTTTTTTTGCAATGAATTGGAATTTTAAAACAAAAATCCAAATAAAAGGTGAATAATACTAAAACTAAAACTTGGAGCTGTGCAAAAACAAAAATCCAAATAAAAGGTGAATAATACTAAAACTAAAACTTTGAGCTGTGCATTAAAACATTTAAAACGAATCCCAATTTAAAAATGAACAAAATAAATTAAAGAAGGCTCTTTAACAATACAAATAAGATAAAATGTGACTGTGCTGGGATGTGACATGTTTTAAAAGAAATATCAGCATATTTATGCTTTCTGGCATAAGCTGAGGTCTTTGCACATTTACAATGTCCCCTGCTGATGAAAATACTCTTTCACTGGAGACTGAGATGGCTGGTGTGAAGAGGAAAGCCTTTCCTAAACCAGGGAGCAGTGTGTACAGAGGAGGCCCTCTGCTCTAGGCATAAAATAATTATAATAACTTAGGGTTGGGAAACCTGGTGCCATTAAAGCACCGGTACCTTTGTAACCATTCATGTTGAGACAACATAAATGAACTGTGGAACCTGCATTTTTTTTTACAGTGTTGAAGTTTTATTATTTCACCACTTCCTTTTGTTTTATTTTTGAGTGAATCTTAACCTAAATCAAAAAGTTACTCTTATTCTATATTATGTAATGACGATACTTCTTTGGATAAAGTTGATACGATTAAATACCTTGGAGTGTGGCTTGATTCTAAACTTTCCTTTAAATCACATATTAATCATATTGTTAGTAAAGTCAACTTTGGAATTAGTACATTATATCGGTCTAGGCGTTGTTTTTCATTTAGTGTTTGTAAGAAACTAGCTCTTCAACTTATTTTGCCAATTTTTGATTATTGCTATATTGTTTATCAGGGTGCGTTAAAATTGGATCTTGCTGCCTTTAATACAGCATATAATAGACTTTGTAGATTTGTTCTGGGTTGTTCTTTTCACACACATCATTGTTTAATGTATGATCTGTTGCAGTGGCCATCTTTGCACACATGACGACATATTCACTGGCTTCAATTTATATTTAAATGTATTCATTTTGAGTATGCATATTATTTACAAAAATATTTTGTATGTTTTTCCTTAAATTATCAAGTAAGGCATTCTGTTCAGATTTATTTTTTGTTCCTTGTTGTAAAAAATCTATGGGTAAAAGAGCTTTTTTAAGGGTCCAAGAGATTGGAATAATTTCCTTGCTAACATTCGATCCATTGCATCATTTAAGGTCTTTCAGTTTTTGCAATTTCGCAAAGTGTTCGACTGCATTATTTTTTTCCATAACAGCAATAAATCTGAATGACAGCTGAGGTGTTTATGATCTCTGTGATTTCCCCAACACACACACACCTCGCCTGAACATGACCTGCACAACCACATTCATTTACATCGGCTCTCAATCACTGTGCTTTCCAGATATGTTTTTATTTCACACATTCATGAATTGTCCAACGCAATATTTCCTAACTTTTTGATTCAGTGGCTAATTCGTATACATTTGTATAGAATTCATAAAATTTAGTACGATTTGCTCATCCCCCCAATGACGGTTGGGTTTAGGGGTGGGGTTAGGTGCCACGCCTCCTTTTTAAAACCGTACAATTTCGACTGAATGTTTTCTTGAGAGATCAGGCTGAAATTTTCAGCAGTGGTCATATTACAGTAAGTTTATATACAAATTTAGTTTTTATAAATATAGTAATGGGGCGTCAAGGTGGCGCAGTGGCTAGCACGATCACCTCACAGCACGAAGATCGCTGGTTCGAGCCCCAGCTGG